GGGNGGGGGGGGGTTTGTTGCTTATAGACATGTCAAAGGAAAAAGGTAACATAACCAACCCCTGAGTTCTTCTTTGGATTATCCTTCAGTTTGGAGAACCTCGGCCCATATTCTTGTATAATGACTCCCGCAAGTAAAAGACCAACTATTGTTGGACCTCTTTAGAAGATTAGAAGCAAAGAAGACTGGGACTGAACCAACGCCTGGATTTTACCGTTTCGATTCTTTTATGTTCATCTAATACTTATTTGACGCTCCAAAAAGGTATGGCACTCTCTCTATAGCATTCCCAAATGCAAGGAAAAAAGATGTATACTCCGATAATCTCCCCTTTTTCTTGCATATTCAATTGCCACTCCCTCAGATCGAAGCCACACATGCTACCGTGCACTCAACCTCCTGATCAAGGAGCTGGCAGAGATCCCCTCACACCTCCCTTCTCACCGACCTCCCGAACCGTGATCGTAACACCCAAGTCGCCCGCAACGTTAATCGTGACCTCAACCTTTCCGCCCTTCTTGACGCCCTTCACTGCCGCTTCGGCAAGGGGTTTGCCCACCTTCCATATCTTCTCTCTGTGCTCCTCAGGCTCATCGTCACTCTCCTCTTCCTCGCTACTGTCATCCTCGTCGTCATTTGCTTCCTTGGGTGGCTTCGGGATTTGGGAGACCTTGATATGGCTACCTCCCTCGACGACCTTAACCAAGACGTCTCCTCCCTCCTTGGGTGCGTTGATGTGAACAATTCTCCGTGCTGGGACGGGTGTCTCCGCAGCGATGATAGGCGTGAAAACTCCCTGCTCCTCATCTGACGAAATGGTCAGTACGCCAACAGCGTTTGTCAAGTGCTTGACGGTTGTAACAGCCGGGTGAGTGCTCTGCTCGATGTCCTCTTTCTCGTATTCCTGGATCAGGCTCGCTTGCAGTGCCGCTCCCCTGGCTTGGAGTTCCGAGGGGTTAATGGCTGTGGGCGTGGTGCTCGGCGCAAGGATGGTGGTTGATGGGGGGAAGATGGATGCCATGTTGGAGGCAATCTTAGGGGTGTGGGATGTGCCTCCTGAGAGGATGACCTCGTCGATATCCAGAACATCTAAGCCGGCCTTCTTCACCACGCCTTCGATCAGGCGGTTGAAGCCATCAAACACCTTTCTCGCGATGGTCTCATAGCGTAAGCGGTTGATGGTGCTTGCGAAATCAATACCCTCGGCTAACGACTCGACGGAGAAGTTGGCATTGGTACCAATACTCAGAGCTTTCTTTGTAGCTTCGGCCTCAAGCTTGAGCTTCGCGAGCGAGCGCGGATTCTCCCGTGGGTCGGTGGTGTTCCACTTGATGAACTCCTTGGCAAAATGGTCTTGCAGCACTTTGTCGAGATGGACACCGGCATATTCGTAGTCATGTGCCGTTGCCAAAATCGTATACATTCCTCCTCGGGAGGCGACGACAGCAACATCAGAACGAGTGCCACCGAGGTCAGCTACGACGACCATCTTGTCGCTGACTTTGGACTCGAGTTTCGCATCGTAGGCCAGGATGGCGGCAATGGGTTCGGGGATCAATTGGAGGACTTCCAGCCCGGCATCAGCGGCCGAGGCGATCAGAGCAGCTTTTTGAGCGTCACTGAAGTTGGTTGGTATAGTAACAACAGCAGAATCAACCTTCTTGCCCAGGAAATCAGACGCCGATCGTGCCAGTCTCTTGAATTGTCGGGTAGCAATTTCGCCAACGGTAACTGTAGAGGGAGAATCGCCTTCCTTGTCTTGGATCGTGAATGCGACAGTGGAATCGTGGGCCTGTGGATGTGCGGAGGCGTGGCAATGTGTGGGGTCTATTGATTTGAAGCTATTCCCACAGTTAGTAAAGATATATTGAAGGTTTGGGATAGCGTCTTACTCTTGGCCAAGGAAATCCCTGAAATATGCGACGGTATTCTTGCTGTTGCGGACAAGCTGCTGCTTAGCTTGCTGACCATTGTACTCATCCCCATCAACATAGGACAGAATAGAAGGAATTTGACGGTCTGCGAGCTTGATTAATAACTCTTCCAAGCACCCGGAATCATTCAAGAACACATACCTCCATCCTCGTTAGCAATAACCTCAGCCTTGTCCTCGGCGGTGGTGTAGGCGATGGAGCTGTTGGAGTTTCCAAAGGAGATACCAATGGTGGTTCTCTCTGCAGGCGCGGAGCCGTTCGTAACTGCTTCCTCTGCACTCATCCTGACTGTATGAGAATATCGATTGACGATACGGTCCCTGGTGTTGTTTTCAAAGTTGCAAAGGGATTTACGCGCGAGCTGAAATTCGAACTTTTTTTTCTCGACTTTCGAGACCTCCACTAGCGCCAAATTTCCGGTTCAGCCCACATCTCGCAAGGCTGACAGTCTATTACAACGGCGGGAAAAGCTCAGAAATATACCAAAATCCCCTCTTTCGCTGCTCTATCATGGCAGAGACTACATTCGTTCTTCCGGGGGACCCTCTGGACCCTGAATCCTTACCCTCTCACCCAACACTGCCCTTAAAACTTGGCCCAGGACTCCGTCACATCCCGCCAAATACCATCGTCCCAACTGTTGCCGGCCAACTATACACCGACAAGAGAAAGAATGCTGTATGGGTTGAGTACAACACTGGCCGAGTAGGTACCCTGCCCTTGATATTCGAACTCATTCATTGACAAAGACCCCAGTATATTCCTACAGTCGGCGATCTCGTCATAGCCACCATCCACCACGCCGCCTCAGATGTTTTCTATGCCAGCTTGAGCGATTACACACCCAATGCCTCGCTCCCATTACTCTCCTTCGAAAGCGCCACCAAGAAGACTCGTCCCCAACTGCCGGCCGGTGCACTGGTCTATGCCCGCGTCACGCTGGCGAACAAGCATATGGATCCAGAGCTGGAGTGTGTTTCATCCTCTACCGGGAAGAGTGAGGGCTTGGGACCTTTGACGGGTGGAATGGTATTCAACGTATCGTTGGGTATGGCAAGGAGGCTGATGTTACCGAAGCCGAAGGAGCAGGGGGGGCTGGTGTTACTGGAGGAATTGGGAAATCAAGGGGTGTCTTTTGAGATTGCGGTAGGTCGGAACGGGAAGGTTTGGGTGGATAGTGCGAAGGTGGGGACGACATTGAAGATTGGGAAGGCGATTCAAGAGACTGATGAGAAAGCGCTGAGGGTGGAGGATCAGAAGAAGCTGGCAAGGAAGTTGGCTAGGGATATTTAAGGGGGAGAAAGGGAAATGGGCATTTCCAGGAGTTGGTGGCATAATTGCATGGTGATGGCGTCTGAATGAACAATATCAAATGGCATGGAATCTTATGGGAGCTTGGTAAGGTAAAATATCCGTCTGATAGTAGAGCTTTTTTTCAAGGAGCAGGTCCTCACCTGTCGGCCCTGCTCCAACCCGGTCTTCCGGTAGTCTAGCAATGAACAGGAGCCCTTTGATGGTTCACGGTCCAAGATTGAGAATCAAGTACAGGTGCAATATGTTTGCGGAGTCCAACATGTCCTATCACAGGATGTAATTCCAACTCACTGATAGCTGTAGCCTACCTTGCAAGGCTGGATTCCGAAGCATTATAATGTGAAAAGAGAAAATGATAAAGGGGAAATTTCGGCCTATGAAGCTTCATTCCCTTGTTATTCTATATAATAAAGGGCCTTTCGCCAAAGAAAGGAGGTAACACTTACTTTTTCCTCAAGGATCTATTTATTGAAACTTCATCGCTCTTCGTCTTCGTAACATCACAGATCCGTCAACAAAAATTGCACTTCAAACAGACTTCCATTCCTTATTATAAATCTGAACTCAATATAGAGGGCTTTCTTTACTATGAAGACCTTTTGCCCTCTTCAAACCTGCCTGCATCCACCGTCGGTTACAGGTTCATCTATCCTCCCCGGTTGCAAACACCTGCAACACAGTAACTTCAACAACACAAACACATCACCAGCAGGCGTATGGTACTGACAAGTCTCCTTTCCCTGAGCACTGAGTGCTCTTGATAAGTGGTTTCTCTTCTGTCTCACTGTCACTTCTGGACATCGTCACTATTCTTCTTTCTTTCTCGCTATTTTGACTTCAAGAACCAGTTAACCTTGCATCTTTGTTACACGGAGGTAATGCCTTTACTTGATATTAGAGATGCAACCAAGGCCGGGCAGTTATTGAAGAAACTGACTTGGCAATCTCCATGAAATCTTTGTGATTCAACCTATACTTTGGTTATCCTGTTCAGCTAGGACGTCTATAACTCAGAAACCGACCCAGCCGGCAAACCTAAACGGATCTTTTTGCTTCAGCGAGTATTTGCTGAGGAGAGGCCATCGGTTTTTTGGAGAAAATCACAGGTGACCTTCACAGAGAGATTCGTTTTGAGTTTGGTGTAGCTATCTGAATACATCCTCAGGCTACGACGAATCGGCGATCACATAGTCGATATGAGAATTCTAGGAAGTCAGCAATGTCCGAAAGGGGAACTCGGCACATCACATAATATAATCACGTGATATCGGCAACCACCGCGTCAAGGGTGGATATTGATTTCCAAGCTCTACCCGCATCCGAATCTTCATCCTCGCAATCAACATCGCCACTGCTTCATATCGACACGATGGCGGCAGCAGCAAGTCGTTTCAGGTGTCTGAATGCGCCTCCCTTGCGCCAGGCCTCGAGACATCTCATCTCGGCTTCCTCATCACGCTCTCTCGCCACCGAAGCTCAACCCCCAGAACCGGCAGCACCTCGAAGACGCCCAACATACTTTAAGGATAAGCTGAATTCCGTACCATCCTTCTCCGAATTCATCGGGTTACAAGAAAAGCCATTGTCCCCCGAAGATGCGCTCGAATTACGCACCGCGATGGTCGGACCCCCCGGCAAGAAGAAGCAGATTACACGACTGCCGGAGTGGCTAAAGACGCCCATTCCAGACAACTCGAACTACAAGAAGATTAAGAAGGATCTGCGGGGTTTGAACCTGCATACCGTGTGTGAAGAGGCCCGGTGTCCCAATATCTCGGATTGTTGGGGTGGGAGCGATAAGAGCGCTGCTACGGCGACGATTATGCTGATGGGCGATACATGCACGAGAGGGTGTCGATTCTGCAGTGTTAAGACTTCAAAGGCGCCTCCGCCACTGGACCCGCATGAACCAGAGCACACGGCAGAGGCATTGTCAAGATGGGGGTTGGGGTATGTGGTCCTGACGTCTGTTGACCGGGATGATCTTGCGGATGGCGGAGCGAGACATTTCACGGAGACGATCATGAAGATTAAGCAGAAGAAACCGGAAATGTTGGTTGAAGCTTTAACCGGGGATTACGCGGGAGACTTGGAGATGGTTGCGATGGTGGCGAAGAGTGGACTGGATGTCTATGCGCATAATATGGAGACAGTGGAGGCATTGACTCCTATGGTCAGAGATAGGAGGGCTAAGTACAGACAAAGCTTGGAAGTTTTGAAGGCTGCAAAGAAGGCCATGCCGACACTGATCACAAAGACGAGTATTATGCTCGGTCTGGGCGAGACAGAGGAGCAGCTTTGGCAGACCCTGAAAGGTATGTCTTTCCCCCATTATTGCTGGACCGCAACTGACCTGTGCTGTAATAAGATCTCCGTGCAGTAGACGTTGATGTCGTAACATTTGGGCAATACATGCGCCCGACTAAACGCCACATGAAAGTCGAGGAATACGTCACCCCAGAGGTCTTTGAACTATGGCGACAACGGGCACTCGACCTGGGGTTCCTGTACTGTGCTAGTGGGCCTCTCGTGAGAAGCTCATACAAGGCCGGTGAGGCATTCATCGAGAATGTATTGAAGAAGAGGAAGAATGTAACGATATTAGAGGGCGAGGCTGAGGGACTGGACAAGGCGGTGGTTTGAAGAGATTATAGATGTACTTCAACATACGAATCACCTGTGGCATTCCATCGCCATTGCATTGCAGGAGTTTAGGGCTATAGACGGCATCCCAAGACTATGGATTTCCCATTGGTTTTGAGAAGTCCAAGATTTTGCTGAGCCTATGTCTACCTTTCCTGCCAATGTGAGCTTACGGAAAGTGGAACGCAAAGCTCCGGCGATAACCGGACTCGGTCTTCGACTCTCCCGCAACCTCGGATCGCTTGTCGCCGGCATAGGAGATAAGCGATATAACAAGCGAATGTCTGATTAGCGAGCCGAGCCTAGATAAGCGAGCATGTTCCTGGTTGTGTGATTATATCTTCAACACCGCCATATCAAGATGTTATAGAGGGAAATATAATGCATTAGTCCTGCTAACTTCGCAACCAAGAGACATAGCGAACTCTCCCTCGAGACCACCCTGAGGATAGAACTATTTGTCCATACTTTGAACTGTTTGATTCTTTCCTTCAGCCCCAGCATCCCCTTCTTTTTTATTTCACTCGCTGCTTGATTTGAAATCCGCATGCATATTCCCTTCATTTTCTTCAACAAGCTGCGTGATGATGAAAGGAGTAGGGGAAACCACCAGCTAGAAAGTACCTGGATGTAAGATTTCCGAGCTAGCTCCTGGGGGCTAGATACCTGGGTGTCCTCCATTGCTACCCGCATCAATTCGTCTCCCGGAACATAGTCCGCTCATTTGCAATGTGCCAATGACCGTGTTTTCTTGTTTATTTCCTTTACCCTTCAGTGCAGATTTTGCTGCCGAGAGACGTTCGTTATCTGCCACACTCGACTCCTGAAAGGCCATCTTCAGGACCAAATTTCTTTGTATTTTAAAAAATGGCATCCTGCGCAGCAGCATCTTCCGCTGACCAAACATTCGTCTGGAGATCTTCCGTCCACAAAGCATCTTCGTTAGACATGTCGAAGTCGGCTATCTCCTGTGCACTAGCAAGAGCATCCTCGCTCGCAGCAAGATTCGAGAGATAGGCTTCGTCAAGTGCTTCTTGGGTTTCCTCTGCGTAGTCCTCTTGGAGTTGCAGTTCAGCTAATTGCTCTTCAACACCAGAGAGAGCGAGCTGGTTATACAAATCATTGAACTGTCCATCTAGCTCATTGAACTGTCCATCTGGCTCGTTGAACTGTACGTCTGGCTCATTGAATTGTACGTCTGGCTCATTGAACTGCACTCCGTCCAACTGGGCTAGGATGACGTTCTCTGTTTGCTGTGCAGCTAAGTTCGCATAGTCTTCAATTCCAACCTCCGGAATGTTTGATGCGGGATCAACCCCCTGATTATTTTGATCTCCGTCCTGGGCACCGAGCTGGCCATTCTTCAACAGTGCAAAAATTTCCCTGAGCAGCGCCTTTCTTGCTGCCGCCTCAGCTGCTGATGCAGAAGTGGCAGCATTAGATGTTCCTGCACCATTAGATGCCGCAGCAACCTTAGCCAATTCCCTTCGCAACCATTCCCTCGCAGCCGCTGAGGAAGCTTCGGAATTCCTGATTACCGGTCTTCTACCTCCAGCTGCAGAACCCGGGGCTTGGGGCTGCTGGGTTGTTGTCACCGGCCTTCTCCCCTGATACAACGGTCCCGTAGGAGCCATCGGTTTTGCTCCAGTAGTGGTGGGCATCGAGGGCTGCACAGTAGACGGTTGCTGCCCTGGGGGTTTCCTTATCGTTGAAGACATTCTAACTGGGCCTTGACTGGCTGTTGGCCTATTGACCCCTTGATTTCGAGACGCGGGACCGACAGCCTGTGCTCGGACACGAGGAACTGTTCCTGGCTTTGTGGTGTTGGGTGGACGGTATGTGTTGGATTGCCCGAGGCCCGTGGATTGTGGCAATCCTGTGGATTGTGGCAGGCCCGTGCCTTGTGGCAGCGGTATATATTCCACTGCGATGTTCCCATTCCCATCGACTATAACCTCCTCTTGAATCTGACCTCCAATGCTGCTCCCGCCAAGTCCAACGCTATATGGATCAGCCGAATAAAGGTCATCCACCACAATTGGCCCTCCAATGCCACCAGCTCCAATGTTGTCCATTCCGAAATTATTAGCTCCTCCAACATCGATCACGTCGAAGTTATCGACTCCGAAGTTATTAACAACATCCACAACATCAACCACTTCAAAGCCACCTCCTCCGAAGGTATCCACTCCGATAACATTATTTGCACCAGAGTTAGCGTCTCCAACATCAATCCCTCCAAAGTTACCCCCACCAAAGTCACCGCCGCCAGAATTACCACCTCCGAAGTCGACCCCGGCAGAAGCCCCTCCATTAGTGCCACCGCCTCCAAAGTCATCCGCTCCAAACCCACCCCCACCACCTCCTGAGCTGGAATCCCCACTCCCCAAATTATCCCAACCCCCCTCAACATTCGCCAATAATCCATTCCCCGTCGTCTGCTTCAAAAACCCATTGACGACCCTGAAACCCGTGCCAATCGCTCTCCTATTCTCCTTGATGAATTTCGCGGAGCTCTTCATCCCTCTTAGTCCTAGCTCGGCTGCCTTCTTCGTTCCTACGATGACATCTTCGGACGAGACTGAGGATGGGAGTTTGCCGTGGCTGAGGGATGAGAGGTGCGTCTTTTTCCCGCTTGTGGATTGCGAGTTGTCCCATTTAATCCCTGGTGGGGATGGCCCTTGTGGGGGTGGTGGGAAGTACATGGTGGGTGGTTGAGTTGCGGTGGTGGCAGGTAAGGGAGTTGTTGAGATGGGAGACAGCGGAGTTGCTGAGGCAGTAGTCGGCGAAGTTACCGGGGCAGCAGATACTGGAGTTCCTGGAACAGGAGCTGCTGGGATAGAAGCTGTAGGGGTAGAAGCTGTAGGGACATTTGCGGAAGAGACAGTAGCTACAGTGACAGGAGTCGCAGGAACAGTAACAGCAGTGACAGGGGCAGGCGGGGCAGTAGCCGCAACGAATCCAACACAAGGCCGCTCCCAAGTCGAGACCCGAGTCTGCGTATTAGAGTAAAAGATCAACCCATCTGGGTTCCGCTGCGCTACCCACCCTGGGCTCAGCGGTATGTGAGCCGGGTGTGTCCAGGTGCTCTTTCTGGAGGAGAGGTGGATGTAATACACTTTCCCATTTGCATCGCGAGAGCTGCTCCAACCAGGCATCGCCTGAGTGCGGGAGTTTGGGGGTTGAGGCGGAGGTGGAGGGGGAACATAGGCAGTGGAAGCGCTGGGAGTTGGGGTTGGGCTAGATGTGTGGGGACTTGCTTGACTGGGGATGGTGACATTGTTGCCATTGCCATTGCTGCTCATGATGCTATTGCGATTACTGTCACCGCTGGTGGTACTTCTTTGAGATGCAGTTGACGAGAGACGTTGAGGTTGGGGCGTAGATGCCGCTTTTGCTGTCGCCGTCGTTGTCGACGTCGCCTGGGGTGTAGGTTTCCGGACAGGCACGGCTTTCCTGGCGACGGATGCACGTTTCTGAAGAGAGCTTGCTGAAGCCGTGGAATTTGGACTTGGGGGTAACTGAGCGTTTGCTGGATCCATACTGTAAGAGCGTTGAGAGACAAAGATCCGGGTCCTAGCGGTGCTGCTCGACGTGCTTCCTTTAATCGTATGATATATGGCCCTAAGCAATCCGCATCTTGACAGAGCAGTTCCCTTCAGAAAAGAGACCGCGGAGAAGGGAATTAAAAGGAGAAAACTTTCACAACTCGGGAATGAATCATTTTTCCCGTGGCTGAAGACTCATCACGAGGCATACTCGCGGGCTGTAGCTGAAAACCGAGGCTGGAATGTGGCTTGGGCTAGATGCTTCTTAAGTTCTTGCGACTCCAAGCAAGGCTGGAGAGAGCCCTGTCTCTAAAATTAGATTCCGCGTTGAATTGTGATATAAGCGTTTCCATAGGGCACACAACTGTTGAGAAACCTTGGATGCTCGGTGTCTGGGGTATGAGAAGCCCTCTGTTGTCGTCCGTCTCTAACTGGTGATAGTGACCGAGTCGAGGACCCTGCACGTAAACGGCTCGCCGAAGCCCCTGGAGTTGGAGCCTGTCACCCCCAAACGGCCAAAATGCTTGATGCTGAACATACTCTCAGGAATAGAGCGAAATTCTGGGACGTTACTACTGTATCGTTGGCACGGTAGTATAATACATTCCTTGATTCGTTGGTTATCCCCGAAGGCGTGCATAAGAGTCAAGACATAGCACGGTTTCTTTTGGTTGACACAGTACGAAGCACTGTTGAAATCAAACCACCTAAAAGCATGAGCTATTTCCCAACTATTCGATGCTGATAGTTCTCTCACCCCCAAGGTTCCCTGTCGTACTGCCTCGGCTTCTGGTCCTTTGTTACACTGTAGAAAGGCCGAAGCTGATTGGCTTTAGGTGGTCTTGAAGTGCACACGTAGTATCGCTACCACAGAAAAATACTTTTGTAAGCGCATGAGGAGACAAGGTTCTCTGTGATTAAAGGCAAGGGTCAATTCTTGAAGTGGTGGAGTTGAGTTGTAGGAGCCTGGTAGTAGGAGGGTACCAGATATTGATAGGTGCACCCGGAAAGGTTTACTTAAGCGAAGCGGGCGACTGCATCCTCCATCTTTATTTTCTTCCACATCGAGACATCTCGCCAACTTCACGCGGCTCCATCGCGTCGTGAACGGTGAATGGCAAATCTACCTTCCGGCCCCGTCGATTTTCATTGAGTTCCAGTTTGATGACTGGAGGACGATAATGAGGTACAATAATGAAGCTGGGAGACATGCAAACCGCTTAACGACAGGGTCCAAATAACACGAGCCGTACCAAGATTTCATTTGAAGATGGAGCCGGGGAGGACACGAGCGGCAGGAAAGCTGAAGATTGGCGGGAACTGGAAGCCAAATACAGAAAGTTTGCATATCCGCTTTGATTCTCTCGAGCAGCTTTTAGTCAGTGAAGAGGCCGCCCAAGACATCGAAGCTGAACTACCCCGCCCTACTGACCACGATTATACTCGCAAAAATCCCACAACGGCCTGTGAACCCCGCCGCCCTCAAAGATTTGCGCTCTATTCATCCAGCTCGGGCTCAATACTCGAAGGCACGTCTTTTATCGAGTTGGGGTTGGCGGGACAAGACCTCCGACACTTTTTCTCGCAGGGCAGGAAGAACGCGTGGTGGCTTGATGTACAAAATCCCTCAGAAAAGACGGTGCGCCAGCTCAGCTCAGCTTTTGGCATACATCACTTGACGGTAGAGGATATTGTGACGGGCGAATGTGGAGAGAAGATTGAGGGTTTTCCGTTCTACTACTTCACTTGCGTTCGGTCCTTCCATGTCGTTCAAACCGGATCGCATTTCGAATATGAGCCCTACAATATATACGTGGTAGTGTTTGATGAGGGCGCACTGAGTTTTACTTTCACACAGAGCGAGCACAGCACTCATGTTCGGGACAGGATTGAGCTACTCAAGGATTACCTCTCCATAAGTAGCGACTGGATCTTCTACGCTTTACTGTTGGTTTTTCCCACGCTAGAATGACCAATACACCGCTAATACAAGCTGCAGTGATGATATTATTGACTCTTTTGCACCTTCTATCACGCTGATCGAGAGACAGGTCAACGAGATTGACGATCAAGTCTACACTACTCGCGCAGATGATATGCAGGCATTTCTCCGTACTATTGAAGACGCCCGGCGTCGCGTGCTAAGCTTGATAAGGCTTCTGAGTGGCAAGACAAACATTCTTCGCACTTTTGGTAATCACCATAGCGAGGAAAGCGAAGCCAGCGAGGACGCAGAAGAGAAGCCTACTGAAACAGATCTCCAGAGGTACAAGTCACCAGGCGAAGACATCAGGCTCTACATCGACGATGTTCAAGACCATGTTACGACCATGATGTCCAGCTTGTCTCAATTCGAGGGCCTGTTATCCCGTTCGCAAAACAATTACCTCGCTCAATTGTCTATCGATAATTTAGCAGGCGTGTACCGACTCAACGATTTCTTGGGCAAGATGGCGGTTCTAACTTCTGTCCTCTCTCTCCTCAATTTTATCTGCAATCTTTTCGGCCAGAATGTCAACGGCGGCGTCTCTTTTTACACAAACAATACCTACTTGCCGTTCGCGCTCATTGTGTCTGGCGAGGCGGTCCTTGCTGCTGTTCTGTTTTACTTGGTCAGAAGATCTAGGTGGTTCTCGACGGCTCCATCGGCACACTAACGGAGCTCATATATCATGCATTACGCAAGGAGATCGGGGGCGTTTGCGGGAGATGGTGGAACATGGCCCCTTCCATCTTTATTAAAGCTCATGTAATCTGTTGTAGGAAAAGAAGCCGTGCGAGAAATAGCGCATGAGGTTATTCCTTCGTTCCGCGGGTGCATTGCTTGCATCTCTCTGATGAAACAAGGGCCCGAATAGCAAATATTATTCCACGATGCTATGGTCCATATCTCCAACAAAACCGTTATGGAATTGACGGTATTTCTGTATCACCATTGGGGGCATTCGAACATTCGAATGCAGGCGCAGCTGTGAAAGGTTCAGCCTGACAAGATCCGACAGTGCAGGAAATTAAACTTCCATCATTCCAACCTATTAGTCAAGCCCAATGGACGTCTTCATCCGCCGCCATAACTCCCTCTTCAACCCATCTAGCCAGAACCTCGTCCTATCAAGCGAGCCCCTATTTTCAACGACTCGCCTCACCAAGAACTGAATGCACTCCTGGGTCTTGCCCCAACATAAACATTTGAAAGCTCTCGGATACCAGACTTTCTCGGAGCCATTGCCCCCAACCGCCATCATCTCCCGCCGCATCTGGACAAGTCCACAGCTCACCTCATCCGCCATACCTTGCAACTGTCCGATCTCCAACTTGATCGTTGGCAGCCCCTTCTCATTTCTCTCCCTCCAGATTTCATATCCCGATCTCACACTCTCTGCATTATGAGACGCAAGGAAGAGCTGCATATGTGGAAACTCCACGTCTTGAGACACGCCGGGGAAGGTCCTGGAGAGCAGGTTCCGAACAATGGAGTTGTAGCACGCGTGCGTATCCTCGATCGTGTCATGGATCAGCGCCCGCTCCTCGCTCGTGATGTACGCACCGCGAACGAGTTTGATGCCGAGGCTCCAATCCTCCTTTTGTGCCAGCTGCAAGTGCCGGGTGATGTTCTGAGGCGTGCTTTTGAGGTACGCCTGGAGGGTGTTGTATACCAGGACTCGGCCGTCACGGTTATACTTCCGCATGAGATCGATGGTCCAGGTGTCGATTGCGTGCTGGAAGACTTGCTGCTCGGCGTCGATCCAGAGACGCGTGCCTTGCTTGGAAGCCTGGTCGCATATTTCTGTAATGGCTGCTTCTAGCACTGGCGGAGGAGCTTCCCTCTTCGTCATGGCCTCTATAGCTGCTGGACCCGCACCCGTCAATCTATATCATTGCTTAGCCATTTTACTTCTCGATTTCACAAAGGGGACTCACTTCACGGCCAGGAAGTCTTCAGGGCCAAGCATAGCTAGTGTTTGCAAAGTCCCCTCTTTCCACTCCTTCACCACCCGCTCAGCTATATCAGCAGCCGACGTCTCTACATTATCTTTCGGGGACGCACTCTTCTCCACCAGTGTCTCGCGCGCATATCCCAGAATCACACCCTCGAACCCCATCTTCGCCATTGTCGCCATCGTCTTCTTGACCTCCGCCTCATTCTCTCCCGCGCAGAAATGGTCATAGAACACCCGTCTCACAATGCCATGCAGTACAGGATTTCGATCCGGGTTGAGGAACCACGATTTGCTGTACGAGATCCGGTGCATGATCGGGATACTGAGCCCGACCAGCCGCGGCGACGACAGGATGTACGTCATCATGAGAGAGCGAAGCAGGATCCGCGTGGGCATTACAGAGAGCGGCGGGAGCGGCTTTGGACTGCGTGATGGCGTTGGGTTCTCAGTAGGTTTCTCGTCGGACGCTTGGACGCTGGGCGTCGCTGATGCGCTGCTGGATCCTGCGCGGCGGGGGAAAGACCCAGATCTCCATCGCTGTCGCGCAAGGCGTGCGATATATCCTAGCGGTGCATCTGATCTAGCAAACCTCCGCTCCATCACGAAAGAAACCTCACCCAGGTGCCTCCAGAGTGAAGATAGATTAGATGACTGAGCGTGCTATCGCAGCCCACCACCTCTCCCATCCATCTCCATCCTAGATATAAACCCAGATATCCAGATCCGGCCAGTGATAACTACCCCACCACAAAGCGGGGTTATAAAAGGCTTAACTTATCGCGCTCGCTCGTCGATAAGTGGGGGTGACAGTTGTCACGGGGAGGTACTGAGCGGGCAATACCTTGCCTATGCGGCCGTGTTGCATGCACAGCGAATGACAGGTGGAACGTGTTCTAACACGCAAAAGGAAGCTAGCTGAACGAAGATTTCTATGTTTTTCGCTCTGCTTTATCTGGATGTCTGTATGCGGAAACGTTATCCTATATTTTTGGGAATATGCATACGTATAGAGAGCCGGGTTATAGATGGAGCGTAGAACAGCAAATAGAAAGAATGGACAAAAAGAAGAGGTTCGACCAGTTAGACAGGAGGATATTTCATGTCTTAGATCTGCTGTCCTAAGTCTGAGAAGGGTCGATCTTATACCTATGTGATCGAGTGTAATAGGAAAGCTGGCGTATGGTACGCATAGACGCTGAAGATGAAACCAGTATTGATGAACAGCCTTCGAAATCTCCTCGTCAAAACCCCTAGGGGTAACAGAAACAAGCGCATATATATAATCCAAGTTCAGCAAGTCAATATCCCCATAGCGCCCCTAGAGTACTTTTTCCTAATTGCAAGATTCTACACTTCATTACTAGCATACGTGATCTCCCTCGCGCCTACGAAGTCCTCTTTGATAGCTCGAATACTCGCAAACCGAAGCAACACATTCACCGACCCAACCTTATCATTCGTGCCACTTCCGCGACTGCCCCCAAACGGCTGCTGCGCAACGACCGCTCCCGTACTCTTAGTATTGATATAAAAATTGCCCGCCGAGTGTCGAAGTGCCGTTTCCGCTTCGCGGAGCGCGAGCGGGTCGCGGCCGAAGACGCTTCCTGTGAGGGCGTATTTGGAAGTCCCGTCAATGAGTTTGAGCGTCTCGGTCCACTTGTCGTCGGGAAAGACGTAGATTGTGCAGATTGGGCCGAAGAGCTCTCGTTGCATAAGCTCGTGCTGGGGATCGCTGGTTTGGTAGACGGTGGGATAGATATAGTATCCCTCTTCCTTGGAGGTCTTCCCACCCGCAAGTAGTGTGAGGGCGGGGTCGGTTTTGGCTTTTTCGATGACATCTGCAAGTCGATTGAAGGCATCTTCGTGGATCACTGCGTTGACGAAATTTTCGTAATTTTCTGGGCTGCCGACTTTGAGTGCTTTGGTCTTCTGCACGATGCCTTCTTTCACTTGCGGCCAGATAGACTCCGCGACGTATACACGGGACGTGGCTGAGCATTTCTGTCCCTGGTATTCGAAGGCTCCTCGAATGGTGTTGTTGACTGCGTTCTCAATATCTGCGCTCTGATGGATGACATGGAAGTTCTTTCCTCCAGTCTCTCCAACAACTCTGGGATAACTCAAATATTTGTCCTCCGCTGTAGCGACTCCTATATTGCCCAACAGGCTTTTAAAAACTTGGGTGGATCCGGTGAAGTTCAGACCGGCAAAATGAGGACTATCAAATAGGATTCTGCTGATTTCTTCGGCGTCCCCTGGAACGAATTGAACCACGTCCTTGGGGAGGCCAGCCTCCAACAAAATGTTATAGAGAAGCCAGCTCGCATGCAAGGCATATAGTGAGGGTTTCCAAATAACGACATTGCCCATTAAGGCTGGCCCAGCCACCAAGTTCCCCCCAAGAGCGGTGAAGTTGAAGGGAGAAATCGCATAAATGAACCCTTCTAGTGGCCGGTATTCAAGTCTATTCCATACACCCGGTGGATTGACAGTCGGTTGCTGTGCTAGAAGTTCCATTCCACATTGAACATAGAATCTAGTAGTTGTCAATACCAACTTTCCTGGTCATTCCAAACACCCTACCGGAATAAATCTGCTGTCTCTGCTGCAGCATCAATCTCAGCTTGGTGGATATTCTTCCCCTGGCCTAGCATTGTCGCGGCAATGATCTCATAGCGATATTTCCCTGTCACCAGGTCAGCCGCTCTAAGGAACACGGCTGCACGGTCCTCGAATGGGAGATCTTCCCACGCAGATTTGGCTGCTAACGCAGAATTGATTGCTTGGTGAACATGTGCTTCTTTCGCTGGCGCCCATTCTGCTAAAGGTTGTCTGTGTTGAGAAGGATTCAATTGTTTTTCTGAGAAGCTCCCACTAATCTGCGTAGATCGAGTGAGCATGAGTGAAGTTGTGTTAATAATACGATTGCGACTCACTATTTGCCCCCCAATCATTAGTGGGATCTGAATTGGCAGCTCTGCCTTCAACCTTTCGAGAGCTTTCGTGATTCCTCTACGTTCAATTGATCCCTTGGCATACGATGGCTGAAGAAACAGAAGTTAGCATTGTCATGACTACATTTGCGTGTGGAAGTAATGAATCAGCTTACACTCGGTTCATTTTCAAAAAAGGGTTTCTTGTACGTAGCAATGCCCATACGGCAGACAGTACAACCAGGTACTTGTAATAGATTCCAACGAGGCAAGAAATGCCTCGGTCGGACCAGTCGTCGAAACATTGCCGCAATGCCTGGTACTTTATTGCCAACGGAAACGACAGACTTCTCAGACTCGGTTTTTGGCTGTAGAGCCTGCTCTCACTTCATTCGAGATCTGGGGGAAATGTAGGAACAGGCCTCTAATTATACCACCATAAAGGGGGGTTGCACGTTCTGCGATATAGCAGCTGCCGTGCGTCGCCCGACGGGGACACGTCCGGAGTCCATAAGTGGGATTATCGCTCAGTAGAAGCTTGACCTAGACTGGTACCTTGCAAGTTTCGCACAAGCCACTTCTGTAATACTCAGTATCGTATCAACTTAAACTGGGTGTTTATGACTTGTCCATCATTGGCGCATAAAGTGCAGGGATCGAGCCCGAATGGTGTCCACGTGAAACCCACGTATTACCCCTACTTTCGTATGTTCATTGGTGGGGTATGATCTCCCAAGATACCGTATATGCTGTAGTATGTGAATAAATCGTAAAGCTGCCCAAGTCCCCAAGCCCAAGAAACCCAGATGCAGTTTTGGACACAGCCCTGAACGATGAGTAGTTAGAAGCATATTTCGGTAATCGGTTTGCCGGAATGATGAACCGGAGGAGATCAATACTGACAGTCCAAGAAAACCGGAGAATACTAGTTGCGCGGATTGAGATAGTGGAAGTTGAAGATGATAATTTAGTGCGAGGGGATAAGAGCCATAGTTGCGCAGGGCTGCGGTCTGCAAATGTACAAGACACCAATCATCTCTGTCAGGCTCATCCGTAGCAAGCAACTCAGATAAGTTGTGGATTGGTACCTCAGCCTGTGTAGAAATCGCAAGGAAACTATAGAATCGTTGAAAAAAAAAAGCATTTCATATTTTACAGTCTGCCTGGTTTGATGTTGAATTTCCAATCAATGCTGCTACTGAACATCGCATCCACTTTCGTGTTCGGCGACCCCGTAACGTGCCTTTTGTATTAATTGCGAGATTGGAATCCCCGACTTGTCTTCCAGGAATGGCGCTATTTCGGCATGCGTGGCTACGACGACAGTTTTGAATATCGGACTGGCTATATTTTCCGTCTGCTGCTGCCAATCTCTCCCATATAGATCACGATTATCCCGTCGACCTGGGATATACATGGCATAGCTGGGACCCCAGTATCTTTCGCAGTCGATAAAGGAGATGTCTCCACGTTCGGGGCTGTGCTGATCTTCAACCACTCTTCTTTGGTCGCCAACAACAAAGTATAATTCCTCCAGTTTTCCCATGTGGCCCTTGAGTGTTTTACCTACAATGCCAACCCATTGCGGTGCTCTCCCAACATGTATTGCTAGCTTCCTCACCTTATTTTTCAACTCGGGAAGCCGTGCAAACTCACTGCAAACCATATCACCCGCATACCTCATCTCATCGCTAAGGGTTGGAGAACCATCTAGAAAGATGATATCATGTTTTAAATTGACGAATGTCCCGAAGACGAAGGTCAGGTTGAATTTATCGAGAGCGACATCACGAGATTCTCGACAAGTGTGAAGAAGCGGGTGAATGGTATGAGGGGAGAGAAATATCGCTTTTTCATCCAACGAGCGGAGATCAGGATGGTCTGCAGGTTCGATGTCTATGGTTTTTGTAGCTGACGAGTTGAAGCGATGCATGCTTCTCATAGTACGGGTGGGTAGAGCATGAATAGGGTGTACTCGAGGCTCACGGTATGGTGTATCATCCAGGGCAAAGGACCATATCTTGATTCGAAGTTCAACGGGGAGCAAAGGAAATAGAGCAAAGCCCGCGACCTCTCGTATACGTGCGCGCAAGCTTCGCTCAAGGTCATCCAGCCCCGCCTTCTGGCTTTCTAGCCGAGATATCAGGTAATCCAATCGTAACTGGCGGTCGTGCACTTTTATTTCGCGGTCAGCGAGACTCTGTTCCCACAATTCCAACCTCGCCTCCCGTTCATTGAGAACTGCTTCTCGATAATCCAAGTCGATGTTTGGTTGATTTCCTCGCACTGTATCCCGTCTATCTGGCCTTGTCTCTGCGTCACAGAGCTCCTCATTGTGCCGGTTCACCGCCTGTAGGCTCTCCTGCGTCACGTCGGAGTCTGCCGACTCATACCGCCGATTATCACTTTTCAGAGATGGCGAAGACATCGAGTTGGGCCGTGTCAATTGGCCTGCTATGGGTGTTGTCGATACGGACAGCCGAATGATGTTGTTAAGAGTTGCGCGGCGTTGGAATTTGGAGGAGTGAGAGGTTGGGACAAGGTTCGTCAGCCTTGCATAAGGCTAATCGGGGTTAGTCCCACCCTGGCTTAGTCTTGGTCCGTATGGGGGAGAGGCTGAGAGTTGAGTTAATGTGCTGGTTTTGGATATACAGCCTGGGTATAGAGAGTTTCAAGACGAAATCCAAGGTTGATATCCCCTAACTCCGTTCAATGCAAGTTTCCCTGTGTGGCACCATATGACGTGCAGTCATACAGAATATCCCACCCCAATCCCATCACCACCGCGCATGCCGACATGACAATATTCCCAGGAGATCTCAATCCTTCGTAGCAGCAACACTCATCCGCAATTGCCTCTGCCTCTGCTGCGACTGCAAATTCAATCTCTCAACGGCGTAGCCGAGTCTCTCTTTCTTCTGCCGGAGCGCTTTCAGTCTATTTGCCGCCGTTAGCTCAGTCTCATCCGTTATGACTCCACCTCCACCCGGAAAAGGAAAAGCAGCACGTACCGCAAAGCCTTCTCTTCACTCCCTTTCCCAAGACTGCTGTTCCGCACCAATTTATCCAGACTTCTCTTCTTCCGTAACTCGTCCCTCTTTCCGATTTCCCCGTCTCCCTCTAACCTCCCCTCTAAGAGTTCACTCCGCGCACGGAGACTCTCCTGCTTCCTCTCCAACTTCGCAATATATAGTTCGCTCCGTTGCAGCAGTGTCGAGATTGCGGGCTCGAGTTCTGAGGCGAGGGATTGCTGTGCCGTTTGCAGGTTGTGGTGGGTAGTCAACTCAAAATGCTACCATAAAGCCATTGTATCAGCCCTGGTCACTAGAGACATTGTTTCGGGATTCAAGAAAGGAATAAGAATGGAAATAATATATACCCGTGTGCTACTCAAGACGGATTTCAGGCGTGGGAAATCAGAGATGCCCGCGTCGAGGATAGAAATCGACGAATCCAGGAGGGAAAGTGAGGACCGAAGGGAGCTTACGGACGCGCCGAGCGATTGAGATGATGATGTTGCCATTTTAATTGTTTGATCGGGAGAATCAGCGGGGAAAAGGCTTGGAGAGAAGTTTGTTGACGCGAGAGGTGGGGAGTCGCGACATGTTTTGATTGCGGTGGCACGTGACTTAAATGGACCCATGTCAAATGGTTCTAAGGGATGCTTCCCCCTCCTACAGAAGACTCTGTGACAATAGATATCTTGTTGGCTGAAATAATCGAATATCAAAATATAATAGCAATTAGAAAAACTTCTATAGAGAATCTAAGACCACTAGGGGTTAGCATTATGAAGCGCATTGTTTCCTACAAAGGGCTTGTTTGGGGGAAGCCGTACGATATAATGATACGGTGGAAGCAAATGAGCGCGTGATTTGTTATTCAAAGTGGGATTCATTAAGTTCTGCAATCAATGGGGAACTCAGGCATACAAGGGTGGTATCTTAAACCAGCCTCAAAATTACCGCATCGCACCATTCCGGCTCAGGGATACTATACGAAGCAATACTCAACATACAACGTATCATCCGGCTACCACATTATCTCTCACCCAAGCAGACCTAAACTCCAGAAGATCCAGCTGTCCATACATCTCGCCAACAACTGTGAGTATCATGTCAACCGTTGCCATGGTATTCCATTTTGAAGATTTGATTTCTTGATCCGCATCTCGAACCTGTGGCTCTTGATTGAGTTCGTCTTCCAGAGCTCCTTTCTCAAGATTCGCAAGGATTCGCGCCTTTGCAGCCTCAAATTTTGCTTCTTCAGAATCCTGTAGAGGCTCATCTGAAGGTAATCGTTCTTCCTCCATGCCAGAAATTAGAGGCTGACTATTGCTGAGAGATTGAGCTTCAAGTCTGGTTCTTTGGTTCTCCATAGGGATATCAGCGATCGTGCCATCACCACTCAAGTCTTTGGCTGAACTGATCGGGGGGTTCCTGTCAATCGAGTTCTGTTCATCCAGCCTTGCGTTTTCCAAATCAGAAGGTAGTTGAGGACCAATTTGAGGACCACCAGTCGAAGTGCCGTGAGTTGAAACATAGGACTCGGTTGCCGTCGGATCAGTCCCGAAATCAAGATCATCGTCAATATCCAACTGAATCTCCTCCTCATTTACAATCGGATATGTTTCCTCCTCTTCTTCGTCCTCGTCAAATCCGGCTTCTACCTCGTGCATCCCCTCCTGCCAGTCCTTCTCCCCCTTAAGGCCCATACCCACCAACACCGCCTTCTTCCCTAACTCCCTAATTATACCAATCTCTTCACTCGATAGCTCGCCTCTATCTGGTAGCTTCGCCAATAATGCCCACGCCCACTGGCTAACACTCATTTTGATATCTGTTCCGCTCTTGAGCAATTTCCCTCCCGTCAACGATCCAAGCACCCTCAAGACAGTACTCTTATCCATACTTGCAATCTGAGCCGGCGCCGGATTTATGGTTTCCATTTGATGTCTCCACCATTTCGCGATCGAATTGCTTTTCGTTCTTTTGGCGGGCCGTATGGGATGCTTCGAATCCAGCTTCGCCACTATTTCCGGGGGTGGTGTTTGCCGCAGCTGTGCCCGTAAAGCTTCGAATCGTGAGAGGATTGAGTCAAAATATGCGAGCTGTGGGTCCCTTTCTACCACTCTGTCTTCTCCCTCAGCGATATCCGAGCTTATGGGTACAGAGTCCCAAGTGTAGTATGCACCGTCTTCGTAGTAACCGCTGTAGTCGGCAACATCATCTTCGTATGTGCCATCATCATATGCCTCCGTAGTATTTTTTGGAGCAACCAGGAGATTTGGAATCCCAGTTGCCTCCTCCCTGTTCCAACCTCAAGTCAGCATCTCTCTGAAGGACGGGTATCTCAGCACGGTCTCTTGCTTGGAACGGACGAGGGGCTTACCTGACTGCTCGGAGATAGCTCAATGCATCCATGCTATCTTCATCGTAACTCAGCCCACCTTCATCCACATCCACCATCGGTTCGTTATCAAGATCTGGCAGCGCGCTTCGTTGGCCATATGTTGGGTCCACGCGAGCTTCGACGATTGGGGGCCGCGAGCGCGATTTATTACTATATAGCTGGCTTGGAGAATCTTCTCCATGTTTGCGTTTCGTTCCTGCCATCCTTCTGGGCGGAGAGTAGGGCAGGAGATTTTGGCTGTAAAGTCTGAAGCTGCAGCCTCATGGAAAATTACCTAGGTAGACTTGAGCCTTGCCGATTAGTAAGCCACTTCACGTGACTCTATATATAGGGTACCTAGGTAGGTATATAGGTACCTTAGGTATGCTGGAAATCCATCTGAAGCCCTGAGATATCTGGAGTGAGTTTGGCTGTTAGAGGAATTTAGGATCAGTTTCACCGATAGGATGGTTCAATAATAAAACGTTCTCACACCTATGAAGTATAGTCTGATGGGCTTAGAACCTAAGGAACCGTTTGGTATCTTGTCTTCGTTGGTAGGTAGAGATTAGATCTTCTACAAGAGATTGTTGTAGTCTCAATTATTCTATTTTGTTTCTTTTAAGTGTCTAAAGTGTCAACTGTTAAGTAGAACTCGAATTTCTGAAAGAAAGAACCCTTCCCCACCCCTTCTCTTAAACCTCGCTTAAGCCCCTTTCATGCCTCGTCCAACAATACCTACTAACAAGACGGTCTCGATGCGCAGTGCTATTCGTAGAAATGTAATAGTAAAAAGAGATGGCTCACTTCTATATTATATGTTCCCAGGAATGGGCAATAGGTGGAAGCGTCTAGAAGATTCATAGTTACAGCGTATTCACGCACACCCCTCAATAGCTGGTGTTTGGTTCATGGCGCCAGGGTAGAGAGCAAGAAGATTCATATATTTGGGAGACTATTGGGCGACTAAGAATCTGCCTCAGAGGATAATGTATAGACTTTAGAGTTTGGTGTTCACACGATGACTGGAGTTACAGGAGTTTTGCTTTATCCTAAGCAGGTATTTGGTAGCTATGTAGAAATATAGAGTTGATTAATTTGAGGCCAATTGATTTCTGAAGTAAATAGAATAGGGAAAGTATGCAGGGGAGATATTCTATAAGTTGCAGTTCAAGCACCAAAGGCCTAGTCGTCAAGTTCGTCCTCTAGAAGCGGATCGCTAAGTCGGGCTCCTCCATCACAGTGAAATCATTGTCGTCTCATAATTCAGCGTCCACTCGTCATGCCCCTCCATATTTGGTCTTGCATAAGCGTCATCTGGTGCGTTATGATCAAGCAGCTTCCCATCAGTTCCTAATGGAGCTTTTTTATCCTCCAGGCAAGGCGGGTTAGGACACACCCAGACCGATGCGAGAAGCAATTATCACGGCTGACTTTTACCGTGCCCGGTTCAATGGTAGCATGAATAGGATTCGAGCGTGTCCAATTGGCGCACAGGTGACTCAAGTGCCATTGTTTCTTGATGAACCCGTCTCTCTGCTGCTTGGTCATCTTGTGGTATACGAGCTTGGACACAATTAGAATTGAGAAAGAAGGACAGAATCCCATGTTACCTGCAAATGGAATGCGAAGCCAAGTAGGTTGTTAAGATATGAATAGACTTGCTTTCCCAAGACTCGTGTCACGTGCTGCCTCGACTTCCTGAACACTTCGAGCCTCGCTCAGATAAACCTTCAGCTCGACACCTCTCAACTGCATGTCCAAGCAATCAGCTGCACAAAAAGGGCTGTAAGGATCTGTAGTATCCGAACAGTTGTCCGTTCACTAGGCTGGTTCCGTTCGGTGTCCTCACTTTCTCTGGTGGCGTTTCTGAGGCACTCAAGGAATCTGTTCAATGATACATACTCTTTATCGATACTCGCCTTCAGAGTGCAACCACAAGCATAGGCCCTCTGCTTAACCTGGCTGAAGAGGGTACGAAGAACCTGGAAGGGGGTACCCTTGCCCTGGTCGCTGCAGCATTCGATTTGACAGAAGATAGGCGTGTGGCAGTTGAAGAAGTCCTAGCCAGCAAAGGTAACCTGCCCAGTTCCCAATTAGCAGCTGATATATTCCTCGAGGTAAATAGATCAAAAATGTATGTCCTTGGCTAATGGTACTTCAGATGCCGACCATCCCAATTCCATGTACCAACTGCCTGCGATTCCACTACGGGGTCTGTTACGATCCTCCAAAGCAATGCTACCGATGTGGTGGATCTAGCCACATTGAAAGATACTGCCCGCACAAGCGCCGCATCCAGAATGACCCCGGGGAGCCTCTTCCAGGTACTCGTGCTTGGTGCGATAAACACGGGTTGGACCATGACCCCGAGCTGAAGCGGAAAATTTTAAACGCCATCAAAACTTCGCCTGGGTGTGCGATCTGGGTTAACGACGTATGCATATATGGTGGCAATCAACAGCACTTTGTGCGTGATGACCGGCCTAGAGGTCGCCCACTGGAGGAACGCATCACCCGCCGACGTTCCAGATCTCCACTTAGAGAAAGGTTCGAACGACGTTCACCCTCGCCATTAAGAAGATACGATCATTGGGGATACGACGTATCGCCGCCTGGTATGCGAAGACAGTCCGTCTATGACCAACGGAGATCTCGATTTAGATCGCGAAGTCCAATTCGACGACGGTCTCCCTCTCCATACTATCGACCCAAACCAAGGCCACGATCCCCGCGATATACTAGAGATAGCAATGCCGATGTTTACAGGCCCAAAGACAACTCGCCTGGAAGTTCCAAGCAGACTTCGTTCATTCCAGAATTCCACGCCCCGCTGAGCAATGTCACTAATATCAACAATGCCACAGAAGCCACAACGCTTAGAACTGAGAAGCCAACGAACGAACGACTGGTCCCTGAGGCACAGAAGAGGAATGAAAGTTACACATTACGTTCCTCCCCACCACAAGCACCAGTACGCGAGGAGCCTCATGTGGATGACCCGCACTTGGTCTTGGGAGTTGTACAGGGAGCCGGAGAGCAAGAGTAAGTCTCCCTGACATATTATCCTGTTTCACTCCTCTGAGACTAACAACTACCTGCAGGATCTGCGATGCGTACCTACAGAAAATGTGGGAGATTGAGATGGATAGGATGGGTGTTGCAAATGGCCCACAGGAAGAGGGATCTGAGACCCCGGTCTTCGAGCAGAGCATCAAAGTCTTGAATGCAGCCAGGAAACAGATTATCGGATACTAAGGGAATTTGCAAGGAGAATAGGTTATCGGGGTACCAGTTGCTCGGAATGAGAAAGCGAGGAGTTGAAATAGTTTACAAAGAACTGTTGTGAATTGTAGGGATATTGCCTGGGCTTCTGCTGGGGATGTACAGAAAGCTTTGTTGTTAAATACGAGGGCATGACTCGCTATTTAGCATTCCACTGTTGCTAGAACAGCATAGACACGACATTCGCAGATCAATTGATCGATTGCTCGCCTATCTCAGACTGCTCTCCTTCTCGCATTTGGCTTTAAGGAAGGATCAAGTAGGAGACGTAAATTGCTGAGAGTTAAACGGCTGCGAGAAGATCCCCATTACTCGTGAAGATCTACTCTACTATGCCATTTCATCATTGACGATCCAAACTCCGGCCACTACTCCAAGCGGCCGTTCCCTCTCCGCTGCCTCCAGAATATCCCCCAGATCCTGGGCATCCCGCTTTATCCTCTCAGTCGCCGTCCACGCCAGCCGCGCATGGACTCTCACACTCCGCAGATCCGGCAACCTCCCTTCCTCTACCGCATCAAAAATCGTATCCGGGTCAATCCCGACTTCTACACCCGCCGTAGACGAGCAGTCGAGCTCGAGAATCCGCAGCGGGTGAGACTGCGGGATGGATTCGAAGAAGGAGTGCGAGATGTAGTCGGCGGAGACGCGGAAGGCGATGAGGGAGGGGCAGAGGAGGAGAATGTGGTCTAGGGCAGAGGGGAAGAGTTTGGTCATCGGATGACGGATGGTGAGGTGTTGGAGCTGGGGCCCTAGAACCTCTAGACAGTCCATCAACCCCCCCACATAAGCCTGCGAACAGTGTTGGATACTCAGCCTCTCCAGTGTCTTCGGCGCATGTATGAGTTGCCATTTCAGGAAATAATTGTCAACCCCGCCGGCTAGATGCAGCGCCTTGAGCCTAGGCGGCCAGGTATATCGCGCTCCCTTCTCTATTTCCGGGCCTTCCGTCCAGGGAGTAACACCAGGCCTAGAACTCCGTGGGAAGAAAAGCGTTTCCAGATCGTTCATCGTAGACAAGGTGTTAAACAATTGTTCCATCTCAATCGATGCTGGTACTAAGGAGAGATCCAGATACCGCAGGCGTACACATTTACTAAGCGCCGCGAACGAATTGATGGCAAAACTCGTCTGCGGCGCCACAAATTCCTCCAGGTTCCCCTTTAAGCGCCCCAGCAATCGTGCGGTGAGTGAGCGGCTCGAGTTATGCACAAGTTCAGACATGTCAAGGCGGTGGACGAGGACAGAGAGCGGGGTATGCCGTATGTGTGCATTTTTGGAGGGGCAAATGGTGGAGACGAAGAAGGAGAAGTTCCCAGGAGTGAGGTGCGGATGGTCATAAAGGCGGGCAATGGCAGCAGAATACCAGGCGCGGGAGACAAGTGTACAGGCCCAGAAGGTTGGTTGGGAGGAGGCGCGGCGGGGTATAAAGGAGAGGATCAGGGAGATGATCTCAGTGGGGAGAGGGACTTCGCGGGTTGACACCTTGAGAGGGGACGACGACGTTTGCGCAGATGAGGGCGATTTCGTAGTGGAAACGTTCTTTGCAGAGGTACGAGGTCGGAGGGCAACTCTCATCGGCTGGGACATCTCAACGTTCCAGTTACTCTGGGCGTCGAGGGCCATGGCGGGTGGCAGCTGTCCTCGGGGTGGTGGGGTTGTTGAATTTGCCGTACTGAGGTAAGAAGTCCAGGCCCCAAGGTTTCAAGGTCGGAATAGCGTCATTTTCAGGACCAAAGGACGATTTCCGTCGCATTCAGTCAAAGCTGGAGAAGATGTAGAGTTCCCAGAGCCGCGAACTTTACTGACATGGTGATGATTAGTCATTGCTATCTCTCTGCTTAGTCATCCTGATAATGACAGCCTGACAGGTCGGTGAAGCGCCTCAGGCATCAAATCGGCCAGCAGTAAGACCCGTTTCTGGGAGCAGCCCGTAATTGGAGACCAGACTTCCACCGGAACGAGGATCATGGTGATTAAGGCTGCGGGCTCAGAGAACCTGCTTTGGAAAAAGAACTTTGATTTATCTACCAGCGGAACGCTTGGCCCCATCTGAGATTGCCAAGCATCATTGGTTCTAACTTCTTTGATGAGTTCGAAGACTAAAAGCTCTCTATTCGTGTTGATCCTTGAGGGGGTGACAACGGTAGAAATGCCTTTGGACCATGGTTCATCGTATACCTCAAAGTTCACTATGGTTGGAAGGAACAGGACCCGAACGGCGGCAGATAAATAGCTAGACCTTGCTGGTGCACAAAGGATGTGGGAGAACCCAAAGCAAATGTCACAATCGATCAAGTCCTAGCTCCCGTAACACTAGCTGTTTGATCAAGCACGTTCCTCGACAACCTTCTCCAACGACACCCCCTTCGAAGACTAACGTCTCGACCTTTGCTCTTCAAAGACTATCATGAACCTCCAATGCACAGTCCTTTCCGGACATTTGTCCCAGCAGATGCCAATGGACAAGTAGTACAGAGCTTGACAGAGGACCAAGGCAAAGTGAGACTGAGCGACATTATTCTGAGGCGTATGGTTGCAGTAAAGGCCTTGCCAAACTCCAAAACCTCTCACCAAAGCTTCTCCGAACAAACAGTCAATCGTCCCAATGCCTCGAAAGCCAAGCAAATGCGGTAAAAGACGTTGCGGCTCCTGCCTGCTTCCGCCGGCAATCCTTCTATTTCTCTTGTGGTATTCACCAGGAGCTTATAGCAGGAATTGTCAAAATTGCTCGGGGCTGCTAGCTTAGGATTCACAACTCCGTAGAAAGAAAGACTTTTTCAACCCCCGTCGGCACTTGCTCCTCGGCACTTGGCAAAGAGCGCATGTCTGATGTCTCCAATATCTGTGGTCAAGGAGAAAGTGTTGCCGGCCTGCTGACTAAAGTTCGAAAGTGAAAGCGAAAGCGGTGGATTATCAATCGAGCAATCAGTAGTTCGATCATGGATAAAAGAGGCGGATCCCCCTCCAAAAGACCCCTCTTCACCACCTCAACCGTCCCGTCCAACCCGGCTCAATCACCATGTCGACCTCCACCGTTGGTAAATACGCCTCCAAGCTCTCCGGAGCCCGCATCCTGATCCTGGGCGGTACTTCCGGAATTGGTTTCTGCGTGGCCGAGGCGTGTGTCGAGCAAAACGCCACCGTCATCGTATCCAGCTCCTCTCCGGCCAAGATCTCCAAAGCCATTGAGCGCCTCAAGACCTCCTACCCCGACAAGAGCGCCAACATCAGCGGCCATCCCTGCGACCTCTCGAAGCCCGCCCTCCTCGATGCCAACCTCAGTGCCCTCCTGAACACCGTCACCGACGGCGCCAAAGCCAAACTCGACCACATCGTCTACACGTCCGGTGATGCCCTGCAAATCGTCCCCCTCTCCGAGTACACCATCGAGAACATGTACGCCGCCGGCACCGTGCGCTTCTTCGGCCCGCTCCTCGTTGGCAAGCTGGCCCCTGCCTTCATGAACCCCGGCCCGACCTCGTCCATCACCTTCACCGGCGGCACCAACAGCGACAAGCCGAACAAGGGCTGGGTCGTGGTGGCGGCGTACGGCGCGGGCATGGAGGGCATTGCGCGCGGGCTCGCCGTCGACCTCGCGCCGCTGCGCGTCAACATGGTCTCGCCGGGTGCGACGCACACGGAGCTGTTTGGCGACATCCCGGATGCCGTACTGCAAAGTTTCGCGGCGGGAACGCTGACGAACACCGTGGGCAAGCCAGAGGATGTCGCGGAGGCGTACGTGTATGCAATGCGGGATCGGTTCATTACCGGAACGGTGATCTCGACGGATGGCGGGCGATTGTTGAAGTAGGTAGGTAGGTTGGTAGGTGAGGGTGGAGGAGTTGCGGGGTTTGGGATTGTAACGAAGGCTGCAGACCTGTCTGTCAGATTGACAATGCATAAGCGAAGTGTATATAAGGGGGGTCGGAGAGTCCTCTATGAACAAGTTAAGTAAACATGAGATCAAAAATGCGTCTGTCTTTGGTTGAAGATAGCATCACTTGTGATTTGCTGTCTTATCGCTGGACATTTCTTGCGCCCAACGACTAGGATTGTCCGATAGAAGCGGCCTTCACCGTCCCTTCAGTCCTTCCAGATTTATCAGAAGCAAAAGCTAGATCACAAGATGGTATAGGGTTGAACGAGGCGTCAAGACAAGGGGATCAAACGATCAACATCATCACTTTACTTTTCAACCCAGGGCCAAGTTACCCTGACTTATATCAAAATCCTCTGTTCACAAAGCGCTCTACCAAAACTTCTCTTTCCTCTCGTGGCTCCACAATCCCTGACATTCATCAAAACCGAAACCTCAATCAACGGCGATGATCCGGCATCTAATTCATAATCAACCTCGAATTCATTGGAATGGGGGACGAGAGCTCGATCGTCGAGGAGGTCGAACGGGGGCAACAGTGTTTGCGTTGCTCTGGTGTTGTTTTTGAATCATCCTGTACTCGAGGCAGACTCTGCTCTCAAGAGATGAATCAGTGGGGATGAGGAGGAGCTGCGGAAAGGAAAACTACTTCAAGAAGGTACGATTGATTTGGATTCTAGACATCTCGCCCTTCGCTACCCGACGTCCTCTTCTGATCTTGAAGCTCGAATGCCAAGAATCCAAGATATAGTATTCGGCTCAGCTCACACTTCAGCTCTTCAATCCGAGGCTATTGATCTGTTAGTGAGCCGTTAGGTTACTGATCACGGATACTTTGCTTAAACAGAACCAGCGTAATGCCTGGGTTATTGGTGTGCGACTTGCCAAGGTTTTATATTTCTAAGACGAGGTGAGAGAGGGAGGCTTATTGTAATTTGTACTAGCCACATAAGGTAGAGTTCCCAAGTCTCCTGTTCTCAGCCCTTGACTAAACTGATTGAATATCAGAATAAACGACAGCGGAAATCCCCTTCCTGTACAGAGTACAAAGCCCTGGACACTAATGATGATGTTCTCAACACTAACGACTCAGTTTATGCCAGTGTTTTCAAATCCGATTCCATCTTCTCCCCAACCCTCGCCTTCGTGAGTCCCCTCAGCAAGTGGCGCACAGTAATACAGTATAGCGTCAAATGGAAATATAGTGACAACGGAAATATAGCGACAACGGAAGTATAGTGACAAAGGAAGTATAGTGGCAACGGAAGATTCACTGTTTACGATTATAAACAATCCCCCTTATTACTACGATAAGATACTGTATATCAATATTGGATAACGAATGATGAAAGCGAATGTTGAATAGCGAATGTTGAATAGCGAATGTTGAATAGCGAATGTTGGATAACGAATGTTGGTTCAACTTGGTTGTATCGCTGTTTTTACCAAAATATCTCGTCTGTATCGATTCGACAATTTCCTCGAATCAATCTTCGTGAAAGTTTACTTAGCGTATTGAGCATACACGCTGCAGCCTCGTATTTTGCTTTCTTGATCGCTTTCCCCCCTGTTGAATAGTTTACTAAGAGACAAGTCGACGGCGCCATTTGCAATATATACTCTACGAAAACAAATAGCAGAAGTCTATCTGCAGGCCATTCTCGATTCTCAATATCCTGGTTGCATTGAGAGGAGGGCCTATCGATCAACCAGCCTCTCATGTATAGAGTACTAGGACTAAGGATTTGATGGACCCGTGTAATAAAGCTCGTGGTGTGCCCATTGCCAGACGTCTGTTGGGCACAGAGGGATTTTTGATACTCCGTGATCATCACACAATCTACAAGATATGTATCTAGTAGGTACGTGAGAAGTAGGAGGTAGAATTCTAAGAAATATAGCTAGTCCTGGGAGAAAAGCTCTATCGTGTCTGCCTAGATCGTCAGCCAATGCTAAGAGCTATAAACTAGACAGTAACTTACTCAAGTTCCTAGTGCCCGCTTCCATTTTCAAGTGCTAGCTACCAAACGAAATCTAAAAGATCTTTCCGATTCCTTTCCAAACTTGCAGCTGCACTCGAGCTTGAGCCAATAGCACCATCAAGACTACCGGTCATGCCTTCAGTCTCGATATTCTGCCCAAAGCCGTCACTATTATTGTGGATTACTAACATAGCACCGCTTGCCTGAGGAATGTGTGTAACGTTATACAAACCCTGTGCTCCGCCTGCTCCGTTGAAAAGATCCTGTTTGCTTGTGACAGTAACATGTTCCTGTCTCCTCAATGCCGAACGAAGCAGACTCATTGCACCTCGGTCCGCATAATCATTAAAGCCGAACACCCTCATATTCTCGAACTTGTAATGGTCAGATAGATATTTGAGAGCAGCCAACATAAATCGGTTGAGGACCGTGGCACCAATTTTACGAGCGAACATAGAAGCAGGGTCGTAGGTATAAACATAGCCTTGAGGACATAAAACTTCGAGAGCTGCTAGCTCATTCTTCGCTTGTTGTACAGCCGTATTGAAAAGGATTTCGACGGAGATAATTCGATTGTCCAAACTGGTAAACTTGCCCACAATTTTGTCTGCGTTGTCTGTTGGTGTTGTGATGAATGACTCCAAAAGCTGGATTGTTTCATTTATATCCAATAGATCTTTAACACTGTTTCTTGCAGGTAATCGACGTGCTTCCGTAAGATGATATATCATATGCTGCCGTAACGATTCATCGTAGGCTCGTCTTTGTTTGTCGTCCTGCTTTGCCTTCTTGTCCAGAATAGCCCATGCGCTATCGGATAATATATCGTGACCGATAGTTTCGGATCCCTCAAGCATACAAGCACTGAGCATAACTCTGGCATCCTCAAAATCCATTTGGATACTAGCACTCAATACTACAAACCTGGCGAGTTGGTATTTCCGTTTGCTCCCGTCGGTTCTCGACCTTTGTAACGTGTCTCCGAATCTATTGATGCCATGACCACCAAAGGCAGGATTATAACTATAATCGCCATTTATTTCACACCTCGATATGACGGGAGTAACAAAAGTATGCATAGCGCCTTCCATATTCGTGATCTCGTCGCCTTTTAGCCACTTGACACCAAGAGCGCTATTCTTCTTCCTCCGCATCAACAACTCCACTAGGGGCCGGGGAACAAAATCGGAGCAGGATATCAGAGGAGGCGGGGGAATGAAGTCTCCTGGATCCTTCTCGTCCCTAGTGGAAGGTCGTACTGTTTCCAGAGAACTTGATCGGAAATTCTCGTTAGCCAGGATAGATGAAGGATGGAGCGCGTCAGATCTGTCCAGGCCATATGGTGGCAGATTGGTAGGAATATTAGGCTTCATGATTGAGACCATTCTTGTAAGTTTGTAGACTAGATGGGAGTTTGGATAGATAGTAACTTGTAATGTTTTGGAGTAATGGAAGCCTAAGATTCTAAGCCACATCGCGTCGCTATTCAGAACCTTGTGCCTGAGGCTTTAATTATCCGTTCAGCTGCGGCCAGCTTTACATGGCCCGACGGAGACTTCGCTTAAATTTCATTCAGAGGCTGTCTAATGTGTTCCAGTCTCAAACTCCCCAATTCCTATTTCTCCCCAAAAAACTCTCAAAACAGCTATTATCATTACATAAATAAGCATCGCACTGCTTATACACAAGGGAGCTGACCTAACTCACCTTAGCTCACCATCCTCATTCTGATTGGCGTGTGATAATCAGATGTTCTACCAGACCGAGACCCTTTTTGCCCCCGTATCTGGAAATACCCCTGAAGCGGCATCTACGCTAGGCTCAATTTAGGTTACAAATAACCGCAACCGCCTGTTTGTCCAGAGATCTATTCGATGACAACCCCAACTACCAATTCAACTAAAGCAAAGCATGTCTCTTAAGTTTCAGAATTATTCACTACTTTGCTGGCCATATACATCTAGAACAATTGTTCGTCGAGATATTCGACCGTCGATTGCTGCCACGTTTGCGTCTTTAGTACGAAGGCAGAGTGCCAACCGCGCAACAGCAACGCCTCTCCTCAGCGCTGAGAGGTCTAATGGTAGTGGTATGTGTAATGGTATTGCATATCCTCATACTTACGGATCCTAATGTTTGTAGTGGAAGATATTTCAGAAGAGGAGCTCTACAGATACACAAGGAATCGCTGGATGTACGTTTGACATTCGTCCGTACTGCTCAAGCCTCAAGTTATGTGTGTTAACGCCAACCTGACACAGATACAATGAATCACTACAACTGTCAAAAAGATATCTCAAATTTGACCTCCAACAACTCCTGAAAGCTGCAGTTACAGCGGTGTCTAGCGAGGGTGCCCGTTATTGTACGTCTCTATGATACCTGCTATTCATGCATGACATTCATGGCTGACTTGGATTTGAGGCACTCGAGTTCTCAAGTGTCGTGAAGGGCTTAATAATAAAGTTTACCTTCTTACAATGGATAATGGCTCAGAGGTCCTTGCAAAGCTCCCAAATCCGATTGCGGGGCCTGCTTATTTTACAACGGCGTCAGAAGTAGCTACCCGCGAATTTGTAAGTACTTCTATCCCTAAACCGAAGATTTAAACCTAACTTTTACACGTTAGCTACGCGATGTATTAGATATTCCTACTCCTCGTGTCATTGCCTGGTCTGCTGATCCAAACAATTCAGTTGGTGCAGAATACATCTTAGAGGAAAAGGCCCCAGGCAAACCATTAGGCAGTCTTTGGTATCAATGGCCCATGAAGCACAGGCTTAAAATGATATCGCAGATTGTGGAGATAGAGCGGAAGCTCGCATCCACAAAATTCGTGAAATCTGGTTGCATCTATTTTAGGAGCGATATTTCAGAGGATATGTCCAGCGATATCACCCTAACAACTGGTGTGCCAATACACTCGTCGGTACATGAACGTTTCAAGTTAGGGCCGCTCGTCTCAAGCGGGCTGTGGCGGGGTGATAGGGCTGGCATGGACATGAATAGGGGACCCTGTGAGTCTTCCATTTAGTGTGTGCAACTAGGCTTGGTCTAACGGTACGCAGATAACGGACCGCTTGAATTTGTAGAGGCTATGGCTACAAATGAGATAAAGTTTATCAAAACCTATGCCCATCCTCGTATGAATTATCATCGGTCCTCCATAGAACCTGAGTTGCCCGAGGAGGTGCTTGATCTCTTAGATCGGTATCTTCAACTCGCTCCAGCTATAGTGCCTCCCCCAGGGACGGACGATACACACTCTCCAACGCTTTGGCATCCAGACCTCCATCTTGACAATGTATTCGTCGACCCCGATTCAAAGCAAATCACTCGCATAATTGATTGGCAATCAGCTGCCATTATGCCCCTCTATTACCAATGTGGTGTCCCGAGAATGTTTCACCATCCAAGAACAGTCGGTGATGGTTGGGCCTTGTCCAAGCTTCCAGAGGATTATGACAGCCTCGACCAAAGCGAAAAGGCAAAGATTGACAGTGACCGGAAGAGCGAGGCTTGCCATAAATATTACGAGGCTGAGACCAAGAGCAAAAACCCGAGGCATTGGGCTGCCCTGCAACTGGAAAATGCCGATATGCGAATAGAACCATCACGCCTTGTTATTAACGTATGGGAGGATCACGATGTATTTTTCCTTCGCCGGGCACTGCTTTCAATTGTCGAGCAATGGCAAGACCTTTGTCCGGGGTCTGATATATGTCCTGTGAGCTTTACCGAGCAGGAACTTGCAGTACACGCGGCCGAAGAGGAGAGTATGAGTAACGTTGGTGAAATATTAAGGCTCTTTCGGGAGAATTGGGGACTGCCTTCAGATGGGATGGTAGATCCAACCGATTATGACCGGATACGGATTGCTGTGGCGGAGCTCAGAGATTCATTTATTGAGGATGCTGATAATGACGCGGAAAAGGAACTCTTCGCGAGGCTATGGCCGTATCAGGATGCGGACAGCTAAGAGACGAGTGTCAACAACTTCACGAAAGCGCTCTACTGGTAGGGGTTTTTCGCGAACCTGACGCTCAAATTCGATCAGGGATTCGTGTACTCATCACACGGCCTGACGAATTCACGCCGTATACTGGTAAAGCAACCGAACAAGAGGTATATAGTTACCAACGCAAAGTGGGTTCAATTCTATATGCTACTATAGTCACCAGGCCTGACGGCATGCGATCAGCCACGAGGATATCCTAGGTCCTTACCAATCATTCGCCGGAACACCCACTAGCTACAGATACAGTCATATGATATCTGTATGCTACCGTACGAGCGGGCGCCAAGACTAAGGAGAGCCGTCGGACGACGAACGAAGACAGAAGGACGAGGATTCAGAAAACGAGTAGCTCCTGTTCAAAAAACGCGAGCAGGAGCGAAGAGGAGAGGTAAAAAGGGAGCGAGATTAGCGGAAGTTTAAGCGAAGGCCATGGAGTGTCCCCCTTTCTTAATACCGATGCTACGCCATCTAGCTATCAAATACGGGGGATGCAGGGAATACGGGACGCCCCTTTGCCTGCTCCAGAGACGCCGCGTACGCTGACGATCCTAATACTCGACGTAGTACTGAAGGATACGTATTCCAGCTAGTCGATAGACCGGTAGACTGGAATAAGGGAATTACTACAGCGCTTCTAGGAGAAAATCGAGAACTTTCAATCATTGAATAGTGCATCTGGAACACCACGACTCTCAGTAATAGAATGTAAACCACATTCCTCTGCGCTCGCCCCAGGGGTGACGGTAGTAAAACCCCTGAGAAGCTTGGGCCACCTTGATAGATAAGCGAGCTAAGCGAGGGGTCTTCAACGTCCCTCGGTCCGTCCTGATTGTCCCGATTGCTTCTCGCGCCTTTCCAAGCTCGTCGCCACAACTCCATCCTCCATCCTCCCCTCCCTCTGCTCCTTGAGTACCCGTGAACCGCACAACTGCCCATGATGCAACGGTGCCATTCGCGGCTCCTTGTGCAGAGGCGTCTGCCTCTTTCATTTGCCCCATGTTCTCCTTCAGCGCATCCACCAGCGGTCCGGACTCTACAAATCGACTACCACCCATTGCCCCAATTGCGGACAAGGACGAAACTTCCTGTATCTTATCCTTCGCCCCTCACCCAAGTCTCCAACGTCCGCAAGAAGGCTCCGGCTGTTGGTCATCGCGTGGTGCGTGGATTCTGTGAATCTCGTCGATATCAGAGCTCTGCAGTTGCCGCGGACGTGCCGAGCTTTGCTTTTGCTTTCGAGTACAACCCCTCTTCCTTTCTTCCCTTCTTTCCCTCTTCCGCGAAGTTGCATTCGCTGACAAGTCCTGATTTTAAGTATCGACGGCGTTCTCCTCAGATCCTCAGCCCCAATTCCCGGTGCCGCCCAAGCTCTGAGTCACCTCCACAACAACAATATCCCCTTCATTCTGTTGACCAATGGCGGTGGAAAGCACGAGAGCGCACGCGTCGCGGAGCTGAGCGAGAAACTAGGCGTCCCTCTCTCCGAAGACAATTTTGTCCAGTCACATACACCGTTCAAGCAGCTTGTCGAAGGTTCCGAGACTATCGGGAGCTTGAAGGACAAAACAATTCTGGTAACAGGTGGAGATGGAGACAAATGTCGAAGGGTCGCTGAGATGTGAGCATAACAAAAAGAAGAGGGGCGAAACGATCCTGATGATGGAAATAGGTACGGCTTCAAAAATGTTGTAACACCGGGCGATATCCTCATGGCATATCCGACAATCTGGCCCTTCAGCAAGGTCTTCTCCGATTACTACAACAAATCCACCCGACCGCTTCCACGCCCGGTAGACCTCAACAATATCGCAAACTCTCTCAAAATAGACGCCATATTTGTCTTTAACGATCCCCGCGACTGGGCCCTCGATTCCCAAATCATCCTCGATCTCCTTCTCTCAAAGGAAGGCTACCTCGGCACCTATTCCGAGAAGAACGGTAACCCAAACCTTCCAAATAACGGCTGGCAACAAGATGGCCAACCGCCGCTCTTCTTCTCCAATCCCGATCTCTTCTGGGCTGCTTCTTACCACCTGCCCCGACTTGGCCAAGGCGGTTTCCAAGCTTCCCTACAGGGAGTCTGGGAAGCGACGACCAGCGGCGCTGCGCTGGAGCGTACCGTGATAGGCAAGCCATACCCCACAACCTACAACTACGCCGAGAAGGTCCTCAACAAGTACCGCACACAAATGCTTGGTGGCAACGGCGGTAAACTGCAGAGAGTGTTCATGGTAGGCGACAACCCGGAAAGTGATATTAGAGGCGCGAACGAGTACCAAAGCCCATTGGGCACGAAATGGACGAGCATTCTCGTCAAAACGGGTGTTTTCCGCGCAGGCACTCAACCAAAGTACGTGCCAACAACAATCGCGGACGATGTCTTAGCTGCGGTGAAATGGGCATTGAAAGAGGAGGGATGGAGCAATAGTATATGAGTTGGTTCTCTATTAGATAGGACTTGGGTTCCAGTACTTGGTGGCCAGCATGCTGTGCCTTGCATTGTGGGAGTTCGGTGCATATAAGATGGTAGATTTAGATGGGCTTAGAGGCGTTTATATAGATGCACTGATATATGAGAAGTCAGTGAATGGCAATCTTTTTCCCCTCTCGCATCATTTCCTCATTAAGTGATGCGTCGGATGTCAAACTTGGGTATATACCGTCACAATCTTTGTATCCCCTCATCCCAAACAAACAACTACTACAACGCCAATGGATCAAGTTACCGGCCGCATTGTCCTATGCCGCTACAGTCCGAGGTCATCTAGGTATAGCGTGGAATGAACTATATCACTATCATTTTGACTGATCATTACTCCCTCAAGGAATCTTTCCAGATGCAATACAACCATGATAAGTAAAAGTGCCAACGATCAAATTCAACGACAACGAGAAAAATATATCCACAACGACAATAAACCGTTGTTAATATATTTTATACCATGGTCCATGGAGAGAGAGAGAGAAAGTATTGAAAGGTTCGCGTTCAGGCAATGACGATGTGTTTGTCCTTCTGTGAATACTTCTCGGAATCTAATCGAGACAAACGGTTGGCAGCGCCACTAAAATCTAATCGTCGGCCTCACCCTAGGGTGGGAGACATGGTAGTGAAAACCGGTGCGTAAGTAGGAACAAAGATGGGGATGGTGGGAGTTTATATACTGCGCTTCTCGCTACATCCGAATCAAGGCTCTTGATTGAAGTTTAAGTTGAACCCTGATATGGCAGTGAATCAATGAAACCCTACTGCGATTCGCTTGTAGAGACTGCATGCAGCGTTCTGAATGTCCTGCCGGAAAGAAAGAGGAAACGGTGAGTGATGTACCTTATGTATCTCTAGAACAAGCTTCAAAATGACAAAGTGAGCATTTGCACCTCCTCGAGTCCCTCTGGGTAGCGGTTTGTCTCTATTCCTTGATCTTAACGTGCTAAATAAGATCCCTAAAAAGACGGTCCCACATCGCATCGGTATCAGGAGCTGATAGACCTTTATATGTAGTGGCTTTTGTGGGGTTCTTCCAGAAGCTATTGAAATTTGAAGTCAAAGATTACCTCCTCTTAATAGACCGTATCTTGTGCAAAAGTTGTAAATACCAACTAGTTACTGCAGAAAATACAAGGCATCTACACTTCTGGAACTTTGGGGGAAGGAGATGTGCACTTTGCCGCCTGTCTTTCTGGTGTTGTTGGAAAAGTAGGACTGTAGGATGAGGAATAAAAGCAAAATATATGATAGAAAATAGTTGCTGTGATAGAAAAAGATCTTCAAAGGTAGTGAAACTCTTTGCCGGCGGTTCAGAGCTTTATTTTCGGGCTGTTTGTTTCCTTCGTGGCTTGGAAGTGCGCTGTATCTCCCTAATTGATCGAGCATATTGCTCAATTCTAACAGAATACTACTAAAGTAACTGTCCTACTTGACCTTTTAATATTTTCTAGACACTAAGAGAGGAACAGGTCGTGAGAGGAGAACTCGAGAACTCTCTCGTGTTCGCGGAAGCAAAGCAAGCCTTTCAAACTCAATAATGACACGGGCTATCTGGGGTACGAAAAGGCCAGATCCTATAACAATCTTCTATATCCGGCTAAGTGCGAACCGAGGTGCAGAATTCCAGCTTTGGATTCCTCATGCATGTCGTTTCTTTAACCCACTACAGTCCCGTTCCGTATAAGAGACGGAAATGGATGAGATTGCCGGCGGAGAAAGAGCGGCAGGACGGCACACGAGTACAGGGAGACAGGGGCAGCAAAATCTACAACTTAAGCCTGGAACTTAACAGGGCGCTGAAGATCTTCCATACACCATAAACTCCCATCCTCCAGATAGCACTGATGCTGCTCGTATCGCTGGGGGTCTAGCTTATTGTGATGCTGAAGCACTATAGTCTATGGTGTCAAGCTCCAAGCTCCAGATATATGCTCTTTCTGGGTGAACTTAGGGTCAGTTCCTGAGTGAGATTCAGGGAAAAGACAAAAGCCATAACAACACAGGACAATACCTAAATTTACTCCTCAAGATCCGTGGTCATAAAGAGATGCGCAGTATCCTGCCGGCTGTGTCTCAGCTTATCGGCTTATCGGACTTATCGAGTAGTTCCTGTACCCCGCACAATCGTCCCGTCTTTGCATTATGGTGGGGCAACTCTAGATTCTATGTGGGGTAAGTATCAAGGAAGGTTGCTTGTATTTAAGCTTACTCGGAAAAGACCACGCAAGCCGTCCCGGATTATCGGTATCGGGAGAATGCTGAAGTCAATCTATACCGGCGAGGCCTTCGTAAGATTTTCCAGACTTTGACATTTTGTTCTCATTGGTCGCGCTCTGTGAGGATTCACAAAAGCAATTCAGGCGGAGCTGAGAGATCATTGTTTTATTTTTCTGCCAGCCCTTTACTTCGTCCATTCGTGGTACTCAAGCTGGGCCAATTATTTCGCTCCTTTGCCACCGGCATGGGAAAGGAGTCGAGCTACGTCCCACTCGCGCAGAACGAGCTCGAGAAGAACTAATCGATCGACAAAATGAAGGGTTTCTTTGTCGCCGTCGTCGTCCTTTCTATAACTTCTGCGGTATATTCTGCGGCGATTGGTGAGCTTAGACGTAGCGAAGTACAGCTCGGGAGCTCTACGGCATACCACTTGGCCTGGTAAACACCATTTTATATGATTCTGTGTGCTTGAATACAAGAGATGGTTTTAGGGGAGGGGCTTGGGGTAGTCTTTGGCCTGCCTGTTGAAGAACTCGTAGAAAGAAAATAAAATTACTGTCCACCTCTTCAGTGTCTTCACAAATCAAAACCATATCACAAAGTCTCATTACGTTCAAAAGGATCTCTGCAAGGGTTCCAACAAAAGCTCGGGCTTTGGTGGAGCAAGTATGTACAATGATAGGCTGTGCTCCAAGTACAAATTATTTCTTTGAGAATTTCGGGCCAATTCTGGAAAATTGTTACCACACACACGATGTCTTTGTTCAGATACTTGCTTAAATATTCTTTTGTCAGACCCCGAGATATGCAACAACAAAACCAACATCATGACCCAATCCCGATTTAACAGAGAGTTGGAAAAACAGTCCAGATTGGATGATAAGGACGAGAAAATGGGAATCAGAGTTCAAGGGAAAGATAAAGCAATGCCAAACGAGGAAGAAACAACCGCAAGCGAAGGAGACCCTATCAGTGAAGACAGTTGGGAAGTAGTAGAGAACTCTCTAGACAGCCATGACACCTCAATTGAAGCACGATTCATAGGTTGCGGACAGAAACCAAGGACGTGGGTTTCAGGGCCGCCTCCGATACCAGAGGAGATCTCAGCGGGGGACCGCAGAGATGAGGCAAGTTGAAACAAGAACGGGGTTCTCAACCAATAAGAGAAACTACTTCAGCTTCTTCACCATCTTGTATTCAACAGCCAGAAGACAGGTTCTGGGGTGGGTCAAATGCCGGGGGAATAATGAATCTGCTTCTCGATGCTGAGCGAGGCATAATTCAGGTTTGGGACATTAGTAGAGACTTTCCAAGAAGCAATAACCATTTCTATCGAGATTCATATGTTGCCTGCAAATAATTAAGACTGTCCGCTCTTATTTTGATGCCTTTATTCTTTCTTAGTAGAGGAGAGGTCTGGAAGGTCTTGGAGGTTGTCTGTGTATTATGTAAGAAAGCCACTAAACGCCAAAAAACGCGGTTCATTCTTTTGCGCGTATCGTGGCGCTTCTCTGACGCGACGTCCAAACCGATTCTCCTTTTCTCCCCGACAACCGTGCTCTCTCTCTCCCAACACCATCTCCTCTCCATCATCCACCATCCAGCCCCCTCAACCCCTCAACCCCTCAATCGGCAATAAGATCACTCAGTGGCCCCGACCCCTACGATAGCGACATAATGGCCCCCGCCCACCAAGCCAAACGGCCCTACGCTGGCTCCCAACCCCCTATAACCTCCTACTTCACCCAATCACCCAGCACCACCTCGCCCCGCACAACCTACTCTGTCTCACAGCTACCGCACGACTCTACCTCCGAGCTTCGCCCTTCTCTCCCGCCCAGCATCCAGGCCAATCTCTTATCGGTTGGCATGCGTGTCCGCAAATCTGTTCCTGAAGGCTACAAAACCGGTTCCTATTCTGCTTTCACTTTATTTTCCGATCCAACGCCGACGCCAGAACGGAACCCAGTAAAGAAGATAACCCCGAGACCTAGGACGAGGGAGTTGGCGCCCTTTTGTGGGATTATGAAAGTCGGAGGCCTGGCTCAGCAGCAGTCGGGGGCATATGATGAAGGTGACAGCAGTGCCATTGACCTTGACTATGACGACGAGGATGAGGTTCCGCCGTTAAGCCAAGGTAGCACGAATAGTGATGTCAGTGTTGATGCGCCTGTGGTGAACAAGAGGAGATTTGATCTTGATGAGGAAGAGGAACAGGTGGATGATGTACGGGATGCTGTTACCGTCTTGGGGCAGAGAGTAATGGCTGTTCCGAGGAGGAGAGGAGCTTCGAAATTCGGGGCTGGGCTTGCGATAGTGGGGCAGGAGAATTCAGATGCCGATATGGATTTTGAGGAAGCGACCTTCTTGGATTATGATTTGTTGCCAGAGGTGGAGATGGGTGGTGCTTAGGGAGCGCATGAGGAGGTTACATTGTGTATTATTGGTTGGGTTTATATCCTAAGGGAGGGATTGGTGATCTTACACAGCTGGCGTTAGGGAGTTTGCATTTAGGACATGCTTGTACGCATTATCCGGAACCTGGGGTCTCGGATAATGAGCGAGTGCTCAGATTCTACGCATGGAAGGATTTGACACTAATACAGGTACACCTTCTGACTTGAAGAATTACATACCCTTTGTTTCATTTCTAGTCTCCCGTCCCCCAACGTCTGACTCCGTGAGCCTGGTTCTGGTCAAGGCCTGTGTAGATTTATGTCAAAAAGGGATAAGAAGTGAAGACATTGACGGAAAAGGGGAAAGGAGAGTAGAACATTTAGACCCTGGGAGAGTAAAGCTGTGCTCAAAATATATGGAGGGAAGCATGGATGAGACCTGGAGACCTTGCCCCCTTTATAAGCGAAATAGGCAGTGAGGCTTGATACTCGCCAGAGGAGAGAAAGGGGGGACGGCGGACCATGTCACGTGATGTCGACTTATCCAAGAGACCAGATCTCGAGGTAGTCTTTAATAAATCCCCCGAGTTACTTGTACTCCATATAGATAGAAAGCACAGATTTCACAAAGGTTGGTTCTATTATAGTTCTTATATATGGCAGGAAAATAACTTTTCTCCGAAGCACGACGTCATCTCCACAATAACCTGCATAAATGTGAGCGGGGGAGTACTTCTGCGCAGGTATATCATGTCCTTGATAGCATTCCCTCTTTTACTCCTTAATACCGCAAGGCAGCAAGTGTAAACTCAAGGTTCAAGATGCCGACAGCAGTTGTAACAGGGGCTAATAGCGGGATCGGCTGGAAATTTGCGGAGAGACTTGTCAGTGAGGTATGAATCAATGGTTTCCTGGATTATTAACTCTATTTTCCCAGGATTTGGGAGAGTTCTCCACTGAGATATAGAGAGTGAGGGCCTTACACTACAAAAAGAGACAAGGTCCTCTTAATGATGGAAGGAGAAACTCTTTGATATTCACGTGACTCTCTTTGCCTTGAATGATGCGCAACTCTACCTACTCCAAATCTACCTAGGTATAGATCTAGGTAAAAGAGATCCTAATAAACCGTCTGTAGGGTTGGACTGTTTACGCCTGTGACCTCGTGGTCGGGTCGAACATGCGCAACCTCGGCGCCGCGAGTCTCCACCAACTAGACATCACCTCCCACGCATCCATCGCCGGGTTCAGTCAAGCTCTAGCTTCCCAACCCGTAGATCTCCTCCTGAACATTGCCGGTAAAGCACACTTGCAACTTCCAGTCCCATCCCATCCCCACCATTCCACATATACAGCAAGCTAAGAGATCCCGGACTAGGAATCATGCCCCCCAAGGCCAGCGATACGTTAGAAACCGTGTCTCTATCAACACTCACCAAGACTTTCGAGACCAATACATTTGGCCCCCTGCTGCTCGTTCAATCGATTCTTCCGAATCTCCTCTCGCCAGAAGCGCGCAATCCAACCATCGCGAATGTGTCTTCGCGAGTGGGGTCCATCGGGGACAATTCTTCAGGGGGCGCGTACGCGTACCGAGCGTCGAAGGCGGCGCTGAATGCGGTGAGCAAGAGCATGGCGGTGGATTTGAGGGAGAGGGGCGTCACGGTCGCGATTATGCATCCGGGGATTGTGAAGTCGGGGTTGGATCCTGCGTCGGCGGAGCTGAAAGAGGCGGTAGAGCCGGAGGTGGCGGTGAGTGGCTTGTGGGAGGTTTTGAAGCGTATTGGGCTGGAGGACACTGGGAGGTTTTGGAATAGGGAGGGAAGGGAAATAGAATGGTGATTTTTGGGGAGGGGTGGAGCTGCTGGTTAGTTCAATAACAGAAGAGACTGCTTGCCTGTGGGTTGGTTCATGTAAAGTGGAAGGCGTGATAGAATGAAAGGTAATTAGGCTCGTTTCTAAATTTGGGAACAGCCTTTGATCGATGTCCATGTATAATTCTGCATGTAATGTATAGAGGAACTGAGATAGTTGGGCGGAGAGCGAGAGTTGGTTTGTGGAGTCTCCCTGTTCCAAATCTGGTAACTTTTCTGATCTCAGGCAGACTCAACATCGGAGCCAACGAATCAGTCAAATGGCTTCCCAGCTAACCATCTCGTCAGCATGTCAAGAGCCACCTCTGGCTGATCCTGAGGAACCTGTTATATTGCTCGTTAGATCTAATCGCTTTCGAAGAAAATTTCGGGTTCTAACGCACCATATGCCCAGAGCCATCAATCGTGACCAATGCAAACCTCGTCTTCTTCTGATCACCTTCAACCATCTTAACATTGACCTCCTTGAACGTGCCAACTTCCTTCTCTTTACCACCCACAATACTCTTCCAGGGCTTCAACTCCTTTGACGTAAATTCCGCCTGGCCTTTCCACTGAAGATTAGACGTCCAACGTTTCGCACCGGCGGTGTTACAGGCCAGATCCAGATTTCCTTGATAGATTAAAACGTCGATCTGATTTGCCAGGAGATACTGTAGTTGCGGCTCCATGGAAATCCCGAGGTCAGTGGTCAGTTCGAAGGCTAGAGAAACTTCCGCTGAGTAAAAGGAATAGTTTTTGATGGCCGAGGGCACATTGAGAGCCTCAAAAGAACTCTGTAGATTAAGATATTTCTCAATCATGGGCGTGCTAGCATAGCAAAAGTCTTCAATCTCGCAAGGTGCAGTGACTAAATATGAAGCCGGATCAGCTGTGTTCTATCAATGTGAAGGGGAAGTGCTCTTAATCAGAAACTACAAAAGAAAAGTGGTACTTACTGTCAAATCGATTACGGCCACCTTTTCCTGACTCGCCATCATAGTGAACAATCACTCCATCCCAGCATACCATGTTAGCAGCGCTGCAAATTGCAGGGTCGGGGCGCTCATAACATGTTCTTAAGACGTCCATGCAGCGGGGTAAGTTAGCCGCCATGATTTCACAGCGAGTTTCGTTAAAAATAGGTGTTTCTACCCCTGGGTTGGTAGTACAGAGTGTCTCCCAGTACCCATAGGCGGTGTCCAACGGCGACACATAACCATTACCAATAGCCACAGATTTCAATGGAACTTGAGGTTGATGCGGGTGTAAAATATTCTGGCTCAAAATCTCTGCACCTAAGGCGGGAATGTAGTGACCCTATTCTCAATATCAGCAAGTTTCGAACGTCTATATATAGCCAAGATCACAAGTTTTTGTGGATGCTAATCGAAGCAAATCCCGAAGTACTCACAGCATAGCTCTCCCCCGTAATGATAAAAGGTCCGTTTAGATGCTCGGGGAAGACCTGGCTCACGAACATCTGCATGAACAGATGCACATCGGCAGCAGTCGTGAAAGAATCTCCCGGGACTACTTCCCCCTCATCGACATATGAGAACCCAACACCGGCAGGTTGGTCTAAGAATATCAAAGCCGAGTCTTTGTTCCAACCATACGGATTGTATATAGTTCCATTGCCATGTTCATTGATCAGGCATGGGCCGAGCTCTTGAAGCATCCCCAACATACTGGAACCTCCTGGACCGCCTGTCAGCCATAGAGTGAGCGGGGAGGAGGTCGATTCAGAATTGTCGTTCTCGCTCGCAAAGTACCAGAAGAAAAGATGCTTATTGCCGACATCCAGCCAGCCAGTATATTGGTCTACAGGAGTGTCACAAAGAGTTGCATTTTGGCGCTTGATGCGAATGGAGTGCTGCGGAGACACGTGACTCTGATAAGTTATGAAATCAGATGATTCTTCAAAGGGCACATATTCTCTGATGGGGACCTGGGGTACAATAGATGCTAAAGCAGAACAGACCAAGAAAGGGAGCAAAACGGGGACGAGCATGCTGGGCGGTTGAAAGATGTGTAAGATTGATGAATCTCTTATCAGAAAGGAAGTTGGATTAGGCTCCCGGCGCTTCCTCTGCCTATCGGCCAATCAGATCAAGCGGCGCAGCAATCACGTGAGAACTCCTACTCCTCGCAAGCTCAACCCAGGTTGTTGTAGATATAAGGTACGTACTTCTCTTCCTTTGCTATCTCAGTTTGATCTGGATCAAAAAATCCAGTTAAATTTGTATGTGACGAACGCTTGTGGGAGATAGAACCACGAAGTAAACCTGCCCCGCCCTCAACTCCTTCGAGATTTGAATCCTCCCAAGTCCTTAAGTCCCAATGTTTTGTTCCGAACACCTGTACCTCGGCTCCCCAAATTACCAACCAATAGTGCCCTCTCGAGGAATTTGACCAGCTCTGCGCGGCAGTCAGTCTCATTTCAACTCTCCTCCTTGACGGCCATGACCATACTTGCATCGTCTCATCATCTCCCATGTCATCGTGGCCGCAGCTTGTGTCGCCAGAGCTTTGTATCACCGTCGCAGTTGATTACAATAACTCATCGCTCCCACTCGCAACGCTGTGCTCAATGGCATCCAAAATCTCTCTCTCCTCAAATACCGGCCCTTGACCATCACATTTTGCAACTTTCTTCAACCTCTCGCTCACATTCCCAACATCCACTAATCCCTTCTCGTAAAGCGGGTGCTTTATGATATAGTCCCAGGTTGCACCCGCCGCCAATAGCCTCTCCCCCTTGTCACTGATTACGATCCTATGACTGGGCGTCTTGTTCTCATGCGCGTGCAGCACCTCAGTGTAGAAATCGGTAGGGCTATACCGCATAGGTCCCGCGTCAGGGAGATTGGGCGAAGAGGGGTTGGCAGAGGTAGCTCTTAGGATCTCGTTCTCCGTGGCAGCCTTCTGGAGTTGCTGTTTTAGGCGCTCGTTTTCTTCCACGATGGATAGCGAGTTCTTTTCGAGGGCTACGAGTTTGGCTTCTAGATCTTTAACGTGGCGCTCTTTGCGCTCACGGAAGGCTCGTTGCCTGCTAATCATGAGTTTCCGCCAAGAACAAAAGGACAGAAAGGAGAGCAAAGCTTACGCAGCGCGATTCTGAGCCTTGCGTTTCAGCTGTACGGGTGTCAAATCCCTATCTTCCTCGTCACTGTTACTACCTCTCCGAGACTCTTCCACATTCATCTCAAGCTGTACATCAAAGCCTTTATTTGGGCGGATGTTGGGTTTTTGCTGGGTATTGGGAGCTTTGTCCTGATGTAGCCCATTCGGGGCGAACTGGTTGTAATCGAAGGTCTGGAATTGATTGAAATCATCCTGTCTTCCAAATTAGATGTAAAGGGGCTAGGAACGAGAAGGGGGACGAACAGGTGGGGAGTTGCTGAAGTCGTCCGAGTTGCCGGAGGCTGTATGAGCGGGTGTTGGAGGGAGACCCAGGAACTGGTACGGTTGCGGGGCTGCGGCGAAATAAGGGTAGTCCATCGTGAAGATCCAATCTGTCCGCGGGGGACACGTCGTCAGCGTTGCGCAGATGGGTTCGTGAATGGAGACGGATTGAACCGGCTGAACTCGATGTTAAATGGCCTACAATGCAATACTGGCGGATTGTGGTTGAAATTAAGAAAGACTTCGGGTAGATTATTGTACGGAGGAGGTTACTGAAAGGTTGGCGCTAGTCCTTGTCGATAAGCCTCACAGTGGCACCCTGGATAGTCTGGACTCTGGACTCTCGGTCCGGGAGCTTCGACCAGCTTCTGGGCCGGCCAGGAACATAAGCCCCTGTCAAAAGATGCTGTATACTGAAAGAATCCAAGTCGCGATGGGAACAGGAACATATCTGTCTTTTTCAACTTTCATATACAATACTGCTAGCCAGGGGATATTCCCAAGGTAGTGATTAGGTCCCCAGGTCCTTGTTCCGGGATGCGCTCGCTTCCAGTATCATGTCGCATATCTGATGAGATAACCAGCTTCTCGTATCAAATCATCCGGTATAGTGTAGGGGTTAACATACTCCGCTTTCATGACCACATTTCAATGTGCTGTCAGAGAACCGGAGAGCCCCGGGTTCGATTCCCGGTACCGGAAATATCTTTTTTGCAATAATGTTATTTTTGTCGCTAGAAAAAAATCATGCTTGAAGCAGAGTTGAGATAGATCTGTTGATTTCTTTTTTGGGACACTTTTCTTTGTTCTTATGCCACATTTGCTTTCTTTTTTTTGGGCTCCCTTCTGCTTTCTTTGAACCGTCGGTTGCCGGATCCCTCAGGTCGAGGCTCGCTACCCCGACAGAATGAAGAACTTCATACAACCATTGAAAACAGGGAGGCATTAAGCAGGCAGACACTTCACTTTGGCCTTCACCTTCACACTGACTGAAGTATATTGGCGATACTGGATGCCTTTATTATCAGGAGTTGATACTTCCCAAACATACTTGTACAGTATCTACTTGTAGTCAAGCAACCAGGAGAAAGAAGTTGTTGGCAGACTCATTGGAATAAAAGCAAAGAACTTGAAGGGCCTTGCAGAGTCATCCTATGACAGCCAAAGTCAACTCTTGTGTTTTGATTCGGTAATCGATTAATCACCAGAGTTGTCGTTCACACACACTGCCCCTTTTCGTTCCAACCAAAGGCGGGGCGGAGATTCTACTACTGGGACTGGGTTGGCTGCATCGCTTCACAACACACATTATATTTATTGTCCCCATTATGCCCATTAGATCTGCTAAGAATGTTCAATAAGACAGTCGGAACCTAAACCATGGCTCTCTCGAGCCTCGTTGTAGATTGGAGATGGTTCTCCAGGATGTTTCTCCGCTCCGCTCCACCAAGGCATTCCGCTCGCTTAATTAGCTTCAGCCCACCGGCGGATTTGGCTACGTCGCGACTTCAAGAACACATCTGGAGTAACTTATACCCAAACCTTCTTGACCTGCGATTCATGAAGCTGAGGAGCTCACCTCCCTCACCATGAGTTACAGCAAGAAAGACGAAGACGCCGACTCGGCCATCATGAGGGTCGACAGGACATCTGTCTTCCAAGAGGGTCGGTGAACCCCTTATATTTGACAACACAGCTAACAGAAGACAGCACGATTGTTCAATTCTTCCCCCATACAGCCTCGAAGATGTCGAGTCCTTCTCACGAAAATTGCCTTAGTTTTGTATACTGGGGAACGATTTCCTACCAACGAGGCCACAACCCTTTTCTTCGGAATCTCGAAGCTCTTCCAAAACAAAGATGCCAGCTTACGACAGATGGTCCACCTTATCATTAAGGAGCTGGCGCATTCGGCGGAGGACATTATTATGGTTACGAGCACGATTATGAAAGATACTGGCGGTGGTACAGACGCGATCTACCGACCGAATGCAATTCGTGCGCTCTGCCGTATCATTGATGTAAGTTCGCGCGCATTTGGCAGAAGGGGATATAATTGACAATCCTAGGCGTCTACTGTCCAAAGCATTGAGCGTGTTATGAAGACCGCAATCGTTGACAAGAATCCATCTGTTTCCTCCGCCGCTCTCGTTTCCTCCTACCACCTCCTACCTATTGCCCGCGATGTTGTTCGAAGATGGCAGAGCGAGACACAAGAAGCGGCTACATCTACAAAGTCTTCTAGTGTGTTCTCCCTCGGATTCTCCACGTCAAGTGGACAGATGCCGGTCAACAACTCCACCATGACACAATACCACGCGATTGGACTGCTCTACCAAATGAGGATGCACGACAGGATGGCATTGGTGAAGATGGTTCAACAATTTGGAACCGCAGGGGCTGTGAAGAGTCCTGCTGCAACTGTTATGCTTGTTCGGCTGGCGGCTCAATTGGCTGAAGAGGATCAACAACTCCGAAGGCCAATGATGCAACTCTTGGACGGCTGGCTCCGACATAAGAGCGAGATGGTTAATTTTGAAGCGGCAAAAGCAATCTGTGATATGCGCGATGTCACAGACGCTGAGGTGACCCAAGCTATCCACGTTCTCCAACTCTTCCTCACTTCCCCTCGTGCTGTCACTAAATTCGCAGCAATTCGAATCCTCCACAACTTCGCTTCCTTCAAGCCTCAAGCTGTCCATCCTTGCAACCCCGACATCGAACTTCTCATTTCAAATAGCAACCGCTCGATTGCGACATATGCCATCACGACTCTACTTAAAACTGGAAATGAGGCTAGCGTTGATCGCTTGATGAAGCAAATCTCTGGCTTCATGGCTGATATCACGGACGAATTCAAGATCACAATTGTTGAAGCCATACGGACCTTGTGCTTAAAATTCCCCAACAAGCAGGCTGGTATGCTAGCATTCCTCAGCGGTATCCTGCGCGATGAAGGTGGATACGAATTTAAGCGTGCAGTTGTGGAGAGCATGTTTGATCTGATCAAGTTTGTTCCGGAATCAAAAGAGGATGCTTTGGCACATCTTTGCGAATTCATTGAAGATTGTGAATTTACAAAGTTGGCCGTCCGAATTCTTCATCTCCTAGGTATCGAAGGACCTAAGACCTCGCAACCAACCAAGTACATTCGATACATTTATAACCGAGTCGTACTTGAGAATGCCATCGTCCGAGCGGCAGCAGTTACAGCTCTCGCGAAATTCGGTGTAGGACAGAAGGATCCAGAGGTCAAGCGGAGTGTAACTGTTCTCCTCACAAGATGCTTGGACGATGTTGATGACGAGGTTCGTGATCGAGCGGCGCTGAACTTGAGACTCATGTCCGAATCTGATGAGATGGCCGATCGATTCATCAAGAATGGTAAGCTTGTCTTCATGTTTACCTAGAACATGCTAACTCCAAGACAGAAAACTCTTTCGCGCTCCCATATTTCGAGCATCAATTGGTCATGTATGTGACTGCTGACGATAAGTCAACATTTGAAGATCCATTCGACATCTCAGCGATCCCTGTCGTTACCAAAGAGCAGGCAGACGCTGAAGACAGAACAAAAAAGCTTACGACTGTCACCCCAACTGTCAAGGCACCAAAAGCAGGACCTACCAAATCCGCAGCGACAGGCGCCGAGGCTGTTGCATCAGCTTCCGCAGCTGCTCAAAAGTACCAACAAGAGCTGCTCAAGATCCCAGAAATGCAACCTTTTGGCAGCGTTCTGAAATCATCGCCGGTGGTAGAGTTGACCGAATCAGAGACGGAGTACGTTGTTTCGGTAGTCAAACATATCTTCAAGGAACACGTCGTGCTTCAATACGAAGTCAAGAATACGCTACCAGATACAGTACTCGAAGATGTCTCCGTCGTAGCTACCCCTGCAGAAGATGAAGAACTGGAGGAAGATTTCATCATCCCTGCAGCCAAACTTGTCACCGATGAACCAGGAACCATTTACGTTTCCTTTAAGAAGACAAATGGCGAAACATCATTCCCAGTCAGCAGCTTCACGAATGTTCTCAAATTCACCACCAAAGAAATCGATCCCACAACCGGTGAGCCCGAGGAGACCGGCTATGAGGATGAATATCAAGTTGAGGATTTGGACCTCACTGGCAGCGATTACGTTCTCCCAGCTTTTGCTGGTAACTTCAACCATATCTGGGAGCAAGTTGGTGCAGCTGGTGAAGAGGCAGAAGAGACGTTACAGCTCAGCGGCGTTAAGAGCATTGCAGGTGAGTAGTTCATAGCTAAAGTGATTGGTGAAATGATGCTGATAATTTTTAGATGCTACCGAACAGCTCGCCAAGACTCTTTCGTTGCAACCTCTTGAGGGCACCGATGTACCCGTGAACACGACAACTCACACGCTCAAGTTGTTCGGAAAAACTGTCACTGGCGGCAGAGTTGTCGCCAATATCCGAATGGCATATTCTACGAAGACGGGTGTCACGAGTAAACTCGTGGTGCGCAGTGAGGAGGAAGGTGTTGCAGCTCTGGTAATTGGGTCTGTTGCTTAGGACTAGCGAGTATATGGAGTTGAATTTTATGCATTTTAATGAGGTCTAGATGACTGGTTTGAAATGCAAAGGCCAAACAAAGATAGGGCTTTTGATCTTGTACGGAGTCAAGAAGGAAGAAAATGGAACGTAAATTACCGAAGACAGAGGTACTACATTATACGTGGTGCAACAATGCAAACCAAGGTAGATCAAATCCTGTGAGGTACCTCCTGTAATGAAGCTGCGGTCTTGTCCATATGCCTTTTTATATTCGGGCCTTGAAATTTGGCTACTACCTTCTCACAAGCCGGGTCTTACCTATGCATTTGGGGGACTAAGGCCGGGGAGTTGGTCAAGCTAATCCCCTCATCCCGAGGCTTCAAGGAAAATATCTACCTACCCACCTAGGTAGCTAAAATACCTTATCTTAGTTAGGTAAGGTAGGTAGGCGTCCTAAGGTTTGGAGATGTCCACCCTTCTTCGTTCATGATGTCACGTGAACTTAGTCATCCTCCTCGTTTCCTTCCCCAAAACTTCTCAGAACCTCCCACGCACGATTCGCACGATTCGCACGTTTTCGATTGCGAAGTGCAACAAAACCCATCTTCGTTCACGAATAGCACGTGAATTTAGTCATCCTCCAGATTTCCAGTCCCCTAAACTTCTGAGAACCTTCCACGCACGATTCGCACACTTTCGATTGCGAAGTGCAACAAAACCCTTCTTTGTTCGCAAATAGCACGTGAATTTAGTCATCGTCACTTCCGGTCTCACCTCTCCCACGTACGATTCGATTTGTCTTGCGAAATAAACAAAAAAACTGTCTTTGCATGATCTTTCAATCTCAAATACAGTAGGTCCAGGGCCACGGTGGAAATTTGTCTCGCGATGTCCGGCTACGTGCTTCCCCAGGACTTTCTCACGTACGTAAGGGCCATTGATTTGGACATCTGATTCAGGGTGTAATAGAGTCGAGCCATAGGAATGGTGCTGTAGCTCTCAGGATTCTAATCTGCTTTTACTGACCATGGCTTCTCTCATCCGGCTGGACCAGCTCCTTAAAGGCAAGACGAGCACGTACATTATTGACAAGCAACTCCACGAATCCATTTGCCTAGCAACGTATGAGATATAAGCTTCTGTCTACCCCGTGCTTGAAGTGCTAGCTTGAGCAATAAATAAACAGTGACCAGAGCGAACAGACTGTCGTGATCAAAATTGTTTAGCATTTCCGCCTGAGAAGAGCGCGATATAAATCATAAGCTTCCAAGCCCGAACACCTTCTCTCCGTCCCCTGATTGAAGAGATAGAAGATCCTTTTGACCTGCCGGCTCTTGTAACAAAGCGGAAACAAGAGCGGAGATGACAATAGAAAGACTATCTAGACATCTAATGACCAAATGAAGAGGCAGCTCTTTTTAAAAGAGGGCGACTGTCACAGAAACTTCCGTGGCCTTTCAGTAACTATTGCTGCCGTAAGGGTTGTGGACTTGCAGAGTCTTCAACATTGTAATAGACTGGTTTTTTAAGTTTCTTAATCAAATGATATAACAAGACAGAGCATGTGGTTCAAAGCCTGCCCTTGTTGCGCGGCCTTTCCAAGTGTGGTGGCATGTGAATCAGACTCCACGCATGCGAGGGATGCCAGTTGCGTGTTTGATACAATTAGATGCATGGCCAGTAATAAAAATATTTGACATTCTCGAAGGGCAAGATATGTCAAACTGTCAACTTTTCAACCCTGGTTTGTTGCCCCTGTCTGATAAGTGTGATGGGACCCGGAATCCCGGTAAAATGACGTGGGGTGCTGCTGCGCGTCTTTCGAGTTTCCAGGAATTATTTTTTTTCTTCGCGACTCGATTCGAAAAGGCCAGCAGCGGCATTCCACCTGCGAGCAGACAACCGTCCTCGGTCCCATCCCCCCATTCCACCTCTCGACATCTCTCCTCGTCTCTCAGCAAACGGCAAGATGGTTTACGTGCGTCAGGAAAAGCTGCCACACCTCAAGCAGTACAAATACAGCGGTGTCGACCACAGTCTCCTCTCGCGCTACGTGCTGAAACCGTTCTACACAAATGTCGTTATCAAATTCTTCCCCATGTCGATGGCTCCGAATCTCATCACATTGACTGGGTTCTCTTTCGTTATTATCAATGTGTTGACGCTGTTGTGGTATAATCCGACGCTGGATCAGGATTGTCCGCCGTGGGTGTACATAAGCTGGGCAGTGGGGCTGTTCTTGTATCAGACGTTCGATGCGGTGGATGGGACGCAAGCGTGAGTGCAAGCCTACCTCCCTATACTTTGGCAGATGGCCTGGAAAGATTGGCAGAGGCTTGAATTGGATTTAGCTGACGGTGAGATCTGGGAATAGGAGACGAACTCATCAGAGCGGGCCCCTGGGAGAACTCTTCGATCATGGAGTTGATGCACTGAATACCGCACTCGAATGCCTCATTTTCGCCGCTACCCAGAATCTGGGCATGGGATGGAAGACCGTCATGACATTGTTCGCATGTGCGTACCCTTCTCTCTATCCGCCCCGTATACCTACCTTCTACCTTAACCTCCGCTAATACCTTCCAGCCCTTCTGACGTTCTACGTCCAAACCTGGGATGAATACCACACCAAGACCCTGACCTTGGGCCTCATCTCCGGTCCCGTCGAGGGAATCGTATGTCTTGTAATTGTGTACGCATTTACAGGTATCAAAGGTGGCGCTTCTTTCTGGCAGCAATCGATGTTCAAGACAGTGGGCATTCCCAAACATGCCATTATACCGGACTACATATACGAGTTGGCGTTTAATGAGTGGTATATGGTCCTAGGAGCTTTCGTGCTGATCCTGAATACCGTGCAATCGTGCGTCTTCCCTTCTTCCCTCACATATTCCACTTCTAACCCGATCCTTGCCATAGATCTATGAATGTAATCAGAGCCCGCCGCGCCCAAGGCGACAAATCCCGCTATGCGCTCGTCGGCCTGGTCCCCTTCTTCATTACTTGGACCCTCATCCCTGCCTATCTCTACCTCAACCCTGAGATTCTCTACAACCATCTGGTGCCCTTCGTCTTCTTCTGCGGTCTCGTCAATGCTTACTCTGTTGGCCAAATGATCACCGCGCATCTGGTCAAGCTGGACTTCCCTTACTACAACGTTCTGGTTCTGCCACTTGCCTATGGTGTTTTTGACAGTTTGGGTCCATGGTTACAGCAGACAGTTGGCTTCGGTTGGCCTAGTGCACTGGGCAATGGCGTATACCAGGTTGCGTATATGTTCATGATGCTGGGAGCGGCCGTCGGTGTCTATGGAAGCTTTGTCGTAAGATTCCTCCCTCTTCACCCCCTCTTCCCTAGGCGATGCTGATGGACAATAATAGGTCGATGTCATAGTTACGATCTGCGACTATCTTGATATCTGGTGCTTGACGATCAAGCATCCCTGGAATGAGAAGGAAGAGGCGAAGAAGGAGAAGAAGAAGAAGCGCTAGAGAAGGATGGATAGATAGATACCCCTAACGGCGGAGTTAATGGTAATAACTGGTTTATATGGATGTACACTCGACGCTTCGCGGGGCGTCTGTAGAATACTGTACAATTTTGTAAGAATATAAAATAGATGCTGAGCTGCGAGAATTCCAAGCATATCTACTCTCATAAGTTTGGTGAGTCGCGGATTACCAATTTAAGATAGGAGGAAATGTCAAGCCAATGGTTTGTTATGATCTTCAAGCATCACATACATCTCTCTAGCTTGGCACAATGGTGCGGAAGATCAGGTAAGACACGGGGTAGTGCAATCGTGCACGATAAGCTAAACCCCGCAAAACAGGAACATCATGGATGTGGGGCAGACGGACAAATATATCTTGCTTTACCCCTTCCGGCTATTTGGCCAGCCTTGGAAAAGGCTTACGAACCATTCTAGAACGTTTAATTAAGCTTGGACAATCCAATTCATGAATGCCAGAAGTGAGTAAATCTGATATGGTGGAGCAGCTACAAGATGACGAGTTCCCACATCATTGACATGGCCATATCAAGTGCTGTGGTGCTGCTCTAGCACTAAGCGAGCTCGGTCCCTTTCTCCCCTATGTGTTAAGCGAATATCTCACTTTCTGATTGGTTAGAAGTGACCTACGTTATAATAGAATAGGGGGGCGGGAGATACATCTACTCTTCGTCTGCGATATATATTTATATATTACACGCTGATAACCATCACTCCACTTCATATACAGAAACGAGAATCCCTCGATTTCTAAAGTTTCGATGGCTCCATTTCCCGAGGCACGCAACACGGGTCTTGCTATTAGATACCGTTTCCGATCATGAATTCCGACGAAGTCAGTAAACACCACGAGTGCAGCGTCTCGGCCTGGCTGCACCGTCTAGGGAAATACAGCACCCCTGGGATCGAGAAGCTCGCGTCGCAGTACCGCAACGGCGCCAAATGCCGCTGCGTCGAGGTCAAGAACGGCTCCTTCAACTGGTGCTTCAAAGTGGTGTTCGAGAATGGCGGGCCCACGTGGGCAGTGCGCTTCCCTGTCGCGGGCAATGTCATGCACGCCGAGTCCAAAGTGCAGCGCGAATACGCCGTCATGAAATTCGTCAGGGAGAAGACGGACATTCCTGTCCCCGAGGTTATTGCGTTTGGCGCGGCGTCAGATAATCATGATCCGGCCATGGGCCCGTTCATTATCACGGAGTGGGTTGAGGGCGTGCCGCTGAGCAGTCTGATGGAACAGCTCCCCAGACCGGCGCGGGGGCCAGTTTTGCGTACGGATCTCAGTGACGAGACGCTTTTCGCTATCTATCGTCAGGTAGCCAATATCATGTTGGAACTGTCAAGGCATAACTTCGACAAGATTGGCGCCCTGTCACTTGTCTATAATGACGATGGTACGCCTTCTTGGCCTGTGACATCTAGGCCCATGACCCTGAAGATGAACGAGATTGAGAGAGGCGGATATGTCACGGTGGATAGTACGGCGTTCTATAACCCGCTGCTCAAGTGTACATTTCAGCTAACCGTCTAACAGATCATGTACGAGAACCATTCCGAACCGTCACAGAATACGTTCACAACCTCGTGCAGCAAAACATCACGCATTTATTTGAGCAAAGGAACTCAGTCGACGATATTTACGATGCGCGGCGGAAATACATCCTTCGCCAGCGCGTCAAGAACCTCATCCCGTACTTCGTCGCACCAGAGTACGATTCCGGCCCGTTCAAACTCCTCTGTGATGACTTCCATCCCGGGAACATCCTCGTCAATGACAACATGGAAGTCGTGGCTGTCATCGACTGGGAATGGACGTACGCGGGCCCATACCAGTTTGTGTACTCGCCACCGCCGTGGCTCATTCTCGAGAACCCAACGTCGTGGACCGATAGGAGCGAGGCTCTCTACAAAGCGAAATTCCCGCTATTCCTCAGGGCCTTGGAAGAAGAAGAGGTGCGCAGAGGCACGCGGCTCCCGCCGGAACATAGGATGTCAGGACTGATGCGGCGGTCCGTCGAAGATGGGAAATTCTGGTTTAACGAGCTGATCCGCGAATCGTTCAATTTTGACGAGGATGTTCTGTGGCCAAATATCGAGTTGCTGCTTCAGAAGAGCGGTCTTGCGGATGTGGGGATCCCGAGCGACCAGGAGGTGGAGGACTTCGTGAAGAGGAAGATGCAGGATTTGGAGACATATAATAGAGATCTGCAGGTATTGCGGCGGAAGGAATTAGAGAGTGAGGAGGGGATAACTGAAACTTGGCAGGAGAACGTGGCTACAGAAACGAGTGGTGATGGTGGGCTCAGGAGATAAATAGGAAAAGGGAGAAGTAGCGGCCTAAGAAAAACAGGTGTCTGTAAAAAGAAACGCTCACGAAACCTTTCAACTATATATATATATATATGACTAACGTATAATTTCAATAGTCTATAAACCCTCAACTACCTTGTAACTAGTAAATCAAGTCAGAATCCATCAGAATCCAGAGATTGTATTCCAAAGAAATCAATCCTATACCGGTATTAAAGGATAGAGGACTGCGCTTTATGCGAGCATCATTTGAAATTCTAATTCCAGAGATGTAATGTTGATACCCCAAGATTATTACTACAGAATCCGAGATCTTCTCAGACTTCTCTACTCACACAAAGACTAAAAATTATCAGCCTTGACCCTAAAAGTCCTCTAGAGCCATCCATCACAAACCCAAGCACTTACAAGAAGAGTGTTTTTCTTATTTCTCCCTTATAACCCCCCCCCCCCCCCCCCCCAACTTCCCCCCCAACATCACCTTCCCACTACATACAACACTCCCCCCAGCCCATATTTCAAACAAAAATAAACAATCAGAAATTCATGTTCCTAACCGTACATAGCAGGAGTCGCGGATCTGAAGCCATTATCATAAACCCCGGCAAGTCTCCCCTCTCTTCAAAAACTGGGCTACTCGGACTGTCGTCTGGCTTCTTCTATTCTTCGATTTTCTGCGTCTAGCAGACCAGGCGGGTAGAAGAAGGAAGGAGAGCTGCGGAGGGTGCATGCATGCATTATCATATCCATGGGTTGAGAATCCGTTCTTTTTATATCTCAGGGGTATAAATAAACCTCATCATTCCACTTCAAGACTCTTCTTTCAACCAGGAGCGCGCTACACAGAGCCAGCGCTCAGGATCGGATTCTATCTGTAAACGGTCCAGATGTTCGACGATCCTCTTCATCGATCGCTGTTCCGAGACGACTTCAGAGCTCGGTGTCGTATTCCTCATTCCGAGATCAAATGTCCTTAGTTTGTTAGTCCCTCCTTCCTTCCACGCGAATCAGCTCCAGCTCCCGCGCGATCGCTCTCCGCGCTTCCCTTGCATTCATCCATCTACTCTGTGACGGGATGGCTACTGTCCCCGAGGCGTTCAAAGAGATACTCATGTCCGAAGAGGAGAAGCTCGATATCTCTCATTCACTTGTGTATCATGGTGAGATATCCGGGTTTGATATCGTTGAGGAATTCATCGTGGGGAGAGGATGCAATTCCGGAGCTGTTTGGAAGGGGGCGCGCTGCGGTACTACGCTTTCTAAGATTCCTCTGAGGATTTCTCGTCGAAGTTGGACTCCTTTATATGCCGTAAATGGAGATTACATGTTGGGAATGATGGATTATTGAGAAATTCTGGAGTTGGGATGATTGTGTGTAAAGTGGATTCTACAACTTGTATTGTTGAATATTGCGTTGCTATAGTTGGGTAGAACGAAGATGAAAACAGAAAACAACAAACAAATATAAACGAAAAAAAAGGTGCCGCCGCCGCTGGAAGTTATGAAATAAGAAAATTATTCATGGCGACCAGTGACCAGTCCACATAACTCCCTACTCGACAGAGTAAACAATGATAGCACTCTCAGCTAAATCAATCAAATATTCAGCAACCACCTGATCTGATTTCTTGGTAGAACTACGCACTCTATCCAAGGGGCACAAAAACTATAACATCAACCCGAACAAACATCACTCCATAACCTACAAGATAATAGGAGATCATAGCACCACCGAGCAGCCTTCCATACCGTTTTTAGTACCAAGTGCACACACACACATATACATATATATCATCATCAGCAACGATCTTCAACTCAATCAACTCAATCAATCAATCCTCAGTATCTCTGTACTTCGCCCTCTTACTTCTTAAACATTGACAAGTAATAGAATGATGCCTTCTCTTGTCCGAGTCCAAAATGAGGAATAGAGACTATCTACCCTTGCTACATAAGTACCGGGCACATGACTGTGGACGAGCGGAACAAAACATGACGAAAGAGAACGCTGGTTGTAGATAATCCAGAAGCTTTGTAGTGTTGTCTTTTCAAGGGGATTCCGTATTTCCTGATATGTCATGCTGCACTTGCGTCTGCCCGCCGTTGCCTCTCAGCGCTAGCTCGGCAGCTCCAAGTCACCCGCTCATACTCTTGCAAGTTCAGCCAAGCACTACCTACCTGGCCTTTCTCTGTTCAAATCACAGTCAAGTCTTCGATTACCCCATCGGATCAGGATATGGGTTGCCATGATGTAATTTCACTATCGGAAGTAGCCTATGTAGCCCCGTCATGTACGTGAGGCACCATTGAGAATGCATGCACACGGCTAACCCCTGCAAATGTTCCCCTTCCCTAGAATATGCCATCGTCCCCTCTGCATTTTCCATTCCATGGTGTAAAGACAACGTGTGTAGACGAAAAACCAGGCAAAGAAAGCAAAAAAGAAAACCTCCCCAGAAGCAGCCAACCATTCATATCCACCATCCCCATATCGTCGAAGTTGGATGCCGCAGTATGTGTCCACCGTCGTTGCAAGAGTCCCCGGCGAGCACTCCCGAGTCCAAGTAGACCACATCTAGCGGACATCCAACCCCACTCCATCGCAGATTAATCCCCCCCGGGCGTCCCCTCTTCCACAAAATTGAAAGCACAACGCAGGAAAACAACGATCAAGGAAATAAGGAGATGATGCACTGCAAAACATTTATCTGAGGAACATAGGGTCTGCTCTGAAAGCCAGATGACGATGCGCAAGACGTCAAACGGGACGAGCTTGTATGACCATGCTTCAGCTTTCTCCGTGACTAAAATGTAACCGGCAATTGTCGAATGATACTTTTGATAGTAACTCGATGATTTGATGTGCCGTATCAGGTTGCATTTTTGCTCCGAGACTTGGATGTGATGACATCGGCGCGCCGTTCGATGGCTTTGATATCGCTGACAATGCCGCTGAGCTAGTGATAGATAGCCAGTGGGTCATGTCATGTCGAAATCAAATCTGCTCGAGCCATTTGAAAAGCGGTAGTCGAAGAGTCACAAACAAAGAAAGCGTTCCATAAGAGATGAGTTTTGATGCCCGGGCCAGTACCGACTTGTGGGAGACACATTCAGGTATGGTCAGCGAGAGAGTGAGTTGAGATCAAGACGAAACCACCGCGAGTCGAAAGTCAGAAGACGATATCGGTCAAGGAGATTCGCCCAACGGAAAAATAAATCAATACCACTGCTGACCAGACTGATCCTCTCGCTTGGGCCGGTACGATCCAGAGGCATATCCAGTACCAGTTGCTGCACCTTTGGAGGCAGAGCGCAGCCTATTTGCGGAGACTATAGTGTCAGCCATCCAGTCAGCAATCTGTTCTCCCCGCGGCCAGCGTCATCGAAGCACACTAACGCGAAGAGGGATATTCCCTTACAAGGAACCGGGCTAGCGAGACAACTCACATCCTATCACTGCTTCCGACGGCACGGGTGGTATCGGGAGTGTCAACACCAGTTCCACGCTCGATCACCTTGTTGCGGGGTCTGGAAATGGCAGTTGGCTTGTTGGCACTGGAGGAATGCTGAGGGGTTGGTCCACCGGCGGTTGCAGCAGTGAGACGGGTGGTACGTCCGGGCTTCTCCTCCTCATCCTGGGCGGTCTGCTGGTTGGCAGCTTGGGCAATGGCCTGGGCATTCTTCTGGTACTTGTAGACGGTCCAGTCGAAGACATAGTCATACTGGAAACCCTCACGGACGAAGAGATCACGGAAGATCTTTCGGAGGTAGGAGTAATCCGGCTTGTCATCAAAACGGAGGGAACGAGTGTAGTTCAGGTAGATGGCAAACTCATTGGGGAATCCACGGCAGAGAACCTCAGTCGGGGTGGTCATCTTCTTCTCCATGATTCGGTCGTACTTCTGCTTCTTGGTAGCAGCCTTCAGGCCTTGCCAAGGAAGGGAGCCACGACAGAAGTACAACATGACATATCCGAGGGACTCCATGTCATCACGACGGGATTGCTCTGCAGAGTGTTAGCACTGGAAGAATATATGGATTACGACTATAACATACCGACACCCAAGTGAGTGTTGATGGAGGCGTAACGGGCAGTACCAGTCAAGTTCTTGTTCTCTCTGTAAGGGATGTGGAAGTGAGTCTTCGGGTCACGGTACTTCTTGGCCAAACCGAAATCAATGACATTGACTTGGTTTCCACGCTTGCCGATTCCCATGAGGAAGTTGTCGGGCTTGATATCACGGTGGATGAAGGACTTGGCGTGGATGTACTCGATACGGGAGATGAGTTGATCGGCAAGGAGAAGAACGGTCTTCAAGGAGAACTTGCGGTTGCAGAAGTTGAAGAGATCCTCCAAACTGGGACCAAGGAGGTCGAGGACCATGGCATTGTAGTCGCACTCGGTTCCAAACCAGCGGACAAATGGGATACCAACACCTCCAGCGAGGGACTTGTAAACACGAGCTTCATATTCGAGTTGAGGGTGCTTGGCCTTGACACTCTCAAGCTTGATGGCGATCTCCTCACCGGAGATGATGTTGGTGCCGAGGTAGATATCACCGAAAGAGCCGCTACCGATCTTACGGCCGATACGGTATTTGTTACCAACGCGAAGATCCTACAGGGAGAGATGGGTTAGCATGCTGACATTCAAGATGCGGGACGTAAGATGTAAGTGTATGGAATGACAAGAGGAAGAAGGGACTACACAAGCACAAGGCTGTGACTGAGCCCAAAGGTGACATGCTGCCATCCCGAAGAACTCTCGCACCAGCCACACATTGCTTGAGGGGGTGGCAAGGAAGTGTCCGCAGAGGCCGAAGAAAGGGAGTATAAACCAGAGGATTGGCTTTCGACTTGGAAGCGGGTGGATTCACCATAGTAGTCATCTTGAAGTTGAACTATGGACTCTGGGTATCGGACTGTCCGATACGCGAGTCGAGCAGATGTGGTTATGTATGAGGTATTATCGATCGAATAATCGGATCGTGGTTGATGGGGATGTGTATTGAGAAAGAAGGGGAACTAGAGGAAGGGTTTGTGTTAGTTGTTGCTTAGGTAGACCAGGCTGCTATAAACAACACGGAGCGGTGAGATAGATAGGAAACATGCCTTAAGCGGCTGAAGGCGGAAGAACGTTGAAACACAACCTGCTTATCCACCCGCGAAGCAGTAAATGGAGGAGCAGTATGTGTTTCGCGGTATGCTTCGCAGTAAGGAGTGTAGTTGGAGGAGCTGTGGGAGTTGGGAGGAGTTGTTGGATACGTACCTATCTTCTTCCTCCGAGGGCTGGACTGGTCGATGAGGGATTACCGACCGGAGACGGGGGCGCCACGAGACAGCTTCGACGGCGGGGGGGAAAACAGAGGGACGTGCAGGGCGACAGTTGATGCGAGATAACTCTCACGAACCCTCTGTGGAGAGCTGGTCGGCGGTGGAGATCTATCGAGGTTGATGAGGGGGGGGGAGAGATGGGGGGAGTTGTGGTGGGTTTGGAGGGGAAGATTGAATCGTCGTAGATTGATGGACGACGCCCAAAGATGGTATTTCTCGCTTACGGTCTAGCGTGGAGAGAGGCGCGCTATGCCTGTTCCGGCGCTAACCAAGGGTTTCCAGGCCTTCAGATTTGCGGCCTCAGGCTAGAATTTAGGTACGTCGATGCAAAAATAGATTTGCGGAGAAAGGCTTTTTTGCTTTATACTTTTGCTTTTGCTTTTGCTTTGGCTTTGGCTTTTACTTTTGCTGTTTTCAACAATGAATGCATCAGAGTCCCCTCTTGTCTTGCGCGTCTCGAAACACCGCGAATGATCGGGGTCCGGCTGCGGCATGGGGATTGCTACGGTGAGTGCGTGTGCCTTTGCGCTGTCCTGGGCTTCCCACGCCTCCGCCCTTTCTTGAGAGCCGGATCCAGCAACGCGGAAGAGTGGCGGGGATCCTCAAATTAGGAGCTGACGGCGCCTTTCAGGTGACATGTCCCGACTCTGGACTCTGGCATCTGGCATCTCTCTGGCCTTCGCCCCCTTCGCCTTTGCCTTTGCCCAACAAGCAGCGCAGCCCGACGACATGTCGGTTGGCCCACGCCTCCTACTTCATTCATGCTTCATGCTTCATGCTTCATGCTTCAGGGCTTCGTGAAATCTTGCCTCGCCTTGCACCGGCTGTCGTAGCCCGACGAATGATACCAGGGAGGAGGCGCTGGATGGATGAACCCATAACGTCAACCCCCATCAGCTGCCCGCGTGCACATGCAACGTGCAAGATGCAAGAGGCAGCAAGACCCTTCGTAAAAAGGGGGCTTCAGGGCTTCATCCCCTCTCCGGGTCGCAATGCATGATCCGCCCAAACCCCCCACTGATAGTCTGATATCCATCCGGCTTTTGAGGCCTCGTCTCCCGGATGCAGCCTCCCCTTTCCGCCTCGGCCGCCTGAGCCATTAAAACTCGTCGGATACTGAGGGTTTTAAGGGGTCCCAACTACTTTGCAAAGCCTCGATTCCATGGTCGACTTTTACGCGGTTAAACGCCCGTGTCATATCGGTTTCTCTTTTGTCCTTTTTGCCCCCCTCATTTTTTTCTCCCTTTTTTTTTTCTTTTTTTTCCCCTTTTAACATCTCCCGAGTTCCCCCTCCGTTTTCCGCCTTTTACGTTGCCTCTGCTATACATCTATCTCACCAACTTCGCCTCAGTGGCAAGCGGCGGTAAACCGACACAACAAGCCCCGTCCAATCCATCCAATCCATATCAGATGATCTCTCGCCCCGATTACAAAGCGCCAACCGCGCCAAGTAGTCTCGGTCAGGCGTCCCAATATAGCCACTCGATATCGCTTCAGATCTCGGATCCCGACACATTCTTTACAGACCCCGTCGAAAACGATTACCGTGTTAAGGGGCGGTCGGTTCCAGACTTTCGCGACGACGGCGGCGAGCGAGGATTAATATCCGGGCTTCAGCCTCAACCCAAGCTACTTCCAACGTTTGTCTCCGAAAAAAATAAATTAAATCGCTGTGAAATCAAATCAAAATCAAATATCATATCAAAAGATAAGATAACCAACATCAACATCAATATCAAAATTAAAATAAAGCCACAGACCCGCTCGTCCCCCGCTGCTATCTAAATCCTCCGAACCCCCCAACTCCCCCACCCCAAAATCAATCAATCAGCTGTACAACGTCTATAGAACCCTCCTCTCCATCTTCTAGAAGTCCTGTCTTACTACGTAGTGCTTACTGTACGGTGTATGTATCATGGTAACCTACCTACATACCACCGTACATATTCTTCGGTCCAAGCTTTCAAATACACACCTTTATCCTACAGCTTGATTTTTTTTTGGGAGGGTATCATTGTAAACGCCTCTTGACGGGATACCACCTCCTTGCGCATTCCTAGGGAGGGAGGGACCGGAGAGGGACTACACGCAATCACATCTGCTTCGAAATTTTTCTTCCTCTTCATAGAAGAGACGGGAGAGCTGATGATGCATATACCATACTTCCATACTTTATTCAACGAGCGCTTCCGTCCATCCATGCATGCAAGTCCTAGGTATTGTACATTAATCTTCCCAATTCGTCTTCGTCTTTTTTTCATGAGAAATATATGCCCTGCCATAGCGAACGACAAGAATCAGAACCGCTGCGTCTCCATCGTCTCTCTCGCAAACCAAATATACAAAGCGCAAACCCCAATTCCAAGAGACACCTCCCCGGCAGAAACTCAAACACTGGGGGGAAAAAGAACAAAGAAAGAAAGAAAACCTGCGGGTTGAGGGAAGGGGAAAAAGTAGTCATCCAAACAGGAGCGAACCCGAATCCTGGCTCCATCACTGGAGAGCGTGATGAGCGAGAAATGAAATGGGAGGCATTCCATGCCGTCCGTAACAATTGAGATCGTGAAGTTGTATCATCCTTGCCAGACACCGTCTCTGGCTTCCTCTTTCTCTGCTTGACTGTCCTGATAAATCAAATCAGGTTGGTCAGATCAGATTAGGCTCCACCGTCGTCGGACTTGACGCCCTCTCCTCTGACCTGTTCGCCTTCCTACTCCTTGCCACGTCTTCCTCAGCATCCAGCCTCTTCCTCCAGTCCGCTAAACTGGAACTTAATCCGACAATCTTGTCACTCTCTTGTGTCGTCGTTCGTTGCAGCGGCCTATCCTCAAAATCGAATGTAGTATTGCTCATGCGGTAATTCTTATTCGTCGTCTCCCAATGCGTCCTCAGCGTCTCCAGCTCATTCGCCAAGCTGTCGAGCGCCATCGACGTGCGATTCCCGCCCTCGAAAAGAGAGTTGTCGGATATGCTGTCGGCGCCGGAGAGGCTGCGTTGGTGATTTCCGTTTCCATTTCCACTGGCGCTGGGTTCAACACGTTGGGATTGTCGCCGGTAGTTGTCGACCGAGTGTTCAACCTGGTCTAGCAATAGGGAGACCTTCTGCTCTGCGTCCTGGGCTCGCCGTTCAAGTAATGAGTTCTCGTGTTGCATTTGTTCGATCTCTGCTTTCGATTGTTCGTTTAAACTAGCAAGCTGTCGCGACAGCTCCTCGTTCTCCTGCTTCAGATGGTCGCGCTCTTGTTTTGCAGCCTCTAGCTCATTCCGAACCTCGGTCATCTGCTGCTCAAGTTGTGAGACCGAGGATTTGATTTGTTCTTGCAGACCCTCTATTTGCTTGTTCAAAGCAGAACGCTCTTCCTCCCATCCAGTATTTGCTTCCAAAGCTGCAGATCTCTCCTCGGCTTCCGATAGCTGCTCCTTCATTCGAGTATTGTCCGACTTGTATTTTGCCAACTCATCCTTCATGCGCTTGAGCATCTTCTCCGTGCCCTTGACATAATGAACGGCGGATTGGTAATCATTTTCCAGTTGGCTCAACTTGTCGCGGTAGGTGTTTTCAGCTTCTTGCTCCCGGCTTTCGTAGTTTGCCTTGAGCTCCTCTTTGGCTTGAATGGTGGCAGAGAGCTGTTGTTCCAGTTCACGGATACGTGCAGGATCAGGTGTGTTCGAGCCTGACAAAGGAGATGAGAGGCCACGTGCTCGGGAAGCAGCGCCTGGGCTGATACCTCGTTCCCCGAGAATGTCCTTCAGGGTATTGTGTTGGACGTGGACGGCATTGGTCTCCAACTGTTGGTTCGCGAGCTGGTGCTTCATTTCCGAATTTGATGCTTGAAGTGACTGGACTTCTCGCATTGTTGATTGAAGTTGCTTTCGAATAGACATACCTTCCCTGCTTGCTTGCTCTTGGTAAGCTTCCAGGCCAGCAATCCGCTCTTCCGCACTGCGTAATTTTTCCGAGGCAGTGTCGGCCGCGGCTTGGAACTTTCGGGCCAGTGCATTTGCAGCCTGGACTTGGCCTTGAAGTGCCACGACTTGCTCGCTGGGTGTGATGTCTGTTGATCCAATTTCACGTGATGCGACCTTGTCGAGGCCAGATAGGATAGCCTGTTTATGAGTCCTAGCCTCATTTGCATGATGCTCTGCCAGTTCTTCCGCGTCTCGAAGTCGTCGCGTAGCGACTTCGAGCTCCGAAGTTGCAGTCTCGTGCTCGGCCTTGAGCGTGCGTAGTCTGCTCTCGATTTTCTCTCGCTCGCTACGTTCCTCTTCAAGCTTACGCTCAAGCATATTCCTCATATCTGCAGAGGACGCAATAGCTTCTCGTAGTGACTCAAAAGTGTCGCTGTGGTCCTTCGCTGCTTCCTCGATTTCTTTGTGGCGGGATTCCAACTGCTCCTTTTCAGCCTGGAGCACTGCCACTGTAGCGACAGCCTCTGCGCAGACAATTCCTTCCTCCCTCGCCTTGATCTGTAACTCGTGGAGCTCGGCTCTTAGACGTTCTACCTCAGATGAATTCTGCTGCTTGTATGCCTCCAGTTCCGTCATCCGATTCTCAGTAGAGTTGGCTGTGTCCTCCGCAAGAGACCTCGCTCGCTTCTCGGCTTCAAGCTCCGAGGTCAAGATTTCAAGCTGGTTCTTCAAGTCTTGCTGTTCCACCAGCGCCGCAGCTAACTTCTTGCTGATATCTGTAGATCTATCGGCTGCCATCATTCCAAGGTCACGAGCATCGCTGTCCGGTTGAGGCGTGCTGCTTTGGCTACCGCTGTGTGCAGCAAGCTTGGCCTTGGCATAAATTGCTTCATTGACAGCTGTATCTCGTTGTTTCTCAACCTCCGCGATTTGCTTAGCTGCAATAATAGCTTGCTTGTCGATTGAGCTTTGGACGTTTGCGAGTTCTGCCTTCATCGCTATCAACGCCTCGATCAACGGCTTGTCCTCGTCGTCAAAGGATTCTGCGGCTCTCTGATCCAGTATTGGACTACTTGAGGGATTCGGAACATAACCTGCTTTTCGAGCAAGCTCCAGCTCCGATGCATACCAAGCATTTCGATTCTTGGCAGCATCCAATTCCTTGAGCAAAGCAACAGTTTGAGAATTCCTAGCAGAGCCTCTCCGACTCAGCGGGTTGCTGGTCTGTCTAGATGGAGGTGGAGGTGATGAAGCGCGGTTTGTGGGAGCCTTGAGCGACGAATCAAGTGTACTGTCAACAGAACTCTGTTGCCGGGCTTGTCGCAATTTTGATCCAGGGCGCGCAATGGCACTGTTGCTCGTAGCCGGCGACTCGTTTGATACTGGTTTCGACATTTGAGCCGCTTGGGTCGGCGTACGTCGTCCATTGATAATTTGGGGCTCCCGTGACTGAGGACTGTCTCTTGGCACTGGCGACATCGTTCGATTTTGCTGTGGTGATAGAGCCATATTCTCGGGCGGAGGGCTTCGAGTGCTAGTATCTACCGGAGGACCGAATCCCCTTTCCGGCTTACCTTGCGGCTTACCTCGTCCATTTGCCATGGGAATTGGGCCATTAGACCGAGGAGTCGGTGCTGCTTGCTGAGGCGGAGGGCCTTGTGGTGCTTGTGCTAATGATGCTCGGGGTAGCTTAGAACCTGCTTGCGGTCCTTGCGGCTGGGCTGATCCTGGTGCCACACCGTTCATATCGTTGCCATTCATGCCGGGTTGACCACCTCCTTGACCACCTCCACGGGGGAAAGGTGGGAAAGGCCCTTGGGCCATAACACTCTCCCTCATTGGTCTCTCTGGTCCATTTAACCTCTTTGGATCAGGAATTCCCGAACCATCGCGAGAACTCAATCCTCGATTTGGAGCCATACCAGACTTTTCAGATCCACTGGGACGCCTTGTACCCGGGAGACGTTCTGCAGAACCCTGTTGGGTTGGCTGGTCGCTAGGGTAGCGGATCTTGCTTGTATCAAGTACATAGACGGTGGCAAGATCTGAAGCCTCCCTTGTAGCTGTGCTCGGTTCTCCAGCCAAAACGACAATTTGCTTTCCATATGCGGTCATGCTATGGCCGGATCTCGGCGAAGGTGAGGGGCCCATATTTTGGAAAGTATACCAACGCCTCGTAGAGATTCTGAACGATGCCAAGTCCCCTAGATCTGCCCCCTCTTCAGTCCGTCCACCGAAAATATACATCACATCGTCTACAATCGCGGCTGCGTGGCCTTCTCGGGGGGCGGGGATATATCCGATACAATCGAGGGAGGTCCAGGTATTGGTTACGGGGTCGTAGCACCAGACGTCGTTAAACCATTGTAACCCATTTGTTCCACCAAATCTATTATCAAAATTAGTATCGCAATGCACTGCCATCCCGCAGAACTTACAGGTAAAGCTTCTCGTTGTACGTCACAACAGTGTGATTCGTTCTCGCAGGAGGCACTTGGCCAATTGGAGGGCCTCCTTCGTCAGTATTCCGGAGGAGCATCTCCCAGCGATTTGTAGGAACCTGCAATTGATTCAGGTCAAAGGCGACCAGATCGTTCATGAAGTATCCCTCCACTTGACCTCCAAACACGTATATCTTCGACCCAAGTATGTTCAGCGAGTGCCCGTATCGACCAGAAGGTCGGGGCCCTGCGGGCACTGCCCTCGACCATTGCCGTGTAGCTATTATGATCAGCATAATCTCTGGTTATATCAACATCCAACATACATGTGTTCAGGAGGTATAACGTCTCATCTAGAACGTCCGAATCTTCCATCTTTGTATCTCCTCCATAGACAATGAATGCATTCCCAACTAAGAGAGCAGCATGCCCTACTCGAGGTCCAGGCCCTTCAGCTGTTGTTGCAAGCGGGTAGCATGCCATATTCCCTCCTGCCTCCACCATCCACAGATCACCCTTCACTGTGGAGCTATTTATGAGACCTCCCATTAAATAAATATCACCCTCTTTAGATGCGCTCGAGTTAACAGCCGCGCCATATCGTGGGAAGGGACTGGGATGTGCGGTCGTATAGGTCATCCGCCGTTTCGACCAGGGATACAAGGAGGCATTAATATTCGGATTCATCTGTTGACCTTGCTGTGAAGGGGCATTTCGCGCCTACATTCCGAAAGAAATCAAAAATAAGTATCCGAGGACCAAGGTCTTCATCACGCATTGCGCATGTCACAGTATTGGAAATGGGCACTCACAGGAGGTTCTTGCGCCTGTTCTGGATTAGGACCTCTCCGGCCATTCAATTGCTCTGGGCTCGGGGGAGTTCCTCCCTGGAGCGAGTTCATCGAATTATTTACACTGCTGCCCGGTGTCGTCTGCTGCACCGCGCCAGCACCCTTCTCATTTTGCAGGCGTCCATTTGGACTGTTCTGCAGAGGCGGCTGTGGTCCTACGGCCCCGTTCGTGGCATCTTTCAAGGTCTGGGCTTTGTCTGCATTCTTCTTGCTCTTGAAAAGGAATGCCATCGTGCCATCCGAGGCGGGCAACTTCCTATGCTATGCCAATGTGCGGCCGAATCTGCGGATGTTCTTTTGGAAAGATCGTATCTGCTTCGTGCGATTGAAACGATGGCCGGTCGCGAGGTTGTGCGAGGAGAGGTGTCTCAGCGAATGCGCAGGGTATGGGTTGGTTTGGAAAGGAGAGAAGCTGGGGGGGAGCCTTCGATCGGTCGCGCGCAACGTCCTCGTCGGAATTGGCACACCGGGGGATGCGATTTCCTGGCGGCCGTCGAGGAGCAGGAGCAGGAACGAGCGATGGGCAGATTCGAGCGGCTGGCAGGCAAAAGGGACGACGACGATGTGAAGTTGATGGCTGGAAATTGCGGGTTATGATGGGGGTTGGGCTGAAGCCAGAGACAGGGTGCCCGTCAGTGAGGGCCGCCAAAATAAAACAAGCGTCGCCTCAACAGCACCAGGAGAGAAAAATGGACCGATATTACCAATAATCGCAGCCAAGGAATGAATCAAGTATCAACGAGAGAGCTGCGGATCACGGTCACGGATGTCGGTTCTGCCCAGGACGAACAGAAGGACGGAGGGACAGAGGGACAGAGAGGACAGAATTCGGGGGAAGGACAACTTTCTTTCTCCTCGTTGACTTTTTCTTTCTTTTCCCAGAGTCCCCATGCACCGTACCCCTGACACCTCTATGTCGAACCCTTACTCGGAGAGGCAAAGGGGGGGCTTGTTTCATCGCAGGAGGAGCCATTTTTAAAGTTATCCGGCCGGCTCAGAATTGGTTGATAGAAAGCCCTTGATCTATTTATGACTATTACTACTCAAGTACCAGTAGTATTACTGTATTATTACGGAGTACCTCTAGGCTCTAGGCTCTTCGCCTGTCCTTTGCCCTTATTTGCTTTTAACCCTTTAGTAAGGGAGTCCGGAGTAATGGTTGATCCCCCCCAAATCCCCCTTTTCTAGCTTACTACTGCTGTTCCCCTTTCCCTGCAGATGCCGAGGCGTGGGTTGGCGCAAGTCGACCGTCCTCTGTAAGATATGTAAGATATGTCTTTGATACACATGTATCCCGCTGCCCAGCCTGCCCTTTGTGCTTCCTGCCCAGCCCAGTCTCACAAAGGCCAGAGACATCCCGCACGCTGTTCCAAGCGACCCCTTCCCACATTATTAGCGACGTATACGCCATGAGTAAACCCGTAAACCTGAGGATATGTACGGAGTACTTCTCCCTAAGTCTTGGCCCGATCCCAAGAGAGCCAGCCCCCCCCAGCTTTCCAAGTCTCCCCCTATAGGTCCAGGAGACGAGACGACTGCACGCTTCCAGTGATCCGGAAGATCTCGCTACTGCAAGGGAAAGAAGCCTCAGAAACTCTATCACACCTCGGTTTATAGTACTACTACTGTACTCCGTACTGTAGAAGTAGTCACATACTACTGTATGTACTGCGCCCTCGCCGTAAAATCATCGATGTTTTCTGGAGCGCTTTGCCTGTTATCGATAAGCCTTGCAGATATCTAGTCTCGTACTTGCTGCGTACCGCGTACGCTGTACCCGTTTGTACGCCGTAAGCTGTACGCTGTGCATAGTATATATACGGGCAGCATTGTATCATGGACGGCAACTGGTTCCGAATGGCAACACTGCCCACACAAGAGCATACGTCCTTGCAAGCTGGCGACAGTTCCTATAAATATATAAAAATTAGAATTATTGGCCAAGCTGTGTACGGAATAAGGAGTACAGGTACCGTGTGCTGCCAGATCATTTGATCACATCAGCACCGGAGGGTTCCCGATCAACCGTTGATGGAGAATGCAATTGGCCGTCGCGTGGGCTGGGATGACCAGTAAACTAGGCTCTGGCGCGTAGAAACGATGCTGCGCGGTAGGACACTGTATCACGGTGAGACTTGTGTGTATGCCTGAATACCGTAGATACATGTGCAGAGGACGGCCTCAATAAATGCAGAGAAGAATCCAAGAGCTGCACTGCTGTCAGGAACGGGTTCATGCAGACAAGAAGGGTTCTACGCTTCTCTTTCAGAGCCTTAAAGATAAAGGGCGATAGCCACGAATAGTAATAATCTGATAATCAGTGATAATCAGTGAGTGATAAGCAGGACGATAATCATATCTTAGGTTCTTTGGTAAAGTACTGTACAGGAGGCATCCAAAAGGACCAACTTACCCAGCCTCAACCAAGGGACAGTGCTTCAGCCACACAGCAGCACCGCCACACTAGCCACACTTCGACTCGACTCGGGTCAACTCGTGTGTGAGGCTCAACCCGGCTAAACTCGTGACGTGGATCGATATCTTTAACTCGCAAAACGCGGAAGTTTGTGCTGCGAAGGTTGACTGAACATGGAGAATTAATCGCATGCGCCGGAAGTTCGCATGCAGACCCTCACTTACGCGTTAACTCCAGCTCTTCTGATATATGCCGACTGCTTGTTTCTTTAATCTGGGTGAAAAGAAAGATCGAGAGCTCCTGTAGGTCTCTTCTTGTCATGAAAAAGAAGTAGAATCTCGGCGCATGTGGGAATCTATTGGCACCGTTTGCCTGGCTGACTGTCAATAGTCCATATAGTTTCCTTTCTTTCTCACACTGCGGCTCTTGTCACCAATCGAACCCAGAGCGCATCCCGTCCGACTCTTCTCACGAGACCCATGAACACCTCGACGCTTTGAGAAGGCCTGCTTCTCACCTCCAGTGACCATGACGGCTGTTGCGGTCCAACGCAGCGGAGCTCATAGATCGCAGCAATATAATCATCAAGCCACATCGCACGCTTCTAATGGTTCTTCCCACCAATCTCGACCTCCGAGCTACACTTCATCTCCTGCCGGACAAACCCCGCGACAAGAACCTGTCATACAAAATGGCACGCCAGCTATGACGAATCCGAGACCTGCCGTCAGTAATGACCCGGTGCAGAAGGTGAATGGGGATGCCTCTTCATCTTCGGATCCAGATCGCGCATCTCCCACAGTAGTAAATGGTGCCGCCACATCAAACGGCGGAACAGTACGGAATCGCAGATCGGTTCAACAACCTCGCCCTACCTTGCCGCCCTCCGCTGAATCTTCCCAAGACGAGTCGGAGATTGATAGGCCAAGGCGCAGACAGAAACCTCTGCTTCAGAGGTCGAAGAGTGACTATGGCCCAAGAGGAGACGAGAGGGAGGCACAAGTCGAGGAGGAGAGACATGATTGGGGAGCACGACATGGGTTTGAGGACCATTATGCTTCTGAGGAATATGTTTCGCAGCTAGCAAACGTAGGTTACGCTTTCCTTTCCGCTGTCTGAACTCTATTCTGCCGCATATCATGGGGCGCGCCCACCGCGTTATTATCTACCAACACTTTAACTACGTTGGAGGTTTACCTGATCCCCGTCTCTGTTTTGGATATATCTTACAGATCTGACACCATGACGGATTTCCCCGATGATGGAAGCCCCCCCTCTTTCATTCCAGAAACTAACGAATATGGGGGTTTTTGGGATTATGTGGACGAGAGACGCGGTTCTATGCGTCAGACCCAAGAACGATTCACAGAAGGTCGTGCTAGGCGCGGCCATGTCATATCCACATTCAGGTGGCCAAGTATTGAATTGGACAAGTATGCTGACAGGCAAAAACAGAATTGGTACATGTATTTCACAGACAAACGTCATGAGACGACAGGTAACCCAAAACCGTTGACTGACGACCTTCAAGACTGGCGGATGAAGGATCGCCTGAAGACCGTCTCGGCTGCCCTGGCAATATGCCTGAATATTGGCGTTGAGCCTCCGGACCAGCTGAAGACTGTCCCTGGCGCAAAGTTGGAAGCCTGGCAGGACCCCACACATCCTCCGGTACAGAAAGCCCTCGAGACTATCGGCAAATCTTTGCAGGCTCAATACGAAACCCTTGCAATTCGAACAAGATACAAGCAATATTTGGATCCGTCAGTAGAGGAAACAAAGAAATTCTGCTTATCGCTTCGCCGGAATGCGAAGGATGAGCGGGTTCTGTTCCACTACAATGGTCATGGAGTACCAAAACCGACTGCCTCTGGTGAGATTTGGGTTTTTAACAAGAACTATACACAATACATCCCGGTCTCTTTGTACGACCTTCAAGCATGGTTGCAAGCACCGACTTTCTTTGTTTGGGATTGTTCTGATGCTGGCAATATCCTCAATAACTTCCACCGATTTGTTGAGAAGCATGAACAAGAAGAGGCGGACGCATTGGCAAAGGATCCCAATTACCAAGTTGTGAACTTCCGGCCTTACATTCATCTTGCAGCTTGCGGCGTCAAGGAAAACCTTCCAACCAATCCTCTCCTCCCTGCAGATGTATTCACATCATGTCTCACGACACCAATTGAGATGGCTCTATGGTTCTTCGTTCTACAGAATCCCTTACCATCACAGATCACTCCTGAAAGGGCGAAGAAGCTACCGGGAAGATTACAGGAGCGAAGAACACCACTCGGGGAACTCAATTGGATATTCACTGCTATCACTGATACTATAGCATGGACGACTTTACCCAGACCCTTATTTCGGAAATTCTTCAGGCAGGACCTTATGGTCGCTGCTTTATTCCGAAATTTCCTCCTGGCACAGAGGATCATGTCAGCTTATGGTTGCCATCCTCAATCGTATCCTGAGCTCCCTGACACCCATCAGCATCCTCTTTGGGAGAGTTGGGATCTTGCTGTAGAGATGGCGCTCGCTCAACTCCCCATGTTGGAAGAAAAGGAGAGTGGAGTTCGTCCCGACTACGAATTTCAGAATTCGAGTTTCTTTACGGAACAGCTTACGGCATTCGAGGTGTATCTTACACAAGGTGCTGTCACCCACAAACCTCCAGACCAGCTCCCAGTTGTCCTCCAGGTTCTTCTCAGTCAACAGCACAGAGTGCGAGCCTTGATACTTCTAGGGAAGTTCTTGGACATGGGTCCTTGGGCAGTCAACTTAGCTTTGAGCATTGGAATCTTTCCATATGTGTTGAAGCTGTTGCAGTCAGCTGCAACTGAACTGAAGCCGGTTATGGTTTTTATCTGGACAAGAGTTATGGCTGTTGACATTTCCTGCCAACAAGATTTACTCAAAGACAGTGGCTACAACTACTTTGCCCTAATCTTGAAGCCGAATGAGGGTCTTCCTGTCGTTGATAGCCTGGAGCACAAGGCTATGTGTGCATTCATTCTTGCCATGCTTTGCAAAGGATACAAGCAGGGTCAAACTATTTGCAATCAAACAGATGTCATGTCCTATTGTTTGGTGCATATACACAACGCCGACAATCCATTATTGCGACAATGGGCGTGCCTGTGCATCAGTCAGCTGTGGAGCGATATTCCAGATGCCAAATGGCGAGGCATCAGAGAAAATGCTCCTACTAAGCTAGCTTCCCTGGCTCGAGATCCCTGCTGTGAGGTCCGGGCCGCGATGCTGCATGCCATGATGACGTTCATAGGCATCCCGGATCTAACTGACGAGGTAGCACGAATTGAGGAGACGATATCATGGAATGTAATCGAGATGGCCAATGACGGGAATGCCATGGTTCGAAAGGAGCTCCTGGTTTATTTTTCCAAGTTCATATGTCGTTATGAGAACAAATTTTGGGTCGCTGCTTATGAGCAACTCCAGGAAGAGCGCGAATATCGTCAACACCCACCTATGGATGATGGTAATGACCACAAGATGGGTCTGCACTATGCTAGAATGGAGAACCGCAACCTAGATGGAACGATCAAAGCCACGGCTCACGGCATCGCGCACAATTCGATATTTGCGGCAGTGTGGAAGCACGTTCTTATTATGGCCGTCGACCCTCATCCTGAGGTTCAACGCAATGCCACCATTATAGTAGATTATGTCCATTTGGCGATGCTTAAGTCACCCATCGGAGGACCTGCACAAGTCATCATAGACGATATTAATCGCCGGTTAGCAAAATCAGCTGCTTCAAATCAACCCTCAGAAACGCGACCTAGCACACCAGCACAGCAAGATTCGACGCCTGCTCCGACAATGCAACCAGGCCTCCTCAAGAGAACTGCAAGCTACTTGTTTACCTTGCCATTCGGTGGAACTTCAAGTGCTGAAAGTTCGCCCCCTGGTTCAATTGGAAGAAATGCTCCTGCTTCTCCTACTGGCCCGCGGAATCCCTTACCTCTCCGATCGCGACTCCCGGCAGATTTTAATGCCCCCCCAGACCAGAATGATACTACATCAACCTCTGGGACATATCACGCAGCAGCGGAGCCAGTGTCGGGAGGATTTGTGCCTAGAAACCTATCCGTCTCTCCAACGCTGCCTTTAGAGAGCACCTTCTTGGACTGGTCGATCGAATATTTCCGAGAGCCTCAAATGAAGCCCAATGAAGCCGAAGAGCCTGGCAGCACTGATTATAATGAACGTTTATGGAGACGATCTAGGAACGAGGCTATCTTGAGGGACACTCAGCCCCAGAAGGAGATTGCAGGAAGCGGCCGGTGGAACCACGCTGCAGGCTTTTTCAATAATCAAAGTCAGCCCTCGAAGATGACTCTTCATCAATTCGAGGACCATCTTGCTGTCTCAGATGACCGAGATACGATTTGTATCTGGGACTGGAAGAAACAAGATCGACTAAATAGATTCTCGAACGGCAATCCCGTAGGCTCCAAAATCAGCGACCTCCAATTTATCAATGAGGATGATCAAGCCTTCCTGCTGACCGGGTCTTCAGACGGTGTGATCAGAATTTACCGGAATTACGATTCCGAGAAGAAGATAGAAGTGGCATCAGCATGGCGGGCTCTCACCCATCTTGTCCCAAGTAATGTTAATTCAGGAATGGTCTTTGACTGGCAGCAAGTAACCGGAAAGCTGCTTGTAGCTGGCGACGTGAAAGTAATCCGCGTCTGGTCTGCGGACTCGGAGCTCTGCAACGTCGACATCAACGCCCGCTCCGGCTCGTGCGTCACCTCTCTCACTTCCGACCAGATGACGGGCAACGTCTTTGTGGCTGGCTTCGGCGACGGCGCTATCCGCGTCTTTGACGCACGAGCTAGGCCGCAGGAAGCCATGGTCAAGAAATGGAAGGACGAGAATGACCGAGTTTGGATTAAAAGCGTGCACATGCAGAGGGGTGGGCAGAGAGAGTTAATGAGCGCGAGTAGGAATGGCAAGGTCAAGTTGTGGGATATCAGGATGGATGCTCCCTTGCGAGTTTTCAAGACCACGGATCATACGCTTAGGACGGCGAGTACGCACGAGCATCTTCCCGTCTTTGCTGTGTAAGTCCTCTCTTCTCCCCCAACCCCGAAACTTTGGGCTGACATCTGGGTACAATAGTGGAACGGGTAACCACACCGTAAAAGTCTTCAATTTCGAAGGCAAGGAACTCTCGCGCGTCGAACCCTACTCCAGTTTTCTCAACCAGGCACGGCAGTCCCCCGTGACAGCCACGGCTTTCCATCCTCACAGAATGATGCTGGCGGCTGCTGCCAGGGGCGATAATCATATTAATCTCTTCACATGCGTGGAGCGGCGAGGAGGATTAGCTGTTGATCCTTGATTTTCCGATTTTCCTTTTTTCTCCCCATCTTTCATCAAGATGGATTACTCAAGCAGAGAGGGGGGAGGGGCCATTTCTTTTTGCACAATCCGAGCAGAGAACAACGTAGTAGACTCTGAAGCTTTATTAGGCAAGGGAGGGGACGGAGATGGGTGGGAAGCGTGATCTCTCTTCCAGCGTTGGTTGGGCTTGGCTAGCATTTTCGTGGGTGGCTTCCTATTTGGGCTTCCCTGGCGCCGGATCTCCATACATGGCTGGCGTTGGGAATCAATCGTTGGCTGGTGCATTTTCTCCTCTCGCACGCCGGATCTTCCTGCGCTACGGCGTAGGGTATCAGCGTGCGCAGAGAGATACTTGTAGCAGATGTTGCTGGTGAGCGGTGTCTTAATAATGAGAAAACTAATTTAATCACGAAGAAAGAACGAAGGCAAGATACATAACATAAGATCACTCTATAACATTTCAACGTGGTTGATGTCCTGTGCCTAAGATAACTACCTAGAGAACATGAATATGAGCGAGATGCAGATATCAAGGCGCCCAGGGGCTCAACGCCCGACGTCCTGTCAGCACCACGCCCCCGGCGTCAGTCACCATCACGGGGTCCTCGATGCGCACGCCGAAGCCCTTGCTCTTCCCCATACTCTTCGCTTGTTCATCCGTCACGTAGATGCCCTTTTTCTCGCGTTAGTTTCCATCGTCATAGTTTTATTATTGTTCCATATCATTGGAAGGGCAAAGGGAAAGGGAGGGAAGGGGGGGGGAGGAAATACAGGTTCATTAGTGACCACCTCGGCGAACTTCAAGAGCTCGTCGTTGGCACCGTTGAGGTAAGGATGCTCGTGCATCTCGAGACCGAGGCCGTGTCCGAGCCGGTGCGTGAAGTAGGGTCCGTAGGAGCCTTTGGCGATTACGTTTCTGTTACAAGGGCGCCTGTTAGGAATGACATCGAACGAACGAACGGGAGGGGGGAATGGGGGAAGTTCGGATGAGATGCGAGATATGAAGATATGAGTTAAGATACATACCGACTTGCCTCATCGACCGTCGAGCACGGGGCGCCAGGCCGCATGAGCCCTATAGCTGTGGACTGCGAGGCATGCACCAGGTCCCAGACGTCCATCAGCTCGCGCGAGACGTTCCCGCCCCTGGGGAGGATGGTGCGGGTCACATCGCTACCATACCCGTGCAGCGTGCTGCCAATGTCGATCAGGGCGAACTCGCCAGCGCCGAGGGTCTTGCCTTTGGATCCGCCGTGGGGGTTCGCGGCCTGTTCGCCGAAGAGGACGATGGCCCAGAAGCCGGAGCCGGCGCCGGCGCGCGAGAAGAGCGCCGAGGCGGTGGAGAACAGGGTCTCCTGGGACACGCCGATCCGGATGCAGGGCTGCAGGGAGCGGACGACCTCGACGGTGAACTCGTTGATGCCTCGGAGGATCTGGAGCTCCGCAGAGGACTTCACGGCGCGGATGGAGGCGATGCTGTGGGAGACGGGAGAGACGGTGAAGTTTGCGGATTGGAGGCCAGAGGCGATGAAGAAGCGGGCTTGCTCATCTACCACCACCTTTGGGCTCTCGCTGCCGAAGGCCCGTCTCAGGACGTTGTAGGGAGATTCTTCTTCTTTCCACTCGATGACATTCTTCTCTTCGTACACCATGTCGAGACCGGAAATCCGACCTAGCTCGAATTTTGGTGCCAGATAGGAGAATGAGCCATTGGAGGAGAGAATTGCTAGGAAGGGCCGTTCGGACAACTCATACGTGTTGGAGATGTTAAAGTAGTACATGGAAGAAGGGGAAGGTTCCGTGATATAGGCGTCGATGCCCTCTTCCCTGAGCGCGGATGCTAGAGTAGCTTGACGCGAGAGAAATTCAGACCTGCTGATAGGCGGGACATCGAGGAGTGGGACGTGGTTTCGAAGGGTAGACCAGGCGCAGGTTTCGAGATCTTCAGCCGGGGGGTAGGACTTTGGAGAATGAGTGAACAGAAAGATCGCTAGGTATAATATCACGAGGATGACCAGGAAACCAGCTAGGCTGAAGATGAGTATCATTCGCTTTATGAGTCTCAAATCACGAGGCTTCGATAATGAAGGTGTCGAGGGTAGTAATGGGGCTTTGGCATCCCCTTCCTTGGTGGAAGCGTACATCGTAACGCGGACGAGGCTCTGCTGTTGATAAGGGGCCTTGAAGAGCGGAATGCCACTGAAGGAGGAACTTCCAGATAAGTTCAACTAGTGTGGCTTGAATTGAAAACTCGAAGATGTTTTAGCCAGAAACTTTTCAGGGCGACATCTAAATATGACTATGAGAGGTATGATGGACGGCAATATCAGCCTGTGGGGTTGAAGTATGAAACAAAGGGCTGGGGTCGATAGACCAAATCAGGTCGAAGTGTGAAACAAAGGACAAGAGGCAGACAATGGTAGATGCATCAGAAAGCCTTGAAAGGAGTGATTGTGGTGTTTGACGGCAAAAGAGGGATAATTGGAGATATTAATCGAGGGGGTTGGGTATTGCACGTGATCATGATAAGGGTGAACGGTGTGGCTGGAGTGCTCCGCGGGTCGGAGACTAGACTGTCAGCCTCGGGGGGGTAAACAAGGCTGATCACTCGCTTAAAAATCTACATAGGGTTCTTACCGCACCCCCCGCCGAGTGACGGATTCGACTGCTTGTCCCTTGTGTCTCTTCCTACTTGTTCAAGGGCTCAAATCGCTATTACCGCTTATCGTCTCTTTGCGTCCTACACAATACACACTTGATCAAAGAACACAACAATGGCGGAACCACCAAAAGAGGTCCCCACCGATGCGGTGCCGAAACCCGCTGCGCCCGCTGGTGAAGACCCCGCACAACCCTCAAAGAAAGGCGCAAAGAAAGCCGAGGCGAAAGCGAAGAAGGAAGCTGAGAAGGCACGAAAGGCTGCGGAGCGCGAGGCTGCCCAGGCCTCTTCTGCGGCCGCTGCTGCCGAGGATCTAGCAAAGGACAACTATGGCAAGATCACTCACACGACGAAAGTTGACGCGGAACGTAGACACCTACGAGACCTTGGCGAAGCTGATGTGGGCAAGACTATCGAACTTCAAGCCTGGATCCAGAATGTGCGTATGCAAGGTGCCAAGATGGCATTTCTGGAGCTGAGAGAGGAGGGTAATTGGACCATACAAGCCGTTGTGGCTGCCAGCCCGGAGGGGAAGCCCGTGAGCAAGCAGATGGTGAAATGGATTGGAGGGTTGAAGTTGGAGAGTTTCGTGGTTGTAGAGGCCGTGGTAAGCAAACCACATGAGCCAGTCAAGAGTGCGAAGGTATCTGGATATGAGTTACATATCGTCAAGACATACCTCGTGGCTCCAGCGCCGGAGATGCTGGGCCTGGGTTTGGCAGCCGCGAGTCGAGCAGTTGGAAAGTTGGATGACGAAGAAATCTCAGACGCAGTTGAAGGTTTGTTATCTTGCCTCTCTCATACGGTGCGAGATGCTCACTTCAATATAGGTCTTAGCATCACAGAAGGAACACCAGCAGCAAGTCTAGCAACCCATCTCAACAACCCGGCCATCCACAAGCGAGCACCGGTCAGCCAAGCTATTGCCGATATTCGAATCGAAGTCGAGGAACTGTTCCGTGAATACTTGAGAGCACGGGGTTTCAAGAACTTCCACCCGCCATCTTTAATTGGCGCAGCCTCCGAGGGTGGTGCAAACGTTTTCAAGCTGACCTACTTTGAGAAGGATGCATATCTAGCGCAGTCTCCACAGTTCTATAAACAAATGGAGATTGCTGGTGGCAGAAAGAGAGTATTCTGTGTTGGTCCTGTTTTCCGTGCTGAGAACTCCAACACACCAAGACACATGACTGAGGTTTGTTCCCCGGTCAGATTCCCGCGCAGTACTAACCCTCCCCAAGTTTATCGGTCTTGATCTTGAAATGGAAATCGAGAAGCATTACCACGAAGTAATGCACATGCTAGAGGGGGTTCTCCTCTACATTTTCCGAGGTCTCGCTGAGCGGTGCAAAGAGGAGATTGCAACTGTCCGCGCCGTCTACCCTTCTGAGGAGTTTCTTCTCCCCGCCGAAGGCAAAGAGGTACGCCTTACCTTTGCTGAAGGCCAGAAGCTTCTCCGCGAAGAAGGCCCTCCTGAGTTCGCCAACGTCAGTGATGACGAAGACATGAGCACTGCCCAGGAGAAGGCATTGGGCGCTCTGATCCGAAAGAAGTACAACACTGATTTCTACGTCTTGGACAAGTTCCCTATTGACGCTCGACCCTTCTACGCCATGCCTGACCCCGAGAACCCCAAGTTAACCAACGCATATGACTTCTTCATGCGCGGTCAAGAGATTCTGAGTGGAGGCCAGCGACTTCATCTGCCGGATCAGCTGGAGCAGTGCATCCGAGCCAAGGGACTCGACCCCAACGAGCCGGGCCTCAAGAACTATGTTGACGTTTTCAGAAGCGCCGGTGTTCCTCCTCATGGTGGTGGTGGTATTGGGCTTGACCGAGTGGTGGCTTGGTATTTGAACTTGCCTACTGTACAGCTGGTGGCAGATTATCCTAGAACGCCAAAGAGACTTACTCCTTAGACTGTGACTCGCGGATGGGGATTGTTTGCAGTATTGAGGATCATCATGAGCTTGATAGATTTTATCCACCTGTACTGAAAAGTCTGAATGAATATGGATAACGACTACCCTGCTTGTAGCTGTCCTCTGTCAAGAACATGACGCTTCCCCAGTGATATATGCTGTTAGGCCTCCTGACGAGAAAGATGCCGGAAAAGGAAATTCAAGTGATGAAATAACATACGGTACGCGACAGGTCCCAAAGACGCAACTCAGCCTTGTCCGCCTCGACCGGTATTTCTCAACCTCTCCCTTCCTCGACGACAACAACACCAGCATTCCCGATCCCAATGTCCACCTCTCACCTCCTCCGCCACCTCCACCTCCCCTCCATCACACCCTTCACCCACGCGCAAACCCTCCAATCCCTCCTCGTCTCCCAATTCCTCACGCACAAAGCCGCCCTCTCCTCCTCTCCCCCATCCCCCCTCCCCCCCGCACCCCTCCCCACGATCCTCACCTTCAGCCCAACCCCCGTCTACACCACGGGGCGGCGCGAACTCGGCACACTCACCGCGTCCCAAACGGCCCTTTTACGCGCGCCGCTCCCCAACAGCGGCGCTTACCCCATCGCCGAAGTCACCGAGACATTACGCGGCGGGCAAACCACATTCCACGGGCCGGGCCAACTGGTCATCTACCCGATCCTAGATCTGAAATCGGTGCGCAGCGCCACATGGCCGCGCGGGCTCACGGCAAGGTGTTTTGTGAATCTGCTGGAGCAGACGACGATTGATGTCCTGGGCGGGTTTGGCGTGAAGGGCATCAGGACGGAGAATCCGGGGGTCTGGATTGATGACTTGAAGAAGGTGGCGGCGCTGGGGGTGCATCTTAGAAGAAATGTTACGAGTTATGGGGTGGGACTGAATGTGTGTACGGATTTGAGATGGTTTGATAGGATTGTGGCGTGTGGGTTGGAGGGGAAGAAGACTACGAGTTTGAGGGAGGAGGGGGTGAAGGAGGGCTTGGAATTGGGAGAGGTGGCAAGGTTGTGGGTACAGAGGTTTGTGGAGGGGTTGTGGGGAGAAGAAGGGAAGGTGGTGGAGATTAAGGAGGAGGATATCACCGGGAAGGGAGCAGGAGAACTTCTTCCTAAGGATAGGAGAACTTTATAGGGATATATCAGCACTCCCCGGCCCCCCTCTCCCCTCTAAACCCCCCTTCACAATCCCAATCCACCTCCAGCACGGTCCGCATCTCGAAATCTCGAAGCACAGCGCCTAACACCAGACTGGATTTTGGCTTCAACCACTTTATCCATCAATCCATTCATGCAATCTGGTCTCCTCTTCTCTGCGCTACACGCCGCGCTACATTATCAAAACCACCTCCCTCCCTCCAAGCCTCGGCCTCGTCTCTTCCGCAAAAGCCAAAATGTCCCGAAAAACGAGATGTAAGAGAACATGGAAAAGATGCAAACAAAGATAGGCGAAGGGAAGAATTACAATAAGGCAGAATTTCTGATCCGCACGCCTCCCGAACGTTAGGGGCTATGCAGACTCGGGATAGGAAGGCCAACGCACCGAGCTTCATGATTTTGAAAGATACGCGTGATAACTTAGACGGACACTGGAGATAGAATAGTTGGGAAAGATGAATGGATGCTTAATAAATTCAACCACTCAAGCCGCCCTTTTTTTGGACTTTTTTTTGGACTTTTTTTGGGCGGCATTATAGTTGCTCGGCGGAGGCCCTGTCCGCGGCGGTGAGGGACGAGCAAGTTGGAGGACCAATATCAATACGCAGTTAAATAGCATAGAATCACATATTATGAAAAACGAAGGAGAGATGGAGAGAATCTGCTATTCCGATCTGAATCTTTGTTGGTGCGAATTTGCACAAGAGAGGGGTTCCATAACGAAACGCTAAAAGAAGAAGGGCAAATAAAAAGGAAATCCTTGATATTGCAAGGTAAACTCGATGACTAACGCCCGCTCCATATTTTCGTTCGTTCGTTCGTTCGTCCATTTGTTCCATTTCGTGAGTGGTGTTTGGTCGTGTACGGTCATGACTGTGGATCTTCTTGTTCTCCTTTCTGTCCCATTCTGGCTGTCTCTCGCGCCGTAGATCTTCTGATTCTACTTCATTTCACTTTGCCTCCTCGCTGGTCATGCACAAGGTGAATCAGTCCTCCATAGCAACTCCCAGTCAAGTGCTTCTCTTGCGACTCTTGCTACCATTCTCCGACTCCTCGCAGTCAGGGCTCCACTCTTCGGGTTGGAAGTTTGGGTTATTGTAATGTGCTGTGTTGTAGTGTGAGTTCTTGAACGTGGAGGTTTTGAAGACGACCGGGCCTTCTTGCCAATCGGCTGCGGCTTCCCATTCGTATTTACTTGGGCGGAAACTGGACGCTGAGTTTGGAGGGGAGAGTTCCGAAGGGAGTGGTGGATGGGACGGTAGAGGAGCGTGGCTCGATAGCGGTGGGCCGATGGGATTTGATTGTGATGTGTGGTTGTGTATGGGAAGTTGGGTCTCCGGGGATGGGAACGCGGATAGAATTGGGGATGCCAAGATTTGGGTTGGTTGTTGAGGCGGGAATTGAGTCGCTAGGGAGACACTTGACGTGTTGCCTGGGGATGGGCCAGAAGAGGCGGGTGATACCGCTGAAATCGGCGATCCAGGGAATGTCGACTCTACTGGCGAGTATTGCGCAGGGAAGCCGTGATGGGATGGAGGTGGGGCGCAGAATCCCGGGATGCTGAGGAGAGCAGTCATGTCGAGGTCAGAAAAGCCATGTAGCGACGACGGCGTGCTTCGCACATCATGGTGATGGCTGAAACTTGTTGCTCGATTGACCTGAATATTCGGGTTTACCACAACTTCACCGACCTGCTGTTGGAGCAAGAACGCGGCGTTGTTGTCTTTGTAGAGTATATCATAGTGGCTCGGCCGGTAGAGGAGGTGTATAATTGGACTACCTGGATTCGTAGGCACTCCATCCTCTTCGTCTTGGAACATGTGGCTGTTCACCTGTGAGCCTGCGCTTCGGTCAAGATATATGATCTCGACAGCGAATCCGACAGGCTTCAGGAGGACATCGATGAGAAGCATGATGCCCAGATGGTCGATCTCCTGATTCGGGGCCTCGAGCCACTCCTTGCAGTATCCATCAATCCCCAGATCTCCTTGTATGAAGTCCTGATAAGGTGCGGGATTGCCCTTTAACCAAGAGCTGGCGAGCAGCCGCAGGTGATAGATGATAGCATTCGATATTTCGGGATTGTTGAACCGCTGCATCAGCAGTTCCTGAGCTGCCTCCACAGAGTTGGGTATTAACGCTGCCAACTCCTTCAATAGCCCTATTGTCTCATCCACCATGTCTTCAAATACCCATTCTTGGAATCCACCCACGGTTGTAAGGAAGTTATTCAACGACGTCATCCGCGCAACCTCTTCCTCCAATTGTGCGGCATTTCGCAGTGAGATCAACGTTTCGAAGTATGAGAAGCCGGTAGCTAGATAAGATCAGCTACTGCACACGAGGAAGATGTATATCGACAGGCAAGCCATATGAGGGGCGTGGAAGGTGTCTGGGGGGAGAATCTGGGGAAGGAGGACATACCCCGCCATCCGCAATTGCCATCCCCAAGGATCGGGCGATAATGCGAATACTTCTGCGGTAACGCCTGTGGAATGGCCATGATCAGTATTCGGAGGAGCTCAATCGGTACCTGCGCATCTACTCACCGCTGTCTTCGCAACGTACACCGGGTCTGCCTTGGCGTACTCTTCTGTGATGGCATGGCTGCTCTTCTTCTCCCCCACCAAGGGACCCTACCACGCATCAGTCAAGCCCGCAGCTCACCGGGACGCAAAGCATACCTCTAATGACGGCTGGAATTCCCTCGCCAAAGCCTCCTGGGCGTCGAGGTCGTCTGCTGCCATCTTGTTGTAGGTACCACCGAAAGCCAGGGCTCCTCCGCTCACATCGGCATTGGCGCTGGGGTTGATGGGGCCGAAGATGGGGTCTCGAAAGAGGGTCGGGCCGCCACTATCGACGATCAATTCACCACCCACCGGTTGGAAAGCTGGAAAGTCGGGGATCGAAGAGAGCGAGGGGCCTATTCCATACGAGGCGAAGGGAGCAAAAGGAGTTGGTTGTGGTTGGAACATGCCTCCGACTATTTTGTAGGCGGAGCGGCGACGACGGCTCCGCGGGCAGAGGCGATTTCGTCCGTGTCTCTCGCTCAGCCCTGAGCTTCGTCTATTTTTCTTGCCTTTCTTTCGCTCTGTGTGCGCCGCAGGACAAGAGATCCAACCAGAGCAGATCTGGAAGAGCAGCTATATCAGAAATGCAAGGTAAGATGGGTCGTGGCGAGGGCGCGCGTTGGTCCCGTCGTCAACGACGTTTCTCCTCCTCGTCCTCAGCACCAGGCCAAACGGTAACGACGAGACGAGCGAACAAAGAGGGGCCGCGATGCAATGCGATACGGGCCGGCTCGCAAGTATTCGGCCAGGAGAGAGACACACACGTTTTGCGCAGCTGGTGAGGACAGGACAGTACAGATCGGATCTGATCTGATCTGTACTCTGTCGGAGGGCTAAGGCCAATGCTGCTAATGGACCATGGGTATTATGATTTATGTATGGCGAGGGAGGTGTTGGCCGTATCTCGCCCCACCCTCCTGCGTCCTTCCGACAGATGCAGCAAGTCGAGTCGACTCTTCTCTTCTCTCTCTCGTGTTGTCGTTGGCTGCGCAAGAGAAAGGACGTGAGAGCGCAACGACGATTATTCTGCCATGACACTGGAGTCCTGGGTGTGTGTTGCGGCGATTGCTAGTGCTCTCTTCTACTTGGTCTTGGTCCTTGTGCTTAGTGGAAAAAGGGCTGTGGAGGAGCAGGTGGGGTGGCAAGGCAGAGAAAAAGTGAGAAGTGAGAAGTAGCAGGGAAGGGAAGGGAGGGATAGGGAGAGGCGGGCGACCTGAGACTGGGACTGAGGGGGCAAAAGAGCAAAAGACTCAAGGCGAAGGGCAAAGAAAGAACTGGATGGAGGAGGGAGCGTTCTCCGAACATCTGCCCGCTGCAGCAACGCACCGCAGCAAGATACTGTATGGGCAAAGGGAGGGACCTGTATGTATGGACGATGTATGGATGGATGTAGGTGCGGATATGCGGATGTTGTAAGTCAGTATGTACGGGATGGCCACCATCAGATTCTACGATAGGACGGATCACCGCGAATGCCACCACCATCGAACCGGCCTGGAGACAGATAGACCGGATGGCCGAGCCATGCAACATCTCGCACACGACACGCCCACTTACACTCACGCTTTGCAGCCATTCACACACGGCTGTTAAACCCTACCGCGCGCTTGCAGCGTCTGTTTCCCCAAGATCTCCCCGAAAAGCTTCAACCTCCCCCCTTCTCCTGCTGCACGGCAAGCCGGTGCATCGCATGACAAGCAGCCGTCCAAATCCTGACGGGGAGGGATGGCAAGGGGAAGGGATAGCAGGGGAACACGGATGCTACTTATCGATCCCTCGGGAGTCTCAGACAGCAATGCTGGTGATGGGCGTATCATTGGCTGGCTGAAGAATTTGACTTTGGCTGACCTGTGAGTATAGAGTGTGACCCCCAACCCGTCCAGGGCGTCCTCCCCAGAGAGAGCGCGGATATACCCAGAGCAGCGGAGCTACTGTACCCTTCCTGCTTACAACTATTGCCGAGAGAGTCGTATTCTAATGTCTGGCCCATGGCAGCGTGCTGTGATGGCGGATGGCTGCATGAGAAATTTAGTAGAAGCTCATGGTCTCCTGGTCTCCTGGTCTCCCCCTCACCCGTCGCCACGCCTCTCGAAGCCCCATGTTCTGGCCTGTCCAGCCTTTTAGCTTTAGGCTTAAGGATGGTGGGGCTCTCAATCGCAGCAATGGCAACGGCTATAGGCTGGCTTGCAGACAGGGGATTGAGAGGTTATTATCACTTCTCATATTCTTATTAAAGCGCAACGTCGCCCTCCGCCCTCCGCCCCTCCGCTCTCGGGCAGGTTGTGGTCTCGCCCATCCAATAAAGACGCCTGCCAAAGAATGAAGACGGCTCTCCAGCTTCTCCTCCATACAGAAGCCTCAGTCAGTCGGAGAGAGTCCTCTTCATCCCGCAGTTCAGTGTCTCTGGACGGGGTAGACGCATGTAACCTCGCCCCACGCAACGTACCGACCCGCAGCACCATCGTTCTCCTATTGGCCCAGATGCAGCGGGAGCGCGAAGAGAGGGATTGCCCGCCGAGCCCGCCCACGATCCGCAGGGACCCTTGTCGTGCACGGGAGCGGGAGCGCGCGGGCGGACACGGTGGGTTGATAATAGTGGAATCGTCGAGGCATAATGAGGCCGTGATCCAGTACGAATGTATGTATTACTGTGTGCCGTTGTTACAGTAATAATGGGGGCTACACATGGCTACGTCGGTAAAGCAGGTTTGTCTGCGTGTGATCTGGAAATACCATCCATGTTGCCATGGAACACCCCCCCTTATTTTCTTCAACCGCCACTACTACCACAGTGTTGCCCTAGTGAGCCTCCTCCGAGCGCCTAAAGAGTGCGAGACAATAGAGGCTCACTATTCTGCACGACGGCAGGATTTACTAGAGATCAAAACAAGCAATACTACTCGCAGGTAAAATACTCAATCGCTATTCCGCTATTTTCCAAAAGCTCTCTTCCTCGGCATCATAGGAGCTCTCCCCAGGCGATGAATAAGGTAACCCCACGTTTTCATGCCGTTTATATTTGGATGCCCGAACGGGTAGATGATATTACACGGTATTATACCTGTCTACAGTACAATGCTTGATGATGACAGCGTACCTCACATAAACCGTATATACACAGGTACAACATATACCCCTCCCCCCCCTCTTTGGTTCTCACTCACGCACAGATCGCTCAAGACACAGGTGCCCTCCATGACCCATTTCTCCCGCACTCTATAGTAAAACATGAGCAACCAGACCAGACCCCCCTCCCCAATTCAGAATAAGAACATTGCCTATCTCACTTCCTTCTTCCACTAGGAATAACCCAGCAGAGGACCTACCTATGTACTCACGCATCCAAGGAAGCCGCTGAGCAGGGGAAATCCCTATACCTGTAGTAGACGGGCGGGACTATCGAATCGAAATCTCGGCGCGATGCGCGCTCCCTTATCACTGTCACTGCGTGCTGTATATATTTGCATACCTTACCTTACCTTACCTGTCGTGCTCTCTGCGCAAGCAAGCAGAACAAGTAGGGAGGAGCCGAAAGGAAGAAGAATGGTAGCACAGATCATGATGTAGCAGTGTGCGAGCGCGCGGACGGGCAGACGCGGCTTTTCTGGCTATTGCCTTTTCTACGTGCAGCATGCTGCATGATGATTTGATCGGTTGATGGATGGATGGATGGATGGATAAATGGGGAGGAGCATATCATGGAATACGCATATTTGTTGATTGATTTCATTGTGTTTCATTTGATATCATGTCTGTCTGTCGCGCGTTGCCCAATGAGAGATGATTGCGCCGGCCCCCGGGGGGAGGGGGCTCTCCTTAAACTCCTGTTCCCGCGCGCAGCCAACTACTCTGGATTATTGTGTGGAGAGGCGCTGCGGCATCGAAAGCTGCCCGCGCTGCAGTATGGAAGCACAAGCACGTCTCTTCAGCACAGTGGCTATGTTCTACCTACTTCGTCACCCTGGCCAAGTTCCCAGAGCCTGTTTGTTGTCCTCTCATCTCTCATCATTGAAAGAAAGATGGCATCTGCGAGCCGAAGCCGCCTTTCTTCCCCTTCCCACCCCCTTTCCCTTTGCCTAGGCCCCTCTGTTTATGGTCAGGGAGCGGGTATCTCGGGTCCAATTCGTCGCCCATCTGCGTGACCTCTGGCATCTTGAAGCCCTCGCCATCGGAGAAGACCGTCCGGTATAGGTTTCCGATAGCGTCGGTCCACTCCTGCATTGCGCGCAGCCGCTCCTTATCCCGGTCGTCCTCGATCTCCACCGTGCCGTCCCGCTGGTTGATCCGCCCGTTGACCCTCTTCTCCACGATCAGGAACCCGAGGATGTCTTGCACCTCCGACACGGGGATCTGGAGCGCCTTGCCGATGAATTTGAGGTTGAACCGTGTGTATGGCGCGATGAGCTTGAGCACGGCTTTGGTGCGCATGTTGCGTGTTACTTCATCGATATTCTCGGCGATGAAGGGATCCGATAGGAGATCTTTGTTGTTGCTGAGGACAGATTCGTATTGGTGGATATCATCTCGCTGATATGCATCTACCAAATCTGTCATGGCAGCAATTCTGGGATCATTTTTATACGGCTTCGTCTCCTGCGATTCAAAGGGATTGATGTCGGATTTCATCAGCATAGTTGTGAGTACCAGGTATTTAAGAACCTGGATTCTTTGTAGGGAGCCAGCTTCATCGTAATTGCGGAACGACTCGAAGAAATCGCTCTGCGCATCCTTCCAGTTCTCCTCACTCATGTGCATCTTTCCACCGCATTCGCGAATGATTCCCATAATTTTGGGATGGGGGACTGCTGAGCGGACCTTCAGGGCTCGTTCGTAGAGGCGTTTGAGTTGTTTGTTGTTCTTCGTCTCTGCGTACATCTGGATCTCGAGGGCGTAAATCTCCAACGAATAAGTTCCTTTGCTAGGATCATCTGTACCATCTTCCCGCTCGCAGGCCTTGTGTAATTCGCGTATCTTCTTCGTCACTGCGCCGTAGTCCTTGCGATCGAGGTAGAGTTTTGCGAGCTTGATGTTGGTCTTAAGCCAGAGACGTTCATTGTTGGTGCTTTGGAAGGATTGTAGGGTTTGAGAGTAGAACTCCTCCATGCATTTTCCAGCCTTCTCGTCATCTGACCCTTTCTCAATATAATCCAATATGTTATTGATGGATTTTTCTGAATAATTGCGTGTAACGGCTTTCTTGACATATGTCAGAAGCTCGGTGTAATGCTCGACAGCCTAAGGTCAAGGTCAGAAGAGTTCTGAGAATCCCAGACGAGCTGCCTCACTTTTTCATATTGACCCAGTTGAAATTCAAGTTTGATAGCCTGCTTCAGACCTTTGAATCCCCAGTCACCTTTCTCCTCTTCTAATGCCGGTACTCCTAGAAACTCTTCAATGGCTCCCTCCGGATCGGTTGCCTTCATCTGCTTGGCATTATAGTATTTGTTCTCGATATCGACATCGCCACTCTCCTCATCATCGTCTTCTTCGTACTCGAAATCATAACTGCAGGAATTAGATTCGTTCGGGGGAATTCTGGAGGCTTCACGCACCCTTGGTCCGAATCCTGCATGAAATCATCGTCGTCGGACATGATGGCGGTGTCGATTGAGCGGTTGCTTTGATACTATGAATAGGTTCTAGATATCTCCGGGATAGAGGTTAAACTCGAGGTTGTAGTATCAAGTGGTGTGCTGTGCGGTCTTGGTGAATTAGATGTCCAAGGCTGTGTTTGCCTGGGCTTTGATAAAGCTATCGATTGGCTCATCGCTACAAGAGGCTTAGCGCTGCCTCCAGCCCGCAGATTTTAGGTAAAGGATCCTAAGGTAATCGCCGCCTTGTCACTTCAACAACCAACAAACCAACGACGTCGGATGTTTTTAAAAGCCTCAGATAGACTCGAAGACTCGTGAGATAAATCTCTGTCGCTTTCTAGATATCCGCGCAGGAGTTATCAACTATTCTGTCCTGTTCGCCCCTCCGTCGTCTCTCCCATCGATAACACCGAAACACCGTCAACATGGGAGGCGATCTCAACTTGAAGAAGTCATGGCACCCCGTGCTCATGAGCAATCAGAAGCGGGTGTGGGAGGAAGAAAAGAAAGCCCTGGAGGAACGAAAACGGACCGAGCAACGTATAAAGGAGCTCAAAGAGGAGCGGGCAAAGGAAGAGATCCAGGCGAAGCTCGAGGCCGCTGGCAGTCGCAAACGTGTCGATCGTGTGGATTGGATGTACCAGGGACCATCCAGTGGCCAGGCAGGGACTACGGAGGAGATGGAGGGTTACCTTTTGGGGAAGAGAAGGATTGATGGCTTGATCAAGGGCACAGAACATAAGAAGCTGGAGAAGCAGGCCACACAGGAGAGTTTTATGGCTGTGCAAAATGCGAATACGCTACGAGACACTGCGGCGAAGATCAGGGAAGACCCGATGTTGGCAATCAAGAAGCAGGAGCAGGCTGCCTACGAGGCTATGATGAACGATCCTATCAAACGAAGGCAATTACTTGCCATGGCCGGGCAGGGAGATGATACCAAGGTGAAGAAGGAGAAGAAACACCGAAGACACCATCACCGACACCGAGATGATTCAGACGACGAGCGACGACACAAACGTAGAAGAAGAGATGACGATAGGGATCACAGAAGCAGCAGATCAGAGCATCGAAGGCGCCGGTCGCCATCATACTCGAGATCGCCATCACCAGTCAGGAGGAGAGATAGCTTTGACAGGACTCGACGACCCAGATCAGCGTCACCGGATGACAGAGGAAGGGGTCGATCGGATAGAGCTAGGGACTACGATCGAAGGAGGAGGAATACATCATCGGTAGATACAAGATCCCCTTCGCCGGACCGACACAGGTCGCCGGAGCGATACAGATCGCGGGATCGATATAGGTCACCCGATCGTCGCAAGTCATATCCTGAAGCGAGAGACAGTGGAGATCACAGGAACAATGGCGTCAACAGACGGAATGGGTATGATAGATATGACCGACGACGAGATGAGGGTTATGAACGAAGAGACGATCGGAGACCACAACGGGAAGAGCCCTCAGAGGACCAAGAGGCTGAGCGACAGAGAAAACTGGCTGCTATGCAAGAAGACGCATCGCGCCTGGATCGGGACCGCGAGAAACGATTGGCAGCCTTGGAAGAGCAAGAGCGAGCGCAGCGCGAGGCTGAAGACAGGGCTCGGGCAAAATCGTCCAAATATGGCGATAAAGGGGATTTCATCCACGGTCTACATCGAAAGGCAGGGGATATGGGGCTCGCCGATCGCATTGGTCGTGGGCGGCAAGGCTTGCAGAGGGAAGATGAATAGTCGAACTTCTCACATGGAGAGCGGGGCTATCCGACTAAAATGGCCTACGTGGCATCATATCATGTACTTGTTAAACTCTTTATCCCGAGTTGACATTTCATTGGGAAGGTCTTTTGGGAGTCTCAGAAAGTCTCTGAATAGCGTCGCCACCAACTCATGCCGGCCAAACACTTACGAGTCACGGCCCCGACAACGGCGGGGAGAAGCAGTAAACATTGTAGATAACAAGTTAAGGGAACACTGCACTGTACTGGAGCAGTGGCCCTTGGATAGTGACGGTGTTAAGAAACGATCCGTAGGAAATGGTAAAGCCACGCTGCAGTTTGAAAGCCACCAACTACCTGAACTCTCCACGTATCATCCGCTTAATGGTCCAAGCATTAAAGCATGTCAGCATCATACCTTACTTACTCTCTGCATATTCCCTCGTGCTCTGAGAAGCGTAAGATAAGGTACATGTACACTGTACACTGTACAGTACACCTGGTGTACCGAGGTCCTGTAGGTGGATTAGATAATCACTCATCAGCGGACCCCTGCCAAATCAATAATACCGTACTAGGTATGCAAGTCCCTCGGTAATATTTGGCCGCCCCGACAGTGGCATCGTCTAATCGTCCTCTAAGATCCCGTAGATCCTCGCTTACAGACCCTCTGGGCCTCTGGAGTCTGGAGTCTGCACCAAAACCAGGAGCAATAAGCGAGGGCACTTGACCATTCCTGTACAGTAATATACAGTAATACACAATAATACTAGCACCACCCCCCCGCCCCGTACGGAGACCCCGTAGGACAGCAAGAGACATCACCCGCAACGGGAGCCAGCCAAGCCCAGCCACACCCATCTTTCGCCTCCTCTGGCAGACAATCCACAATCCCCATACTATATGCTCTGCTACATTCATTCATCCATTTACCCACCCCTTCCCTCATTTATCCCCCCATTATTTCAGTGGCAGTACCTGCTTCGGTCCTTGAATTGAATTGATTGCAGGAACCAGAGGAGCAAACGGACACGCGCGAGCGCCGAGACGACTCGCCCCGACATCATACATCATGCCGTGTGGACTCGGAGGAAGTACGACAACACAGAGGAAGTTGGTGTTACTGTATGTCTGAACCTTCTCTCTGCACCCGGGCGACACTGTGTGCTGCCGCTTTGCATCTGCCAGTGCATGATCGCTCCCAAGAATTGGCCAGATGGAGAGACATTGAGCGAAGCTGACCCATGCGACAGCGGTGATGGTGCTTGCGGAAAGACTAGTTTACTGAACGTCTTTACCAGAGGGTAAGTTGCATCTTCCAGCTACCTTATCAAGGCCGAGTGACCACGCGAAAGCAATGCTAACAATTGCATCCAGCTATTTCCCAACAGTCTACGAACCTACGGTTTTTGAGAATTATGTACATGGTGAGTCTCAGATTGCGATCGCTCAATATGCCTGTGCTGATCAATTACTCCTGCAGACATCTTTGTCGATGGCACCCACATCGAACTTTCCCTATGGGACACTGCCGGCCAGGAAGAATTCGATCGCTTACGCTCCCTCTCCTACGATGACACCCATGCCATTATGCTCTGCTTTAGCGTCGACTCCAAAGACTCCCTTGAGAACGTCGAGTCGAAATGGGTTGCTGAGATTGCCGAGAACTGTCAAGGCGTAAAGCTGGTCCTCGTCGCTCTCAAGTGCGACCTGCGCGAACAAGGGGATGAGGAAGGTGCCGCCGATGCGGGAGAGGGCGCACATAGAGAGAAGAAGGAGATGATCAATTACAACCAGGGTCTTGAGGTTGCGAGGAGGATCAATGCCCTGCGATATTTGGAATGCTCGGCGATGCGAAATCGCGGTGTTAACGAGGCCTTTACGGAAGCGGCGAGGGTGGCGCTTAGTGTCAAGTCCGGGGGCGGCAAGGACGATAAGAAGTGCGATGTCATGTAGAAGGCATGGCGCGAGGAGTGGGTGTAGGGGAGTAACGATGGGATTTTTAAGCTTTGGCGTTGGGGCTGATTGAGCGGCAATTACTGGGGAGCTGCGCAGTACATAGTCATGCATGTTCGGAATCCGGGGAGTTGGAGTTCGCGCAGCGGACGACTTGCTGGGAGGGATGCGGGGGATGTCTTTGACCAAGCCAGCAAATCTTCCCTCTCTATCGACTCGTCAGCCCTACAACCTCTTTCCCCTTTGCAACCACAATACGAACTGGATAGTACAGTACAGTACCCAACTTCTCTACACCATCCAGGTCGGCATACACAGAGCTCTCTCTATTCGATATCTTGGGAATCCCTCCTTCACTTCCAGGGCGCCGTTTTCAACTTCTCCGAAAAGATGCACATATCATACCATATCATTTCTTACTTCCTTCAGCTCGGGCGCACAAGACAGGCAGGCGTCTGGGTATGTCATGTCATGTCTGGATGTATTATATCACCTGCTACATCTTTGGTACAATGTTTGGAAGGTTGCCAAATTCGTCAAGGGATGCATAGCATGCGCATAGATACTTCGTTTTAGAATGTACTTTAATTTGAGCTTCAGAATTAGGAAATTGAAAGATTTCCCCATGAGGTTGTAGTGTAGTGAGTGTGCTTTGTGTGTCGGGTTTAAGAGTAATCCTGGCATTCAAGGGAGTTCCCTTCATGATACGGAGGCAGAGCACGGCTTTGCTCAGGGGCGACGCATAAGGAGAATATAGCGAGTGTTGTTGAGGCCTTTGCCTTTGACTTTCCGCGGAAGAGGCTAAGATGAACATCCTTCCTATATATCTATACCATATGCCCTATACTATCCACAGAATAGAAAACATGCGTGCAAGAAACAAAGTGCAGTTCTCTTCTGCCCGAACAACATTCGAAAGGGGTTCCTTGTGGGCAGCAGCAAAGGCTTGGAGAAAACCGAGCAGGGTAAGAAAGACGTGGTAGGAGTATTGCTCCGGGTGCTTGAGGACGTATCATTGCTCATTGAATCACTGGATTCGAAGTGAAATAATCTTCATGCCTATTTTCAGAAACAGTCTCACGGGTTCAGATATCTTTGGGATGAGGAGTTGGAAGGCTAGGAAAGCATTGCCATGAGTATTTTAGGTAGGTAGGTGGGTAAGAAGAAGGCCTGTAGATTTATATTGCTCGAGAGACTTCTCTCATGTAAATAAAATCCGCAATTAAGGATTACTAGACGTCAGGAACGATAACGATTTTTGAGAAGAGTCTACCATGAAGCAAGGATAATAGCATGTGAACATTTGCAAATTGGTCGAAAATCATTGGAAGAGAGACGTTCGTTCCCGTCGCGTCACGTCTGCCTCAGGCGAAGAAAGCGCAACTACAGTAAAATATTTCTGAACATTTTGAACCTCAAAATTCAAACTCTCCATCCTCTTGCTCCGCCGCAATCATGTTGACGGCTCGTAAGATCCCCCGAGCATGTCAATCATGCCGCTTGCAGCTCCTGTCGTTGTTCGAGCACGGGTTCGCAAGCCCCGCGACTACGAATGCTGCACGCTCACGCCACGCCCATTTCCAACCTCGAGCGCTGCAATCTCTGCGAAATCAGTCCCGCGGATTTTCAACCACTCGGATTCAGGCGCAAGAACCAGTGAACAATGCGCAGGGTGCAACGGCGGAAGAGATTGAAGCGGTGGTAAGACAGGCAAGGCAGACGTTTGGGGAGACCTTACCAAAGGATTATCTGTCGACCGAGGAATATGTCCTGTACGAACGACTGTATGGCCCACCGTTGCGAGAGACAAGAGCCGAGGATTTGGAATATATTCCCGGTGGTGAGGAGGAGGAAGGAGAGACACCTGCCCGGAATATTCTGATCAAGCAGAATGTTAGTGGCGAGTATGAAGAGGTGGAGTTTGATCCTGAGTTGGGGTTTTCGGTAGTTCAGGATCCCGTGGATGGTGTGGCTGCAGAGGCTCTACCTAAGCCAGGCGACCTTGGAACTGATGAGACCGTAGCTGGCATGACGACAAGCAGGTCGGAGGAGCAGAAGGTGCAAGTCCAGGGAAAGAACCAGAGGGAGATTGATGCCATAACACGGTTACAGCGGGATATGGATGCTGCACTTGCCAGACCCAGCGAGGAAGATGATGAAATCGATGAGGAATACGAGGAAGAGGAAGAGCAAGATGAGGAGGAGGAGTTCGAGGAAGAAGAAGAGGACGACGAGCCGGACGCATATCTCAGTTCAAACGAAAGACTCACACATCCGCATACCATTACTTCTCGGTTCGGAACTTCGCCAAGTACGATATCACTACCACGAGAGCAGTTCATAGAACCAATTACGGAACTGCTCGCCAGGACGAATTGGAAGCATCTCACAGCGGCTGCTGAAAAGGCATTCGGTGGTAAAGGTCTTCCTTACTCGGCCTCAACACCAGCTTCCAAGAAGCTCCTCCCGCAAAGACATATTGGGCTAGATGCTTCGCAGCACAGTATGTCCGAAATTGAAGCGGATTCCTACCTTACTGCTGTGATGCCTGGAACATATGCGTCTGTTATGAGCACGCTTGTCGAAGTGCGAAAGCGACTTGGAAGTGAGTGGATCCGTGATTTGATCTTTAGAGAAGGTGGAGAGGGTCCAAGAGTACTGGACGCTGGCGCTGGGGGAGCGGGCATTCTTGCCTGGCGTGAGGTATTGCAAGCTGAATGGGACGTCCTAAAGGAAGAAGGAATTGTTGAGGGAGAGGATGCACCATTTGGCAAGACTACGGTTTTGACGGGTTCTGCCACGCTGCGACAGCGCGTGTCACGATTTCTGGAGAACACCACCTTTCTCCCACGTCTCCCGGACTATATACATGCTGCCAATTCGGAGGAACTTCTGCATGGTGCCCCCGCTCAAGGTCGCAAGTCCTACGATATCATCATCGCGCCGCACACCCTCTTTCCCCTAAAGGAAGACTTCCGACGCAAGAACATGGTCCAAAATCTGTGGTCCCTTCTTGATCCTAATGGTGGCGTGCTGATCCTTATTGAGAAGGGTTTACCTCGGGGCTTTGAAGCTATAGCTGGAGCACGATCCCTTCTCCTGGATAACCACATTTCTTCGCCTGGCGACAGTGCCTTCGAAAATGAGCTTCAGTCGCCATCATCGGAGGTGGCGCGCTTCACTAACAAGGAGGACGGCATGATCATTGCGCCCTGCACTAACCACACAAGTTGCCCGATGTATCCTGTACCGGGTCTTAGTAGTGGTAGGAAGGATTTCTGCCATTTCAGTCAGCGATACATTCGTCCGCCTTTCCTACAAAAGGTACTCGGGGCCTCAATTCGAAACCATGAAGATGTCAAATACAGCTATCTAGCCGTGCGGCGAGGAGTCGATTCCAGGAAGGGCGCTCAGCCATTAAAGCAGGGCGACGCAGCTACAGACCAGGCTTTTGCCGGCTACGAAGATATTGATCTGCCGGGGCAGGAAGGAGAGGAGGGCGGCGAGAGCGATGTTAGATTTAATCCTCTATCCCTGCCCCGCGCCATACTTCCGCCATTGAAACGCCGTGGACACGTGACTCTTGATCTCTGCACGCCATCCGGCAAACTCGAGCGATGGACTGTGCCCAAGAGTTTCAGCAAGACGGCATACCGCGATGCACGCAAGTCAAAATGGGGCGATCTCTGGTCGCTGGGCGCGAAGACAAGGGTGCCAAGAAATCCACGTTTAGGAAGATTGGCCGAGGACGGAGAGGGAAGGGGAAAGACGAAGTTAAAGGGTGTCAGGGATGGAAGGATGGGCAAGGGTGGAAAGAAGATTCGGAAGAACAAATTCGATATTATCATGGGACCGGATGGCATGGAGGGTATTGAATTGGACAGAACCCAGGCCAGACAACTGGGGCCACAGAAGAGGACCAAGGGCGGTCGAATATACAAGCCGCAGAAGCCTATTAGCGACGACGACCTTTGATGAAAGGAATAGCCTGCATCGAAGGGCTCGGTTTACAAATTTCACTGGGTTTTATGGCTTAAGTACACATTGTAATAAGAATCTCAGCTCAGCGAATAGCTTAGATTGATTGTATGATAGGATCGCCGAAAAAGAGAAACAATTGGAAGGATAATAAAATTGTACTTTATAGAATCTACGATGAGACTAGCATAGTCAGAAGAATTACCTGCTCAGCAAATGCGGTACCTATGGTATCTTACACAAAACACCTCGGGAAAAGGGGCTTCGGGATGACTCTTAGAAAGAATCGAAAAAGCCACTCACTCGGTATGTTTCGCTTCGCAAAGAACGTCGGCAATGTTGGCGCTTCAACCGTCCTTGAATTCGTAAATAGGGCTGAAATATATCACAGATCTATTCGGGTCCAGGTTCGACGAAGCTTTTGATGGACCCATTGTTTATTTATGGGAACAAGATCCGATCCACGCCCGGCTCGGACCGAACAATCGCTGGCGGCTTCACTCTAGTTTGACCTCATTCATAACAGATATAATACCGAATTCAAGAATCCCGCTAGAAGATCCCCAGTGGGATCATTCTTCTGAGCTTGGAATTGGACTCGGAGTTTTGAGCCAACAATAGGTAGCGATGCCATACGTGACTGCGTAATATCAAAGTTTTCTCTCCTTTACGTTCGGAAGCAGCGGCCATGATCTCAGCAGGCAAGCGCTGTACATCCTCTACGAAGTACGTAGATATAGCTGGCGCTTTGGTGGATTCTGAGACCAACATGCTCTCTTTTGTATATTTATTTTAGAGGCAGTCCTTCATTATATGTTGCTTCTAGAGCACACACGCTGCATCAACGAGATGCGTTTCCTCTCTTTTATTGCCGTTTTGGTCGGCTTGACAGGCTGTATCTTTGCTGACCCTATTCCTATTCATTCCCATCCTCATTCTCGAATTATATCTCCAACGACCTCGGTTGAACTTCCTTCAATATCAAGAAACTCTTTAGCATCAGTACACTCACCAGCATCAGCCAGAGCAGTTTCCAACCCCGAACCCTATTGGCTTGAACATATCGAGCACCAAGGGATCTCGGCTTTCCACCCAGCTCCTGACACTTATCAAGTGTTCCGGAATGTGAAGAGCTTTGGAGCACAAGGCATGTAGCAACGCCGTCAAGGAGTTTGCAGTTTCTGACCGAAAGTAGGTGACGGTGTCACGGACGATACTGCTGCTATCAATGCTGCCATTAGTTCTGGTGGACGATGCGCACCTGGAAGCTGCCGGTCTTCCACCACGACTCCCGCGATAGTCTACTTCCCTGCGGGAACGTACCTCATTTCCTCATCGCTCATTGACTACTACTACACTCAGATAATCGGAAATCCAAACAGTCTTCCCATACTCAAAGCCGCGCCGCATTTCGGTGGATTCGCATTGATTGATGGTGATCATGGACTGGGGTTTGGGCCTACAGATATTTTCTACCGCCAAATCCGGAATTTGATTCTTGATATGACGGAGATACCTGCCGGTACTTTGGTAAATGGTGTCCATTGGCCTACAGCCCAGGCTACAAGTATACAGAATTGCGTTTTCAGGATGAGTGATGCTGCTGGAACTCAGCACCAGGGGCTGTTTATTGAAAGTGGTAAGTGACCTCTCAGAACGGGCAGGTTTCTGTCACCGGTCTCCTTTAACGATATCTGCCACGATTGTAGGCTCTGGAGGCTTCATGAATGACTTGGTGTTCTATGGGGGGATGAACGGAATTCTTTTTGGAAACCAACAATACACAGTCCGAAACTTGACGTTCTGTGAGTTATCCTTGAGTATTTCTGGCTTACATACTGATCAAATTTAGACAATGCTGTTACTGCTATTCAACAAGGCTGGAATTGGGGGTGGACCTACATTGGACTCACTGTTGTCAACTGCACAATTGGCTTGAACATGGCTACTGGAGGCTCTTCAGGACAAATCGTTGGATCTGTAACCATCCTCGACAGCAACTTCGCTAACACGGAGGTTGCCATACTCACAGCTCGTACCCCCTCTTCCTCACCAGCAACGGGCGGGAGTCTCATTCTGGATAATGTGTCCTTGACAAATGTGGCTATTGCCGTTCAAGGACCCTGTGGAATTATACTTGCTGGAGGAACAACAAAGATCACAGGTTGGGGTCAAGGTAATCAGTATACTCCAAACGGTCCAACAGTATTCAGGGGACCAACCACTCCCTTCGCTCGGCCGGCCTCTCTGACTATTGATGGCGAGTTTTATGCAAGATCAAAACCTCAGTACAACACTCTACCCCTTTCCTCATTTGTTAGCACTCGCGCTGCAGGCGCAAAAGGCGATGGCAAAACGGACGACACCGCTATTCTAAACAATGTTCTACAGACAGCAGCTGCCAATGGTCAGGTCGTCTTCTTCGATGCCGGAACGTACAAGGTTACCTCAACAGTCAACATTCCTCTGGGGTCTAGGATCGTTGGGGAGTCATATTCCGTTATCATGGGCTCTGGCGCCTTTTTCTCGTCTATGAATGCTCCAGAAGCTGTAGTCTCAGTGGGTACTACTGGTCAAACCGGAATAGTGGAATGGTCCGACATGATCGTTTCTACTCAAGGAGCCACAGCAGGGGCAATTCTCATCGAATGGAATCTTGCCTCCTCCCCAAGTTCTCCGTCTGGAATGTGGGACGTCCACACCAGAATTGGAGGCTTTGCAGGTTCCAATCTCCAAGTTGCCAATTGCCCAACCACCCCAGGGGCAGCCAACATCGTAAAAGATGACTGCATGGCCGCATTTATGAGCATGCACTTCAGCAACTCAGCTGCTGGAGTCTACCTTGAGAACACCTGGTTTTGGACTTCTGATCATGACCTTGATGACCCCAACCTGACTCAAGTCACCGTCTATGCAGGTCGAGGCCTCTACTCCACCTCCTCGACCGGCACTATTTGGCTTGTCGGTACGTCCGTAGAGCACCACGCTCTGTACCAGTATCAATTTACGAACACAAAAGACGTCTTCGCAGGCCACATCCAAACCGAGACAGCTTATTACCAACCGAACCCACCTGCTATGGTTCCTTTCCCAGCTGTTTCAGCTTGGAATGATTTTGATTTTGTGGCAGGCTGTACTGGAGTAGCAGGGAATTGCGCCATGGGCTGGGGATTGAGGATAGTCGGCAGCACATCCATCTTGATCTACGGAGCCGGATTGTACAGCTTCTTCGACAACTACCGCACCTGTAAGCCCCCCTTCTAAACCGCATCCCAACCCGCGCTCCAGAGACCCCCCCCCCCC